CTGGTTAAAACCTGTTTATAACCTGAGACATAACCTGGTTATAACCTGGTTATAACCTGAGACATTACCTGTTATAACCTGGTTATAACCTGAGATATTTCCTGGTTATAACCTGGTTATAACCTGAGACATCACCTGGTTATAACCTGGTCATAACCTGAGACATTACCTCGTAATAACCTTATTATAACCTGGTTATTACCTGGTTATAACCTGAGACATTACCTGGTTATAACCAAGTTATAACCTGAGATATTACCTGGTAATAACCTGGTTATAACCTGGTTATAACCTGAGACATTATATGGTAATAACCTGGTTATATCTTGGTTAATACCTGGTTATAACCGGAGAAAATACCTGGTTATAACCTGTTCATAACCTGAGACATTACCTTGTAATAACCTGGTTATAACCTTAGACATTACCTGGTTAAAACCTGTTTATAACCTGAGACATTACCTGGTTATAACCTGCTCATTACCTGGTTATAACCTGAGACATTACCTGGTTATAACCTGGTCATAACTTGAGACATAACCTGGTAATAACCTGGTTATAACCTGAGACATTACCTGGTTATAACCTGGTTATTACCTGGTTATAACCTGAGACATTACCCTGTTATAACCTGATTATAACTTGGTTATAACCTGGTTTTAACCTGAGACATTACCCTGTTATTACCTGGTTATAACCAGAGACATTACCTGGTTATAACCTGGTTATAACCTGAGACAATACCTGGTTATAACCCGGTTATAACCTGAGACATTACCTGGTTATAACCTAGTTATAACCTGGTTATAACCTGTTTATAACCTGAGATATTTCTTGGTTATACCCTGGTTATAACCTGAGACATTACCCTGTTATTACCTGGTTATAACCTGAGACATTACCTGTTATAACCTGGTTATAACCTGAGATATTTCCTGGTTATACCCTGAGACATTACCTGGTTATAACCTGGTTATAACCTGAGACATTACCTGATTATAACCTGGTTATAACTTGTTTATTATCTGGTTATAACCTGATTATAACCTGCTTATTACCTGGTTATAACCTGAGACATTACCTGGTTATAACCTGATTATAACCTGAGACACTACCTGGTTATAACCTGAGATATCACCTGGTTCTTACCTGGTTATAACCTGAGACATTACCTGGTATTAACCTGGATTTAACCTGGTTATTACCTGGTTCTAACCTGAGACATTACCTGTTATAACCTGGTTATAACCTGAGACATTACCTGGTTATAACCTGAGACATTACCTGGTAATAACCTGGTTATAACCTGGTTATAACCTGAGACATTATCTGGAAATAACCTGGTTATATCTTGGTTAATACCTGGTTATAACCTGAGACAATACCTGGTTATAACCTGATCATAACCTGAGACATTACCTTGTAATAACCTGGTTATAACCTTAGACATTACCTGGTAAAAACCTGTTTATAACCTGAGACATTACCTGGTTATAACCTGATTATAACCTGCTTATTACCTGGTTATAACCTGAGACATTACCTGGTTATAACCTGGTCATAACTTGAGACATTACCTGGTAATAACCTGGTTATAACCTGAGACATTACCTGGTTATAACCTGAGACATTACCTGGTTATAACCTGAGACATTACCCTGTTATAACCTGATTATAACTTGGTTATAACCTGGTTTTAACCTGAGACATTACCCTGTTATTACCTGGTTATAACCAGAGACATTACCTGGTTATAACCTGGTTATAACCTGAGACAATACCTGGTTATAACCTGGTTATAACCTGAGATAATTCTTGGTTATACCCTGGTTTTAACCTGAGACATTACCCTCTTATTACCTGGTTATAACCTGAGACATTACCTTTAATAACCTGGTTATAACATTAGACATTACCTGGTTATAACCTGTTTATAACCTGAGACATAACCTGGTTATAACCTGGTTATAACCTGAGACATTACCTGTTATAACCTGGTTATAACCTGAGATATTTCCTGGTTATAACCTAGTTATAACCTGAGACATCACCTGGTTATAACCTGGTCATAACCTGAGACATTACCTCGTAATAACCTTATTATAACCTGGTTATTACCTGGTTATAACCTGAGACATTACCTGGTTATAACCTAGTTATAACCTGAGATATTACCTGGTAATAACCTGGTTATAACCTGGTTATAACCTGAGACATTATCTGGTAATAACCTGGTTATATCTTGGTTAATACCTGGTTATAACCGGAGAAAATACCTGGTTATAACCTGTTCATAACCTGAGACATTACCTTGTAATAACCTGGTTATAACCTTAGACATTACCTGGTTAAAACCTGTTTATAACCTGAGACATTACCTGGTTATAACCTGCTCATTACCTGGTTATAACCTGAGACATTACCTGGTTATAACCTGGTCATAACTTGAGACATTACCTGGTTATAACCTGGTTATAACCTGAGACATTACCTGGTTATAACCTGGTTATTACCTGGTTATAACCTGAGACAGTACCCTGTTATAACCTGATTATAACTTGGTTATAACCTGGTTTTAACCTGAGACATTACCCTGTTATTACCTGGTTATAACCAGAGACATTACCTGGTTATAACCTGGTTATAACCTGAGACAATACCTGGTTATAACCCGGTTATAACCTGAGACATTACCTGGTTATAACCTAGTTATAACCTGGTTATAACCTGTTTATAACCTGAGATATTTCTTGGTTATACCCTGGTTATAACCTGAGACATTACCCTGTTATTACCTGGTTATAACCTGAGACATTACCTGTTATAACCTGGTTATAACCTGAGATATTTCCTGGTTATAACCTGAGACATCACCTGGTTATAACCTGGTTATAACCTGAGACATTACCCGGTAATAACCTAATTATAACCTGGTTATTACCTGGTTATAACCTGAGACATTACCTGGTTATAACCTGGTTAAAACCTGAGACATTACCTGATTATAACCTGGTTATAACTTGTTTATTATCTGGTTTTAACCTGAGACATTACCCTGTTATTACCTGGTTATAACCTGAGACATTACCCGGTTATAACCTGGTTATAACCTGAGATACTTCCTGGTTTTAACCTGAGACATTACCTGGTTATAAGCTGGTTATTACCTGGTTATAACCTGAGACATTACCTGGTTATAACCTGAGACATCACCTGGTTATAACCTGATTATAACCTGAGACACTACCTGGTTATAACCTGAGACATCTCCTGGTTCTTACCTGGTTCTAACCTGAGACATTACCTGTTATTACCTGGTTATAACCTGAGACATTACTTGGTAATAACCTGGTTATAACCTGGTTATTACCTGGTTATAACCTGAGACATTACCTGGTTATAACCTGGTTATAACCTGAGACATTACCTGGTAATAACCTGGTTATAACCTGGTTTTAACCTGAGACATTATCTGGTTATAACCTGGTTATATCTTGGTTATTACCTGGTTATAACCTAAGACATTACCTGGTTATAACCTGATCATAACCTGAGACATTACCTTGTAATAACCTGGTTATAACCTTAGACATTACCTGGTTAAAACCTGTTTATAACCTGAGACATTTCCTGGTTATAACCTGGTTATAACCTGAGACATTACCTGGTTATAACCTGAGACATTACCTGGTTATAACCTGGTTATAACCTGCTTATTACCTGGTTATAACCTGAGACATTACCTGGTTAAAACCTGTTTATAACCTGAGACATTACCTGGTTATAACCTGGTTATAACCTGAGACATTACCTGTTTATAACCTGAGACATTACCTGGTTATAACCTGGTTATAACCTGCTTATTACCTGGTTATAACCTGAGACATTACCTGGTTATAACCTGAGACATTACCCTGTTATTACCTGGTTATAACCAGAGACATTACCTGGTAATAACCTGGTGATAACCTGAGACATTACCTGGTTATAACCTGAGACATTACCTGGTTATAACCCGGTCATAACCTGAGACATAACCTGGTAATAACCTGGTTATAACCTGGTTATTACCTGGTTATAACCTGAGACATTACCTGGTTATAACTTGGTTATTACCTGGTTATAACCTGAGACATTACCCTGTTATTACCTGAGACATTAGCTGGTTCTAACCTGGTTATAACCTGAGACATTACCTGGTATTAACCTGGTTTTAACCTGGTTATTACCTGGTTCTAACCTGAGACATTACCTGTTATAACCTGGTTATAACCTGAGACATTACCTGGTTATAACCTGGTTATAACTTGGTTATTACCTGGTTATAACCTGAGACATTACCCTGTTATTACCTGGTTATAACCTGAGACATTACCTGGTAATAACCTGGTTATAGCCTGGTTATTACCTGGTTAAAACCTGAGACATTACCTGGTTATTACCTGGTTATAACCTGAGATATTTCCTGGTTTTAACCTGAGACATTACCTGGTTATAACCTGAGACATTACCTGGTAATAACCTGGTTATAACCTGGTTATTACCGGGTTATAACCTGAGACATTACCTGATTATAACCTGAGACATTACCTGGTTATAACCTGATTATAACCTGAGACATTACCAGGATATAACCTGAGACATTTCCTGGTTCTAACCTGAGACATTACCTGGTAACAACCTGGTTATAACCTGGTTATTACCTGGTTATAACCTGAGACATTACCTGGTTATAACCTGATTATAACCTGAGACACTACCTGGTTATAACCTGAGACATTACCTGGTTATAACCTGAGACATTACCTGGTTCTAACCTGAGACATTACCTGTTATAACCTGGTTATAACCTGAGACATTACCTGGTTCTAACCTGAGACATTACCTTTTTATGTTAACTATATAAAAAAAGAACTTTTTACCCCCGAAAATGTTTTAGTTAATTCTGAGATATAATTCTTGTTCATTCAGGAAACAAGAGCATTTTTATCCTCAAATAAATGCAGTACGCCTCTGTGTTGAAGAACTCTACATTTCTGTCAAACATTAATCTCAAATATACCTCAAGGTAGGATAAAAAAAACATATTAAAAATAACTTTGACTGCCTTAATCAGGTAAAAAGTTGAGATTTTATGGCATTTCCGGGTTAAAGTTGTGTAATTTCCTGTGGTTTTAGTCAACATCAAGCAGAGCAGTGGATTAGCTCTGGTGTTAGCCACACGAGTGTACCCGAATGTAATGGCGTTTACTATGGCTATGTGCTATTCGAGACTCAAATTTTTTCGGTCGCCATATCTACTATTTTCAAAACATGTCTGTTTCTCACGCATTTAAATGAACATGGTGATGTCCACCAAGTTGCACCTCTTCAACTATGGAACAGGTAGGAATCAACTGAGTTCCTCCGAGAGTTCAGAAGCTGCTTGCCACGCGCAAGCCAATCAAATAAAGTATATCTACTGAACAGCCAATAAAAAAGCAGCATTGCTGTATCCGGGTAGATTTTGATATCTTACGGTTTGACAACAGAAGAAGACAGACACTCGCCGTAATAGAGCAGGTTTTTATAAGGACGAGATAGACCCGATGATTACAGTAAGAGACCTCAACACCTCATGGCATATAAACTCATATGATAAACTAAAGCCCTATGCTATTGCTATTAACAGCTGTATTGACGGATTTAGCCTCTGTACAGCCATTTCCAGCCATTTTCCCCTCCACAAAAGCAGCATTTCTCATATATCTCAAATATAAGTTCTGATACTCGTGACAGTGTAATGCTCATGTACCAAAAGATTAAGTATCTCCATGTATGTGAAACCTATTCTAAAGTACAATTCATCTAAATGCTCCACAGTGCTGATTTTAACAACTCTCCTTCACAACAGGTAACTTTACGACTTAATACTGATATTAATGACTTTATTCTCCCAAATAATAACTTTATTCTTTAAGATTTAAAAACTTTTTTTTTCTAATTGTGCCCCTTATACTCCGTTGTATTAAGAGATAATTATACTAATAATTATCTTCAATCACGAAAAATAACCTCCACTTTACTTCGAGTGATATTTATATTCCATTTCCATACAATGTGGGCGTGTCTAGTATCTGAAGTAGTATCTGAAGTAGCATGCTACTCGCTCCGGTGGCCAATTCGTACATGCTAGATACTACTTCGACTACTACTTCGACTATCATTTGGCAATTCGGACACAGCTATAAACTTGTGAACTCGTTCTGCAGATCGACATCCTTTACATTCTAAGGCACTTATAATCTACCACTACTGTTGTCTTATATTAATATATTGTTTACCATCCAGCTTACCTGTACACAATGACATACAGGTGAACAGGAGCACATGCTGCATCTTCTGTCAACTCTCACCATGTACTAACCAGACTTCTTCTACCGTCAGCTACTGATGCGTGAAATACAGAGCGCCCTCTGCTGGCGAAACTCATATTAAGCTGGATTCAAACCAAACAGACATAACAGTAGTGTTCCTGTAGAAAGTTACCTTTAAGTTACCTTTAGAAATAAAAATAAAATGGGGGGGGCAACTATTTTTATTCATCCATCTATATCATAGTGCCACAATTGCATATACAAGTTTTGAATCACTTAGATTTAACAAAAACAGGCTAATAAACTGTATGTGCTGCATATTTGTCAGTCAAATGTAAATGAAACTATTGAGAATGAGATTTATGTAATGATTGCAATAAACCCAATGTGTTTTGAATAAATAATGACAGATTTAAGTATCCATCATTGATAACTCCAATTTTGGCTGCAGCCACACACTCACATGCATGTTGTCTAATTTCTTATTACACATGCAAACCAGACTCTGACATCATTAGAAACACCTCAAAGAGTTTTGGATGACATAATTCATGGTCAACGTAATATGAAAAAAAAAATCAAAATTCATCCCAGCAAGATAAATGCTGAATTGACAGCAAATAAATTCATTTGATAGGACCTGTCCTTAGAAGGTTTCAACCAGTGCAAGGGAAGCTTTGATTCCCTTAAAATGTCACCCCCCCCAAAAAAAGAAAAAGTGGTGAAATACGTACGGCTGTGTGTACATTTCATTAACTAAATACGCGCTAGAAAGCCCTCATCTTTTGTTCAGAATCAGCTTCTTATCACACTGTGATAAGAAGCTGTTAATCACAGGTAACCGGCACAACTTCGTTCTCATTCATCCTCGCAGTGCCTCAGCGCTTTAAACAGCCGGACGCTCAGAGTCTGCTGACTTCAATGTGGAAGCTCAAAGTGGGTTGTTCCAGCAGCGAAACTAGACGCTCATTGGATAAATGCTGGGCTTTGTCCCGCCCATCGGACGCTCAGCGTCTCTGGAGTTCTCTGGCGAGAGGGCGGTCCCAACTTTCTGGCGGACGCTGAGCTTCTGCATCCATGATTGGATGAGCTGTCTGAGGCGAAACCTTTTTTTGATTGACAGCTAAACAAGCGAATCAGCAATCTTGAAGAATAAAACATCTACCAGAGCATTTTCCAAGTTAATCATTCTGTTGTTCTTAACTGCTCCGGAGACTTTACCGATCCTCAGCGACTTTTGTCTTTGTTAAAAACGACTGCCGTTGTGTTTGGCGACTCTTTTCTGTTACATACAAATAAACAAACACAATTATGATGTAGGCGAGAAAAATGAGCTTCCCCTCATTGAAAGACCAGCAGCCGCCACTGGTGTAAACTGATATCATCCAATTCATAGGTGAGGAAAATATGCAGCTCTGCTTTCAGTGCAAATGTGTTTATTGTATGATGCATGCTTGTAATGTTGACATCTTTGAGATCCATCTGTTTATTATCAAATATCATCAAGTAATGGGTTTATTTGAAACTCCTGCCATATGGTGAAACGTAAAGTCCGTTATTTTGCCTCTGTATTTGTGTACAATCCTGTGTATTCATGCTTATACTCAGTCAGCAGTGAAAGAGGTTCAGTGACCCTTCTATAATACAGCATGTATATTGTACTCACTGTAACTGTGGGGTTTGTATACATGGCTATGATCTGAAACATGTTCAACAGTATTATCAGAAAACTCAACTCAAACCCTAATCTGAGCAGTTATCATGTTTAGCTCTTATTGAGACGATGTATTTTCTGTCTTTGGCCTAACTTTATTCCAGTAGTCAATGGTGGAACAATTACCTTCACAGCAGTCATTTTCAGATCATTATTTGCTCTTCTTGTACATTTTGGACTTTTTTTCATAAATAATGTGCACAGGAGAGGGAGCCCTATTCTTTTACTCTGCCTGTATTTTCTTTTCCCTTGTGTGATTTTTTTTTGTGCTTCATTTTCATTTATCTAAGGGTAATTAAACAGTTGTTATGCTCTAAAACTCTTAGGCAAGTGTGTTATTTGCTATGCTTAACTTTTCAAATGAAATAAACTTACTTATTTCTACACAGAGTTTAAATAGCTAAATAATAAGTAAAAGTTGATCATAAAAGATTAATTATATGGCAACAAAAGGACTTGGAGTTAGGCTGTAAACTGGAGTAGTTTAATCCATCTATCCTTTATAATTTCACCATTTATCCTTCACTGGGTTAATGGGGGGGGGGGTCTAAAAATCGTTTATTGTAAGTGACAAAGTGACGCAGTTCTTACAGCAATCTTAATTATCACCAAAGAGCCTTTCTAAATTTATATCACAACAGTGACTGCAATAAACTACTGTGAAGTTCTTAAACCTTATCATCAGGACACCTCTCTTTATAATGTAACCTTGTGTCAGTACACAGTATTTGATAAGAAGCTGGTCCTTCCTGTAAAGAACTATGATTTGGTATTAGCCTTTAAGTGTTGTTTAGCTAAGATGTTTATTTCTAGTTTGAGTTATAATAACCATTATAGCTAATTTAACTTTTTGAATTAACATTCATTTAAACTGTATCTTTGTCTTGATGTGGAATTACACAAACTGCCAAACAGAGCCGGGAGTTCCTCCTTCAAACCAGCAGGTCACCTGCATTCAAATTCTGGTATAGTTCAAAGCAATCCTTCACCCTCAGGGATGGAGTTATTGCTATCCTATTCAAAACTGCCTGTGTGGTCGAAAGTTAAATTGTACAGGGATCATTTGTGAAAGATCACCTGATATTTACAGGCATGACTTCATTTGATTTGTGTGTATTTGCCTGTGGCTCTGTCCTGTATGACTCTGCTCATACTTCAGATTGTCCTCCCTGTAAAACTGTCTTTAAAGCTGCAGTGTGTGGTGATCACCGGTATTTACAAGAAATGGAATACAGCATTGATAAGTATGTTTAAGTTAGTGCTGATCAATTGAGAATAAAATTGTTTTGCTAACTTCAAACAAGTCCTTCATATCAACATAAGAGTAGGCCCTCTTTTCTCAAAAGAACATATATTATACACTTCATAACACCTTGATGGAGCAAAGGGCCAATGGAGATGTACTGCTCTCTTCGCTGCAGGACAAAAAGATTCAGAAGATCTTTTGTACCCACAGCCATCAGACTTAACAATTCTTCTTTAAACAGTAGACGACTTGAGACGTGACACATGAGACTACAGACCATTAAATTTCCCTTCAGGGATCAGTAAAGCTCTCATTCTTCCTATTCTTCTTGTACTGCCACCTTGCATCATCATGTTTCTACCATAGCCAAGAACAGACAGCCAAGTAACACAGTGGCCACAAGAAATGTACCAGTTCTTCTATACAGTAAGTGGTTGAAAGACAAAGAGAAGATATAATATACTCATTCTCTAAAACATTTTTTGCTATGGTTGTTGTTTGCCAACTTAAAAATACTGTATTAAGTATGATACTGCACTGTCTTTGCAGTGACAACACTATGAGGCTGCAGGGAAGACATGTTCAACAGTTTGACTCTGTGACCATTTGAAAAAAGGCAGTCGGAGACTTTCATTAATAGGATATTAATCATGTTTTTACTGTAACAACTTGATACCATTGAGCTTGTTTACTAGTTCTTGTCATCATTTTTAAGTTTTCACAGTTTTCGTTTTTCTTTTTTTTATCAAAGGCAGTACATCCAATTTCATATGATTTCAGAAACCAGGACAGGATGTTTATGTCACCTGATCATGGCTTGGATATTTGGGTAAATGTAGTAACACTGTTCTATTTTGAATCTATTGCTATTGCAGTTTTAGTGTGCTATTAAAAAATGTTCCCCTTTTCAGAGTGTTATCAGTCATGCAGTGTTTTCAGTCAGATCAGTCAAACAAAGTGAGTTTTGTAAGTATTCATTTCAATTTTAGGGAAAAAGAAACTTCTATTTTTTATACCACTCTGATTTATCACAGGAGCAAGTTTACTTGTGATGATTGCTGGGCCCTGCATGTGGCATTCTGTTGCAGCAGCGTAGATGAACTTTGCATACTGATTTGTGTGTTCTCCACCAAGCATTAATAAGTTTCAATTTATGACACCTAATGTACTCTCAAATTCATGGAAATGAAGGGTTTAGCTATCACCTGTGTCTATATGTTAATAAAAGCAGGGACCAATTCCCACTACCGTCTGCTGGCTTTAACAATGAGACAGTATCTTGCTTGTGTTTGTCTTCTGGGTACTTTTCTTCATGCTCTGGCTCAATGTTCTGTCCCAAGCTCAGAGTTTCAGCTGGATGGAGATTTTTTGATAGGTGGGCTTTTTGATATCCATCATGTCAGTGTCCCTGGTTATCACGACAGACCAGAAGCTACCGAGTGCTCCAGGTGAGTCTTAGTTTGATGTTGATGCCATGAACTTATTAACACAATATTGAATGGTTTTATCCAATAAATAGCCTGTTACATGATCAAACTGCCCTGCCAAGCAATGCATAACTATGCATATTTGGCAGAGTGTCACTATGTGCAAAAATTATGAGCAGCACTAAGAAAACATATCAGTAATTCATAATTTTCCAAGCTGCACTAACAAACTGTTCCTTAATCCTAAACTACTGTTGTCCTGTTTTCTCAGTAAACCCATCCTTCTTCCAAATTATCGGAGGTTTCAGTTGATGAGATTCTCTATAGAACAAATCAACAACTCTTCCAGCCTGCTGCCTGATATATCCCTTGGCTATGAGATGTTTGATCACTGCTCAGATACACAAAACTTTCCAGGAATTTTTAACCTCATCTCAGTCAACAGACTGATCCTACCTTGGGCTGAACCTCACAAACAACAAACAAATGATTCAGATGTGTCCAAAGTGATTGCAGTGGTTGGTCCTTTTACCAGCACTCAGGCCCTGACTGTAGCCCCCTTCTTGATGACAGACCTCATTCCTATGGTGAGATAAAGAAAAAGTGCTGCATTATACAGTCCTTACTTTTTTATTAATTTTGAAATTTTCTCTCATTTGACATTGTCACTGAATTGTTGTTTTTACCTTATGACAGGTCAACTATGGATCCTCAAGTTCAGTCTTCTCAGAAAAAGCCAAATTCCCCTCTTTCCTACGAACAGTGCATCCAAACAAAGATATCATGGAAGTGATTGTCAGTATTTTGCTACACTTCAACTGGCATTGGGTTACTTTCTTATATAGTGATGATGATTATGGTAACGATGGAGTGGCCACGTTCAGGAAAATGATCAAAGACACAAAGATCTGTCTGGCATACAGCAAAGGTGTCAATGATAACACTAGTTATTACCAGATATTCAACCAGATTGAGGCACTGAAAATACATGTTATTGTTGCTTTTGCTCCAAAGTTGCCTGCTGAAGCTCTCATTATGTCAGCGATACAACTCAATTTCACACAGAAAGTGTGGATAGCAGGAGATGCATGGTCCTTAAACGAGAGGCTCCCCAAGGAGGAGGGAATCCAAAATATTGGAACTGTACTTGGAGTGTCTCAACCAGTGGTGACAATCCCTGGGTTCTCCGATTTTATCTACTCTACTAAATGCCAGACCTCTTCTGAAAACCTACAAAAACCAAGGTTTTGTAATCAGGTCTTCAACTGCAGTAGCTATAGTGCAGAGGAAATCCTTTCTGTCGACCCATCATTCTCTTTTCCTGTTTACTCTGCTGTGTATGCCATGGCACATGCCTTGCATAATACCTTGCAATGTGGTGATGGCCAATGCAATGGCAATTCCACAGTGTACCCACACATGGTAAGTATAAATTTGAATTTTGCTTCTTGGGGTTCTAACCTTTGGACTTTGGATTAGTATCTTTTCATTTAACTTCATTTCTTTCAAACAAAAAATTCCCTACCACATGACTTTTTTGTACCTACATCAGGTTCTGGCAGAGCTAAAGAAGTCAAACTTCACACTTTTGAACCAAAGTATTGAATTTGATGAGCATGGTGATCCTAAGTATGGTTCTTACTCTTTTGTATTCTGGAACCACAGTGGTGATGCAGAGGAGATTGGTTTTTATAAATTTCACCCCTCCATCAACTTCTTCATCAATGACAGCAAAATTCAGTGGTTCACAAATGGAGAAGTGAGTTTTGTTTTTGTTTCTTTTATTGGATATGTGAAGTGAAAATAATGGTTGTGTGTCAAGAGTTTGGTGATATGGTGATGAATAATACTTTATGTGCCTTTCCTTTTCACTAAGTAAAACATTAAAGAAAATGGCTTTGCCTAAGAGTTAATATTTATCACTCATTGTTTTATGGTTTTGTTTACTTACAAAGAAAGAATCTAAACAAGCCATTTTACTGATGTGTAATTAATTGTTTTGTGCAGGTGCCTACTTCCCTATGTTCCAAAGAATGCTCTGAAGGATACGTAAAAGAGCAAAATGGGATCCACCAATGTTGCTTCACCTGTAAAATCTGTGCAAATGGGACTTATATCAACAGCACAGGTTAAGTATCAAAAAAATGAGGGGAAAAAATCCCTCTTAAAACCACTATGGGGCAATGTACAGGGCTCATCAGTGTTTGTTAAATGGGTGGGGTAGCCCCATTGAGCAGTGTAGCTGAGGCACCGCCGATGTACTGCAGTAACACATTCTTTAAATCTGTTTGAGATTAAAATCCAAGTTTAAGTTGATTTAAACTAATACACATATAATTAGCTAATTACCAGGACATGGCACTGTTTCAGGCCTGGCTAAGACAACCATTATTATGACAGTGACAATATAAAAGAGTTGAAGTGTGACATTGTTAACGTGATGTTTCAGAGGACACATTTTTAATGTAACCTTAACTAAATTGTATTTCTGTCCTTTTTACATGTAAACCAGAGGATCCCTATAAGTGCATCAGGTGTAAGGAAACAGAGTGGTCTGCAGAAGGAAGTACATCATGTAATCTGCGGTCAGTGGAGTACATCCCGTTCACAGACAGTGGGGCCATACTCATCATGTTTGGGTCTGTAGCCTTGGAGGGTCTCACATTGGCCATGTCTGCTCTCTTTGCCATCAACTACAACACGCCTGTTGTCAGATCTGCTGGAGGACTGATGTGCTTCCTCATTTTAGGCTGCCTCACTCTGTGCAGTCTTAGTGTTTTCTTTTACTTTGGTAAGCCATCATCTACTGATTGTATTTTGAGGTCTTTGCCATTTCTTTTGTTTTACACAGTTTGTCTTGCCTGCTTTGTTGTGCGCTCTTTTCAAATTGTTAGTATTTTCAAAATGGCTGCCAAGTTTCCAAAGCTCTACAGTTGGTGGATGAAATATCACGGACAATGGCTGATCATCACGGTGGCATTTGTTTCTCAGGCATTCTTACTCCTTATTGTCTATTTATATTCTCCCCCCAAACCCTACAATGAAACAGTCTGGAATCCAAAAGAAATCATACTAAGTTGTGAATCCATATTCCTACCATTCTCTGGCTCTGCCATTTTGATTGTATTTTTGGGCTCTCTCTGCTTCATTTTCTCCTACATGGGCAAAGATCTCCCCAAAAATTACAATGAAGCCAAAGCCATTACCTTCTGCCTGCTCCTGCTGATCCTCACCTGGATCATCTTTGCCACCATTCAGGTGCTTTACCGTGGAAAGTACAACCAAATTCTCAGTGCCCTGGCAGTTCTCTCCAGCCTTTATTCCTTCCTGTTGTGGTATTTCTTCCCAAAATGTTATATTATCATTTTTCAACCTCAAAAAAACACACAGCAGTACTTCCAAGGTCTCATTCAGAGTTATACCAAAACAATTAGCCAGTAGAAAACTGAGGAAAAGGTGAGTGTTACAGGTGTAATTTGGTGCAGATATGAAGCTGACACATCCATTGTTCTCCCAACATTTCACTGTAAGAAGACAATAAAACACAAATAGTGTCTTCTGAACCTCCTCTGTGTCTCTGCTCCCTTACTGATGCTACACAGCACTACTGGGATCCAAAATATGTGGACATAAAAACATTATATTGGCTAGCACAACAGTGACACCTAGCGGGCAAAATAAATACACACATCCTGCATGGTTTCATGCCTTTTCCTATAAAACTCGAGCCAGGCATTGCTAGACCCACCAACCAGCTCATGTTTTGTCTGACAGCTGATCTGCTCCAGCAATCACAGGTAGACTTAAATTTAAAGTCATTATGAGCTAATTTCTCTGGTTTTATCTCACAAGAAAATGGGCCTGCCTGAAAAAAATCACCTGTCAACCAGTCAGTCATTAAAAGTGTGTACTCTGTACATTAAAATAAAATAAAAAAACAGGCTGTCTTTTTTAAGCTAGTCATCTGTCACCTGCCCCCTCACGCTGGTTTTCTGCTCTTAAAATAACAGTAAAAATTCATCAATATTGTCAATGATGGTCTTGTTTGCTGCTGAATTTCATAAAAAGTCATCAATATGAATTTCAGTCAGTTTCATAACATATAAAACTCCTCATAGGAGCTTTGAGTAAAACAAAAGTTTTCAGGGCTCTGTACTTTTGCTGTTTGTTTGTTGAAGTTGCCATTTCGGGTGCCAAGAAGACAACATAGGCTCAATGGACTGCATCAGTGTTACAAATAACTACAGTGTCTCCCCTTTCTTTTCTGTGTTACTATAGCTTTAAACTCCAAACAGTAAAAGGTTGAAACAAATAGCATTCTGGCTTCACTTATCTTTATAATCAGATGTTTGCTTGTTATAATCTTGACTTCCTCCCTGTTGTCATGGTTACTCATTTTCAATACTGACTGATATGGAGCCACATACATTGAGAATGGTGAATAGATAGTCCAACTGGAACTTACTCCTTGGAAGTTCAGTTCTCAGCTCTTGACACCCTGTAGCCAACTGGCTAAGAACTAAGAACATCAAACTAAATATAATTATAAAACACTAAGAAACAGCTTAAATATCATTTAGAAATAATTAGATAAATAGAATAAACATAACATGTAAAATGAGAACTAAAACATATAAATAAGATGAAAAAAATACAGATACAAATAAGACATTAGTTGAAAGCCAAATTAAAAAGGTGGATCTTGAGCCTAGTTTTAAAAATATAAAGATTCTCTGTTGCCCCTCAGGTCCTCTGGCAGGCTATTCAACAGACGGGGGCCATAGTGCTAGAAAGATGCCTTTCCGTATGTCCATGTTCTCGCTTTGGGGACTGTTAAAAGGGCCAGTCCCAGAGGATCTCAGGGTCCATGAGGGTTCATATTGTAAAAGCAATTCTGAAAGATAAGAAGGTCGAAGACCCTTAAGACATTTAAAAACCATCAAAAGAACCTTAAAATTGATTCTAAAGCACACAGAGAGCCAGTGCAGTGATTTTAAAATGGTGTAACGTGTGCCCGCCTTCTGGTCTTCGTCAGCACAAGTTTTGCTGAGTTTTGTTACACTTGTAAACTTGCGATGTTTCTTTTTGGAAGACCAGAAAGCTGGGCGTTACAATAGTCTAGATGACTGGAGATAAAAGCATGCATTAGCGTCTCTGTGTTAGCCTGGGAGAGAAAAAGGCCGACTCTGGCTATGTTCTTTAAATGATAAAATCAATTTTTTTCATGTTTTTGTTATGTTTTTAATATGTGGAATAAAAGTCAGCTCAGAGTCAACGATGATGCCCAGACTTTTTACCTGATTTGATGGAATTAAAGACAGGGTTTTCAGTTTTGATAAAAGTTTTTCTCCCTGAGCCTTAGGATCGATAATTAAAACCTCAGTTTTGTCCTGGTTGAGCTGTAGGAAGTTTTCTGCCATCCAGGATTCAATGTCTAGGATACAGCTAAAAAGGGCATCAATTGGCTCTGTGTCATCAGGAGACATGGATATGTACAGCTGTGTGTCATCAGCATAGCTGTGAAAAGTGATACCATGGCGTCTGATGATATCTCCCAGTGGAAGCATATATAAATTGAATAGTACGGGACCTAAGATTGACCCTTGGGGCACACCACATTTAATGCTATGAATTCCTGAAGAGCATGTGTCCAAACTTACAAGAAATTTACGATCTATGAGATAGGAGTTAAATTTTTAAAAGGCAGTAGCAGAGAGGCCTACAAGGTGCCTTAGTCTATTTTAAATAATTGTGTGATCTACTTCCCAAGTTGCACCTAAGAGGTCAATAACAATTTTCAGTAGTGCAGTCTCTGTACTGTGGTTTGTCCAGATTGAAGTTTTTCTAGGATGGAAAGGTTATCTAAAAAAAACAATCAACTGAATAAAAACAAGTTTAAAAAAAAAATGCTTAAAAATGGTAAGTTGGACACTGCTCTGTAGTTATTGAGAACATTAGGGTCCAAACTGTTCTCCTTCAGAAGTGGTCTCACTTCTTCCGTTTTAAGGGCAGCAGGGAAAGAGCCTTCTACTTTATTAGAAGCAGTGTTTTGAATAGATAAAATAGAGGAACGTATAGAATCAATTTTACCCCTGAAGTGGTCTGTAAAACCTTCCCAAAGTGTCTGAAGGAGTGATCTGATATCTATTAAAACCCAGGTTGATTAAAAGATCAATAGTACTAAAGAGGATTTTAGGGTTGTTTTTATGATCAGTGATTATATTAGTGAAATAGGTGGATCTTGCCTGCCTGCGAGCATAATTGTAACTTTTCAGTTGCCCACAGTATATTTGATGATTAACTGTAATTTTATTTTTCCTCCATCCCGGTTCAGCTACCCTGCAATTTCTTTTTAGTTTTTTGATTTCTTCATTTCTCCACAGAGATGTGCGCTTAGGCAGTACCTTTTTTGTTGTCAGTGGAGCTATGAGGTCGAGTGTTGTTTCGAGTTTGTTGATAAAATTTTGATCAATAAAATCTCAGGAGGCAGGTAAAGTAGCTGAGTGATGCTTGCTCAAGATTTCAATAAAGTTTGCAGCCACTTCTGAGGTAAAATAACGTTTCCTGACAGTTGACATCGAGGTCTACCGCTGAATAAAGCTGGTATTAAAAAATTATTAAAAAACACACAATAATGGTCCGACACAGCCAGGTCAACAACAGAGGACACACTGGCTGACAGGCCATAGCTGAGGACTAGATCCAAAGTGTGTCCTCTGTTGATTCGGCTGTGTGACATGTTGTTTAAAATCCGAGCAACTCAGTAGATTTAAAAACTCTTTTGCCATGTAATCAGATGGATTGTCTATGTGTAAATTAAAATCACCAGATATAATAATACAATTGTAAGTGGCATGAATTATTGCTAAAAACAGAGTGAACATGAGTTATGTAACGGTAGGCCTGATAGAGATACAACAGACAAACATAATGGGAAATGCGTGTTGTTTGAAATTGTTGTTCACAAATCCTACCACACGATGGCACTACCTACGAGGTGCGACGACACGCCTGAATTATTTTACTTATGTCAGTAGGCCTGTTTCACCAAAATGAGAGTCGTGTGATGTGTAAGCCGTTTTGATGCCCGCTCTTCATGCTAGAGCCTGTTAACTTTATAACTCTATAACTGCTAACTCTCTTTGACATAAGAAAGGAATGAGGAGCTCACTGCTGGTGAATCATTACAGCACCACTGGAACAAAAGACGTGATAAAAAATAAAGATTTACACAGTTTTAATCATCACTACGGACTATGTAGCGTAAGATGGAGACAAGTTGTATATCTTCTTTAGCATGCGCATTTACTTCTGTCAAGAGCCCACCACCAACACCAAATAAGTGATGCATCAGGAGCGCTGATCCGAGAGAACACCGGCGGTAGACCTCCTCTGTCTGCATTTGAAAGTCAGTTTCACGCCGTGACGCTCAGTGAGGCTGGGGTGACACACAAAGTAAAAACGGAAAGAGCCTTACCGCAGGGGGTATGTGACCATTCCAGAGGGTAAATTGCCATTTTGTTAAAGCTATTCAGTTTCCTGGCAGTGAGAAGGGGAGGATGGACCGTGAAACTAGGAACGAATTGGTAAATAGTGCCACTTAGCATGGCATATGGCACGTTTGGTGGGGCGAATACTGATACCAACAAATTGACAATTTCATACCAATTTCAGACTTACATTTGCCACACACGTTGTCCCTCAGAATTTTTGAATTTGCCTATATCCACTTGTCTAAATTTCACGGTTTATTTTGTAAGCATAATTGTTTACCGAAAATGATCATAATAACCAACTAAAGTAATATGTTGATAAATTCTTTAAAATGTGAGTTTGTCGAGCTTGAAATGACACGGTTTTGAAATTAACCAACCACTTAAGAAAACCGACGGCGACGCTAGCGCAACCTTTTTTATGGAATGTGAAACGTCTTAGATTTATCATAAAAGAAATTGTAACTTCAGTCAATAGGCAGCGTTTCTGCTGAGGGGTCACATATTTCTGTTTAATAAAATATGGAGCGAGGAAAATCGGAGGAACGCCCCGTGTCTTTCACTTGTACCTTTCAATTTTCCACTCCGGTCAGATAAAGAGAAAACCCTGGGAAAAAAACTTGGCCAGCAACTGGTCCTTCTTTTTACTGCCAACACAGAAACAAAACGACCATAAGTGAGGACCGTTTGTGTGTGGTGGCCATATGGGATTTGCCTTAAAAGTGTCTGCTTTAGAAATGTCTCTCGCTTGAGGAGATGCTGCTGTTGACAGCTCAGCTATTCTCCTTAACTTTAATGAGCCGTTTTTTTTTCCAGGCTTCAGTCTATAATCATCACCTCTTATGTTTGGAATATGACACAGTGAACTGAAACAACACAACACCCTTGTCCCCCTTTTTAAGAAAGGGGAAATGATTTACGCACAGCGTTAATGGCTAAATGATTTCATGTTGAAGTTGCATCCATCTCAAACTGAAGCCCCTGTCAGCAATGACAACAAGTTTCAGTTAATATTTAGACATTAGCTTTTGTTCTAGACTATTATTTGGTGCGCAAAGCCTGGCAGTGTGTGTAAGAGGTGGGTTCCATCAATAAGAGTGCACTTTCCCTCATAGCCATAAACTTATCAAACCGAAACAACCGGGTGTGAGGAGGACTGTGGTTAGACAAGACCCGGTTGTCAGTGCAGAGGGAAAATTTCACTTAAAAAAGCGCAACTCTCAAACCAAACCTTTCATTTGGGTTTGGTTAAATGTGTGATGGGCTAACTGTTGTTTTACGCGCGGGTAAATACTGTGCTCCAGAGGGTGCTCAGTTATTCTTATTCAAATCCTGCTCAAGTGGTTCAGAGTAAATGGCAGATGTTTTGTAATTCAAGGCGCATCAATACCCATGCGCTTTAGTCTTTAACAATGGCGCTCCTCTTTTGTTTGCCTCTTCTGTCTCTCCGTTCGGACCCTGACAAAGGCTTCATCCTCCATCGAGTTATAAAGTTACTTTCCAGCCAGTTCATTCGGCTCTTGAGAAAACCCTAAGCGATGTTAATGTGCACCTCTGGTCTTTTCATGCTGCAACCCCGGCACACACAGGCAAACCACGGCCTTTGTGTCTCCAAACTGAAGTGAGAAGTCTTTAAATAACCCGATGACCAGTCTATAGAAATTCATGATGCTTTTTCTATTTGATCTATTTGATCAGCATTTCGACAACAGGACTGTCGCGTGGCTTTTTAAACACCCTGTCTATATTTCCAAAAAGTTTCCACTGCACCTGTTCATGTACCTGCTCTCTTTACTGTGACCGTGTTACCCACAAAGAGCTTTTAGTCACACCAGCACTGCCTTCGGTCTATCTGAATGGAAGGCGGTACATCGATTTGCTCCGCTCATGTGTCCACCAAATTATGAGCCTGTGTGCGCATCTTTTCAACTACCAACTGATTCAAGCGTCAAACTTTAAAGGGATCTCAAAATATAGAAAGGAAAGCCACCAAACATTAGTCATTTAAAACTGTGTTTTGCAAAACCTAGAATTAAAACACCTGTAATAATTAAATATTTTCCATGTGTAGTCATATTACTTTACTTGAATGTAGCCAAACGCAGATGCCTTGAACTAAGCTTTTCTCTAATATCCCTCAGGGTGCAGCTTAGGTTGTTTTCTGTTGAAGGAGTTCAAAACTAGACAGCGGATCCGCTTTTATTGTACTGTTTGGGTGCACGCCTAAACTTTGGCCCACAAATGTTTCAGTTTCCTTTTAAGAAGAAATAGTTTATTGCAGTAATTACATAATTGCTTCACTAATTGTTGTTAACAAGTTCCCCAATAGTCCAATTATTACAGCAGCATTGTTAGGTCCCCCACGGCAAGCATCCATGACAAAGGTCCAATAAGGTTAATGAATGACTAAAGGCTGAAAAAGTGAAAGTAGAGCGAGAGGCCGTGCCCTTTCATAAACATACACTTAACTTGTCGTTTAATGGCACTTTCTTTCTTATAACCAACGAGGACACAAGTTTCTCGGTGTGCTATTCTGATGGATGGATGAGGACACCACTTTGAAGAGAATTGAAGTGGAATTGGAGGGAAACAGTTTTAAAGTGCATCACTTTAAATCCGACAGTCAACCCTTATTATAGGCTTCGGCAACACCGTCACCTTTGAAATGTTAGTAAATGTGATTGGAATACTTAGACTTTGAATTAATGTGACTACAGCAAGAGCACGGGAATATATACTTTGAATCCTTCTGCTCTAATAACCGCAGGACTATGTTGACCTCTTCCTAAGTAAAGGAGAACAGTGTCAATATTAACGAAGTTGTTATTGATTCAGACATGTCACACTATCCATCATTCGTGCGAAGAAATATTCTTTAAAATAGAACTTCCCATCAATTAATCTCTTCTCACAGTTAATCTCTTTTCATATACCACCATCTTCTTTTATTTTGAAAGTCTCTGTTCCCTAAAGTGACCCCACAGGGAGAGAACACTAATTGAAATTATACCGAATAATCAGCGGTGAAATTTTACTCAGTGCCACAGAATAACAAGACAGGCAACTGTTGTGATGCCGACTCCATGCTGAAATCGGCGCTCCACGGTCCCGTGTTAAAAGCAAGCGTGAAAATGCGGATAATGTGACGTCCAGAGCAGACAAAGCCACCAGAAAACTCACTTACACCAGCACAACTCGACCAAATTTCATACCAATTAAATCCCTCAGTATAACACAACATTTATGTCCTGCACGCTTCCGGTACATTTTACGCCTCTCACACAGCGCATGTGTTTATTGTCTGATTGCACTATAAGCTCTGACTTGAAAATTGATGTTTTTTCTTTTTCTTTTCTTTTCTTTTATTCTATTTTTTTGCGAGACCAACTCAGCGTCACCAATCAACAACCGCACTGATTAAAATTGTATGATTTTGTTTATTTATTTCAGCATAGACCTGCACTTGAAACTACAGTGAAAAATTTACCTCGTTGCTTACTGATGGCAATCACCAAGATATAATTTGAACACTGTTAAGAGAGCTACTGGTCATGGTGACTGTGCAGAGTCTGGTGTATCTCTGTACACAGGGAGCTAGGACAGAGTAAACCAGACCTTTTCTTTTCTCTCTTTAGGAGTAAGGGGAATCTTTTGATGCCCACACGTCCGTGGTCACAAAGCAGACCAGAAGAATAGATCAATGGCTCGTTACTATAAACTGACCTCTTTTCATACGCCCTCCTCCAGACTGAATATAAATGCCTCTTTACTCCAGCCTTCATCCTTTTTATCACACGCATTGTGCTCTGAATAAGTCCGGAGGACTTGGAGAGTATAGAGAGCTTTTAAAGGCTTTGCTCAGTAGAGTCGCGTGGCTTTCAAACGCACAATGTTCACCAACTTTTTCTCGTCCTGAAAATACAAAAGCAACAAATAAAAATATTTCAAATCTTTGAATTCAAGTGGACAAAATAACTCCATTTCATCTACCTTGTGACCACAGAGCACAGCATGCCGTAAGGTGGGGACTATTGATTCACTCTCATAGCAGCCTATGTATCGTCACATGGCACACAAGATAGTCCTATAGTCAAGATATTGTTTCAGCTGGTGGGACTTTCCCAAGCCTTCACTCCTTTCAGGAGGCAGTGTGGAAAATCGGGAGGCGAGGGACCGAGGACAAGGGGCGGCCCGCGATTTTCCTCGGTGCCTCATCGCGCCTGGTATGAAGACAAAAACTGACAACATACAACAATCAAAGAATCTTGAAGAGTTAAAAATGTTTAAAATCACTTCTGCTTTTCCTGCTTATATTTTGCGACATCGATATCCCTTTGAAATGTCAAACGTGTGGTTTTTAATAATAATGAAAAAAAAAAACACAGGTTAGATCAAACAGAACTATCAGGTGCAACACTTTGACAAGTGACCACCAGAAAATCAAAATGTTGTGGGGACACGCAGGGAATTTCCACGGTGCTGCCTTCGACCTGCTGGCGTGAAACTCACATATAAAAGATTGAATACAGGAGTCAATGGTGTCCACACCATGCTCACCAAGTAGAACCACGGTGATTACAGATTATGTTTATGACTTTTACACTCCTCGAAAGTTTGTTTTGCCTCTCGCGATGTTGTTGTGGATTTTAGATAGATAGATAGATAGATAGATAGATAGATAGATAGATAGATAGATAGATAGATAGATAGATAGATAGATAGATAGATAGATAGATAGATAGATAGATAGATAGATAGTTTGTTTGGTTGGTTGGTTGGTTGGCTGGCGCTGGCTGTCAGATGAGGCAGTGTTGCTCATTTGGGCGCAGAAGACAGGCGGGACTGTCTGCATTGACATGTTAAGTAGGAGTCTCTATATAAACCCACTCAAAGACACTCCTTCAGTCGTTTCTTATGGAGGGAGAGAGATTAACTTCAAGAATAACGGAAGAAAAAAGTAAAATGGTGGCGACAACAGACTGCGCGGAGAAGTCCAAAACCATTGCTGGAAACAAGGTGTGTGGATGATTTTTTTGGACCTTGTCTGAATAATCAAGCAGTGATTTCTGCAGGATCACCCGGGTGTAATGTATTAAATCTAGATTTTTTTTCCCTCTCAACAGGTGTCCAAACCTCTGATGGAAAAGAAACGGAGAGCACGCATCAACAAGTGTTTGGATCAGTTAAAATGTCTCATGGAGAACTACTACAGCAGCAGTGTAAGAACGGTGTAATAGAAGTTATTGTCGTTTTTGGAGTGACTTCCTCAGTCAAATATCAGCTGTAAATTGGCCAGATAATTAAAAACATATCTTCTTCTGCAGATTCGAAAGCGCAAACTGGAAAAGGCTGATATCTTGGAACTCACAGTGAAACATCTCAGAAACCTGCAAAAGATCCAGAACTGTAAGTTTGTACCTCACTATACACAGCTGTGGATCAGTTGTGGCATCTTTACATGCTTTGTTGAGTTTAACTGATTTTATGGAGACTTGAGGCTCACGTTAACTCACAGCTTCAGTGTGAATCCGACGTTAATGTGTCTCTGTTCTTCTTTTAGGCACTGCTCCTTCTGCCTCTGACTTTTCTGATTACCAAATGGGCTTCCGTAGTTGCATGGCAAACGTCAACCAATATCTGATGATGGCGGACAACTTGAATGGCAACGACAACTTGATGTTATCTCAGCTCCCAAGTCGCCTCTGCCGCTCCCGTCCACGGGAGGAAGTCTTCAGCACCATGGACAGCGACCAGGGCCAGGCCGAGGCACGAGATGAGGCGTCAAGGTTTCTTTCATCTGCAACGAAACCTGAGGAGAGAAAGACATTCACGTGGAAGGCTCTGAAAACCCACAGTACGAGTGTGTCTCCACTTTTACCCAGAAAAGACTCCCAGCAGCTTCAAGCAACCAAACAGGCTAACAGTGTACAGGCTCCCAAACCAAACCTCCATGAAAACAGCTCCGGTAACAAGACGTGCCATTCAACAAGTCACACAAATGAAACTGCGAACACTCAGGGAAACGTGTGGAGGCCTTGGTAGAACTTATGAGAAATCTTTAAAAGATATCATTGAAGCATTTAATGTTTACAACTGCACTGTATAGATCTACACAATAAGCTGTTCTCCTTATATTGTAAATGCTTTATTTTCTTAGTAAAACTTGTGAAATAAAGAGTGTCAGAGCGGATTGACGTGATGGTTCTTGGCCTCTCAGGTGACTGGTTCCAAAGCAGAAAGGGTTGATTTATCGGGATTCCTAGCCAATCCAATTTCTTCGTCACAAACCGATGGCTATTGAAAATACGACTAGCCCTAACTGATAAATCGATAAAATGGGCGAAGTGATTAAGAATTACAATCTTACTACTATACAGGCCAGAAAATCTCAAAGAGCATTTTAATCCACTGATAGACGTTCGGCGAATCTTAGAGTAAGATGTGTTTAATCAATTATTAACACTGAGGTTGTGCTAAGATTTTTTTTTTCCGGATTACTCGTCATTATCAGGAAAACCTGTGAAGACTGAAGAGAAAACGGGGGGAACTATTTTTGTTATGTAATTATTTATTTATTTTTAATTTTTTAATTTATTATTTTTTTAGGTAAAAGCAACGACGCACAGTATTAACTCATTGGTCCTGCTCAGTGTTTCTGCCCATTAAAGGGAAGTTTTTTTCCTTGCCACCGTCACTTATTTTGGATGGGATAGGCAAAGGGCGCCTTAATGCATGGACATACACGGTCTGCAGCCCAGGGCCTCACATTTGGGACCTCCCGAGGGGGGCACTTCACCTCACTTCGCAGCATAGCATTAAATGATAACGTTTATAGCCGTTTCACCCATGGCATACTGCATGATTTTTTTTTTATTAAACTGCAATCTGGTGACAAATAGCCTAATGCATAATAATAAAAACGATGGTATTATAAACAAGCAGAGCGAAAAGAGCATCTGCAGCTGATCTCCTAAAACCACCGAGGGGGAGAAAATTGCAGACAGTGGTCCCGAATATGGGTCTAACTCTTTCTTACCCTGCCAGTCACCAACGCAAGTGGTGAGAGATCTTTCTCCAAACTTTAATTTGTGAAAAGCAAGCTGTGGTCATCTATACAGCAAGACAGACCTACCTCACGCATATTTCCATTGATATAGTGGGGAACATGACATTCTGTGAGCCGTGGATTTTAATGCACAGTTGAGAACTTTGCTGTAAAAAAAAGACCAGGAGAAAGCACTTCTAAAAGTAAAACAACCACCCCAGTGGGCTTTTACTTTGCCTGTCAGTTTGTCTTTTAGAAAAGTTTAATTCAGTCCCATTGTTACTGTCTGAAGAGGCATTTTAGTGGGGGTGCACTTTAGTTTTATTTTAGCTTATTGTTGACCTCGTTTTACTTGTTTTACTTGTTATTTATTGTTATGTTAACAAGGAAGACACTGCATTTGTTGTCGCTGTCTGGGGTTCTGATCCTGAATCGATGTTTTCATGTAGTTTCATAAACAAGTATTTTTATCAACAAGAGAAACACATCACAGAAAATAGAGAATGTGACATTACGTTTTACGGAGTCTGATGATGAGCCAGGCTTAAGCATATTAAGCGTACTGTTCAGCTGAAAATTTGATAACATCGACAAAGTTCCTTTCTTAGCGAGGGATTCTTTTTTGTCTCTCAATCCATACATGGAATAAACTTATAAGGGTCACAAGGCCATAGGTTCTTGCTACTCTGGTGAAGACCTTACTTAACACAAACCGGCGAAACCGTTTCTAAAGAAGAAATTAGAAACTAGATTTATATTAGAAGTTATGATTTTCATACAGACATTACATGCTAAACAACATACATAAAGGCATAAAAAATACGCTTTTTTTGTATAGAAAGAGCTCATTAAAGGACTGTGATCATTTTGGAAATACTTTCAAAATTAAACCAAATATAAAATGATCACCTCCAACTTGAGTAATTTCAAATTGTTGTATTTTGTCTGCGTGAGAGTTACAGCCTCCGCTTCAAAACTGCAGACAAGCTTAAAGGCTAATGTTAAGTGTAATCTCTCAATCCAAACAATTTCCTGGTGGATCGTCAGGTCGTAAACCAGTCCCGAATTATATTTGTCACACGCATTTCAATATATCTAGTTATCATAGTCGAACACTAAAATGATTAAGTCCCTTCATTAATCCCTTGGTCCTTCCCCGTTCTTCCAGCCACTTCGCTCCTTTGGATCACACTACAGTTTTCTTCCGCTGCGTTGGCAGGGATGTCATAAAGTGTCTGTCCTTTCTAAAGATGCAGCGATGGAAAGGATGGCACCTACAGCGAGGAGAATCGCTGAAACGCCCACAACTCTTTCAGCTGAAAAGACGCTGCTGCGCCATGGAAGGGAGCCGCTCCACATTGTCTCGTTCAAGTTTCTACCCCCTTAAATGACAACCAAACTCGCAGCTTCGAGCCCCCTTGTGGCAAGTATTTGCCGTAAGCTTTTTGTTTGGTCCGATCAGCGCACAAAACCCGTCAGTAAATCTTGTTAATGCTCCCTTTGCCGCAAAGTCAAAGACTCTCTTTTGATGAGATGAAGAGAGGCCCAGCGCACAAGAAAAGTTTGTTTTATCCAAGAAAGGAGCAGCCACGTGACTATCACACTGAATGCCCTTAAACTTTTTCTAAGAATTTCTATGAACTACTCTCAGCATTGTCTAAGTGAACTAGTTTAGTTTGCCACTATAATAGCGACGCACATTAGCGCAGAGAGGCGAAGTGAGGGAGAGAGAGGTTATTAGCATCATATTGGGTTCAGCCAGGCGACCCTAACAGGGCAGACGTGGGTGAAGAGCACAGCAGACCCTCACCCCACTTCATTTTGGTGATGGGCCTATGCTCTGCAAAAGCCGAAAAATGTTTTGTGTAATTTTTCAAAAAGTCACGCAGTGTGTTACCAACCCAGTCGTTTGTGTTGCTTCAACACGGTTTGAATCGCGGACTTCTAATTAGGCGTGAACTGTAGACCTACTCGATAGAGCTGTCCTCTGACTCCAGGCTGGTTCAACCTACTGCACACTGTGGAGTAACCCTTTCACTGCTACAACTTCGTAGACCTATCACAGCTAAATGACACTATCCTCACAGGCTCACATTTGATGTTACTAAGATGTGAGCTTGAGGTGTGTCCTATGACTATGTAGTCCTTGTTTGATCGGAATTATTGTTGATAAAGCACACCTATTGTATTTGTCTCCAATACAAACACACAAAGGCACATTAAAGCCTCAATACAAATACAAAGAATGTTAATGAAGTTCATAGATATTACTGTTTAGAACAAATTGCCTGTTGTTTTTGGTCTTGATGTGATACTCCATGATGATCATTTAAAGGTAAAACATACCATTGAAAGAAGTTTAAAGAGATTGACTTGAAAGAGTTGACAGAACTCTGTGACAGAACATGGATGTCAAACAGATACAAAACATGGGGCTGTTACACCTGTGTGTGTGTGTGTGTGTGTGTGTGTGTGTGTGTGTGTGTGTGTGTGTGTGTGTGTGTGTGTGTGTGTGTGTGTGTGTGTGTGTTGACTTTTTAAAGATTCCTTTAGGTTTTTATTTGAAGTTTTTACTTATTTGTTCTCGTGGCTGATATCAGGTCCTCAGTTCCACTTTGGTTCTTTTCTCCTTTCTTTGTAGTGTATTGTCACCAACGGTTTAAAAAACTATTTTGGTTACTTTAATTTCAACATCAGTGTTTTCACTCTCATGCCAATTTGCATCCTGAACACATGAACACATAGCCTTTAGAATATGATCATGAGAAGAAAACAGGATCAAATACAAAATCAACATGCTGAGGTGAAATCTCACTCATAGTAACAGATCAAGATACAAAACACTTCTTTATGAATAAAAATGTTCAACAGAAAGTGACCCTACAAGTTGTCTACACACTGTTGGGATATGTTAGAGATCCCGATCACCATTCTTTGCCTTAAGGACTGATTATTACAAGAGACACTATCAACACAAGATGATGAAATGAAGACTGTCCACTTACCTCAGTTCTCAGACTGAGATCTCTACTTACCATACCACTCTTGGTGGAAAAAAAAATACCTCAAAAGTTTTGCAGAGTTGACATTTCAGAACTGAGTCTGATGCTCTCTGTAATTTCCCCATGGTGGACACATTGGCAGCACCAAGAAAAAAAATACAGCATGCACCCGTGCAAGACATACACAAAACACTGACCCATGTGCTTCCTGCCTTGAAGATCAAACTATGTTCAGTTAACAATATTTTCAAGTCCACCTGCATCCGTGGTTCAAGATGTTTCCTCCACTGGGGCCTCTGCAGCCCTGTCAGACACTAAGCCTGGCTCTATGTGAGTCACACTCTGATGCATGTCTTTGCTGGAGACAGACTGCTGCTGTTGCTCTTCTGTCTCTATCCCACACGATGTCACTTGAGTAACCAAAGAATGACATGAGGATGTGACAGTCTGCTGTGTAATTCTTGACTCTCAGCTCAGAGGTTGGCCAGCTCAGAGAAACCAGAGCATTACACAGAGGAGATGCTTCTGTTGACAGTACCGCCCATCCACCTCCAAACCTCGGACACAATTTCATCTTCTATCTTCAGAAACTGAAGGCTTTGCTACTGCTTGGTTTCAGGCCTTGAGACTGAGAAAATCTGATCTCAAAAGATGCCCCCTTTGTTTTTTAATAGTTTATCTGAATTAAAGTTGTTTTAATTCAAGTTCATTTGTTGACTAATAATAAAAAACAACAACTATGTGAATGTTAACTTTTGCCTTCCTCCTTCTCATTGTATTTATCCTTGTAAGAGTCAGCCAGTGAAAACTTAAACTCAAGAAGGACCAGAAAAAAAGACCCCTGATGTTCAGGATCAGCTGTTAGTAACAGGCCTTGACAAAATATTAAAAAAAGATGAGTAATAAAGAGATTAGCTGAATAAGATCATAAAGACCATTCTTCAAAAGCCTTATGCTTTGCACCATTGTCATCATAACATAATCTAGATTGTGCATGCCCTGTATATTTGCTACAATAAAAGGGGTTTTGTGTTCCAGTATTATTTTCATGATCTTGTGTTAATGCTAACTGTGAGGGGCACAAAAAATCTGAGATGGAGGAGGAAGAGCTGAAGAAAAGCTCATGTTCCTTAAAAATGTAAAGCGGGAAACAATAAGAGAGATTTCCTTCCCAAATGATCAAGAAAAGACACAGCATACAACTTACAACTCCGCCTGCATCCTGCAAAGCAGTTTTGTCACAGAAAAGTTCATGCCTTACTGCGGTACCTTGGAATGATTGTAACCAAGAAATGTCAATGTTTAGGGCTATCTATCCTGTCTTCACTGTTGTTTCATCATTAATTTTCCTTTTTGAAGAAATGCAAATTGGACACACACCTCAGCCTATTTATTTGAATCTTAATATACAATATAGAAGGTCTGGCAGAAATGTTTTGCTACACCTAAATATGGTTTATAAGGCATCCGGGTCTGGATTATCTTTCATACATTGGCTATACTAACTTACATATAGATAATTCCAACGGCAGGGAGACCGATCGGTCACAATCATCATAAAAAAAAAAAAAGTTGGCCAAAGAACCCTTCTTTCCTGTTTGGCCGTGTTACATAAAGAAAGATCTGTCTTTGACAAGTTCATAATGGTGCACTCAACTCGAGGTAAAAAAATGAACAGAGAGCAGAGGGAGAAAAAAGATGATCCTGTTGGCAACAACCAAATTCAAATAAGTAAACAGCATCTGCAAAAAAACAGAAAAAAACACACCTTTAAGCATCATCATGTGGATTTAATCAATCATATATTTCAACAGATTCATAATTTAAACAAAAAATCATAACATTGAATATCATTCCTGTTTAAATCATTTATATTTAATATGTTACAAAATTATATTTCAATATTGTGAACACAAAAGAGCAAAACTCTATGGCATAGCATAGTTTGACAGGTAAATGTAATGCTCCAAACAAATCTCAGCAAATCTGTTCAACTGTATTGGTTTACCTGAAATGGTGAGAGCTACACTTAAAGATAACATTTCTAACTCAGTGTTTCAAATGACCACTGATGAGCAAAAATTTCAATTGGGAGGTAGTAACAAACAAGTTAACCAGCTTCTTCGAAGAGAAAGGAAATTCACTTTTTCCTGTCTTAATAATTTCTTTGAAAAACTAGAATCTAATCAGTTTAATTACATTCATGTTCACACTGTCCTGGCAAAAAGAAGCCAAAGCTTGAAGTCAAACCAGAGCAAGTTATCATCACTTTTTGGTCAGTAAACTGCCCCAGTTTGTAAATTGCTAAAGCATTCATGCCAGGAAAGGTTGGCTTTTCAGTAATGTTTATTTTATTTTAAGTTTATTTTTCTGGAAGGTGCTAAAGGATTTCTTTTATTATTCAATGGAGGGTATTAATAAATAAATAAATGTAATAAATGTAAGTTGCCTTGGGACATACTTTGGAAATAATATGTCAACTTTATTTATCTGTTGGTTTGAAAAAGTAAATTACTTGCTCTGGAGTATTGATTGATACTCCAATCAAAGGCAACTCAATTTTGTATCTGTTCACAATGTTTCTACCTGTTGATTTAGTTACATTACCAGCCTTGAAGTTATGCTACATCTACTCTGGATCCTTCGACATCTCCATAATTGGCTTTAAAACATTATTGGAACATATATGAGACAAGGTCAGGCTGACATGCTAAGTTCATAGGGAAAGAGCACCATTACTTGCAGTATTGGTCAGATGTTCCTTGTGTAAATATCCATTGTTGGCAGTAACTGTTGTGTCTGATGAAAAGTTAACACGAACATACACAAACAGTTATAAGAATTGAGAGGAAAATTTTGAAAGGACAACCAAACCATAAACCTGAGGTCCTTCATATATACATGCCATGTAAACTAAAATGACTATGTTTTCATTTTGAATCAGGGGCCTTCACATTACATTTCCAGATCTCAAACTGAACTGTTAGGCCTTGGAGAACCACGTTTATAGTACTTCAATTAAGGGGGCTTCTTAAAAGCTTTGAATGAGTCTTAAATTTTAGTATTAAAATATTATTTTACACCATTTTCAAAATAAAATAAATACCAGAATGCAAAATAAGTCATTTTCTGAAGATGATCTCAAAGTACTTGGTTAGTATCTATGGACAGTTTGTTTTAAAGCAAACGTGCCGATAAAACAAAACACACAGCTATCAGGTGCCAAACAAACACAGTTATAAGTTAAGGTTTTCAGAGTGCAATAATAAAAGAAACACATAAAAAAGACAAATCTGACAACTACCTCCCTTAAGTCTTTAAACATTTCATAAAAAGCAACATCAAACAGCAAAAACAAGGTGTGGGAATGTTCAGGTCATTTAAAGACTGTGCCGCAAAAAAAGTTTCCTTGGTTGATAATTCAATGTCAATTCTGGGAAAAGGGCCATCCAACCTTTTCAAAGCCTACACAAAGACTTACATTTAGGCCTCATCTCAGGATTGTTTGGCATAATTTTGTTTGATTTGTGGTTATACCTAGCAAGAATATACTGGCAAAAACAAATCCAAATGATTCAGTAGGTTACTTTTTCAAAATTTAGCAAGATTCCATGGTGATAACAGGTTATGGTCACCAATGGTGTTGATATTAACAAGGGAAACTTCCTTTCAGGTGGTAGAGCCCACAGAGTCAGAATGAAAGGTAATGTACCCCGAGGAGGATGCTGATGGTGTGCTTACAAAACTGTTTGTGCTTCCTTTGCCCTCCGCCTTGCTTAGGTGCCTCTGTTGCCCCCAGTCACTCCCAGCACCTGCCCCAGTCCCCCCGCCTGTCCTTAGCCTATGGACAGAATGCCCCTGAGTCTGACGGCACCCAGGTGAGCCAGCTCCACACTGCTGTTTTTTGTCCCGTGAGAGCTCTTGGCAGTCTTTACCTGAATCACACACTCCAGGGCCCTTCTTTGTCGCAGGTCTGTCTGGTTTTGGGGAACCCTCAGGTGAGTTGCCCCGACTACTGCTTCTTCTGTGTTCAGAGAGTCGCCTGAGTGCTTGAGGCTCACGGTCAAAGTCTGTAAGTGGGAAGTAGGGAAGAATGACTATGGGCTGTTCATACACATGAGGGATAAGTGAGATGGCGGACGTGCGCCGCGGGCTCTTTCTGGGACTCGGCAGAGGTGTCTCATCTATAAAGTTAATCACCTCATCACGGCTGAAACACCGCAGCTCATCCTCATAGCGCTCCCCTCCACAAACCACACGTGGCAGGTGCTTTAGGGAGTGCATACTATCCTCAGAGCGTCGCCGTTTGCGGTGTGGGTGATGATGATGATGATGGTGATGATGATGGTGGCTCTCCTCCTGGTAGGAGACCAGGCTGCTCCTGCGCCTCTCGTGGCGCGGCAAGGTGGAGCTGTAGTGGGCACTCACTATCATGTCCTCGGTGGAGCCCCATCGGTGCAGGTATGAGGGGATCAGGTCGCTGGTCCACATGTCGGTTTCGTCGTGGGAGTATCTTCTTGTAGGGGGCACCTGAACACAACACACAAACCAAACCCTTTAGTCTATGAGTAAATCTGAAATTACTTCACCAATAGATCTTCATTAAAACAAAAGAGATGAACACATTAATCAACTGATATGGTATGAAAAATTATTTGAGAATATTAAACATCTTTGTAGGAATTTTGAAGATTAATAATACTCTGCAGTAGTTGAATAGTAGCTGTCACAATGAACTGCTCTTTATTTAAAGCTGAAGTGAAATCTTTCTTGTAATATTCTCATGACACAAAGTATTCATGTTTGTGGATTTGTGCTATGTTCGGTACTCTGATAAAGTTGTTGTGTCAGTGTCAAATCCTACATGTTGCACATACAAGTTGTATGCCCAGGATGTTAAGTGCAACTTAGATTTAAATGTTCCCTTAGGCATGTAAACACTACCTTAGACATAATAACATGCAGACAAGATTATATCTGCTCTACTGTTTACCTCCATTTTTTGGAGATAAAGAGGAAAAAAACAGAGCTCTCCATGTTATACTCACATTCCATTCTGTTCTGACAACTATGCAAGAGAGAGAGGGTTTGTCAAGGTGACGTCAAGAGCCACAAGATTGATATCAGCCTGCCCCTCTGTGGTTGCTTTTAGTAAATGCAGAGAAATGAGACAGAAGACGATACAGTAGCACTGAGTGTGTTATGTGGGAAACCTCAACAGCAGAGGGCAGCACAAGCATTGGAATGAGAACGGATGCAGGACAGTCTCAGCAGGACAGAGACAGGGAACAAATGCACATCACAAAAAGCCATAAAGCCAAAAAAAGGCTTTATTTGGTTATCACACCACTTCACAAGTGGAGGTGCCACATGATCATGGTTTGAAGAGGTTGGTCTTATGATCTAGCTGGGCCTTAACCCTTCCAGCAGAGTCAACATAGTCACAGTTCAGCAAGTCTTTATGTTGCTGAAATTAAAAATTGAAACAATGCACCTTATTTATTTCACCATCACACACACATACATAAAGAACAAGCACAGCTAAATCTACTTTATAAACAATGACTGTACGACTATGTAGAGAGATGTGATACACAAAGCGATGGATGGAGATAGTGGTTTGGCCTAATGAGGTGATAGCTACTGTATACATCTCTGTTTCAGTGCTTCTGAAAAAGTCTGAAGGTATTTGAAATGTCCTACATTGTGTTGGACATCAGTGACGTAACAGCAATTTAATTTCTGTTACTATTAGTGGTTAACAAAGTGCAGTCAAAAAGGGTTTTGACTGCAGACTTTTCTGATGACACCAAAGCCCTTGCTTAGTTGTCTGCCACAAAGATGACACAGCTATTAGTTTATAAGAGACAGCATAGTGTGGGTTGCATTTTCTTGTTTCTGTATTAACATATCCTCACCACAGTCTTGCAGGCCAAGTCTAGTGAGATTTTTTTTAATCAAAATTACAAATTAAAGCTACAATTTTAGTCAATATCCATCAGATTTCTGACCAAGGGACAGCAATCATGGTCAAATCAATGTTGGAACCAAAGCAGATCAGAGGATTTTTTATTCTGTCCTAGAAGGCTGCATGTCTGAACAGGTATTTTTGGTTTTTATTACGGTTGAAAGAAAAGGATTGTTTTTTTTTTTTCCGACAGCTCTGCATTAGACTGGGATGGATGCCAGATATGTTTTGGGTAGAACATGATGTGATGTTTATGGTGCTTTCCTAAATTTTGGGAAGGCTCCTGAAATACGGGAAGTAAATCATTTACTCAACTCTTACAAAAGAGAAATTTAGTCAGTTGCATGTCCATGACCAAGACAGAGTGATAAATGAAGAACATTGAATATGCTGATGGGACTGTTGATGGTCATATTTACCAAACATTAGTCAGCCAGAGTGTATTTTTTTGATTTAGTACAAAGTAGACGATCTGGAAGATAACATTACAGAATGTCTTGATGATTCAAGTTCAAGCAAAATACTGTAAAGGCCAATGAGGCCATTTCACCATGCACATAAGCAATGAAGTTTCATGTAAAAATAGTTCAATTGATCAATTAAAAGAAATGAAGGAAATCAATGAAAATATACCTGCAAATACTGCATTTTATCTTCCTGATGTTCCCTCAATGGATACCCTTGCAGAACCCCCCTTTCTAAGGTTGAGAACTCATACTTGGCATTACGGTCTACCGTCACGATTTCAGGCGACGAGCTATAGTCATATGGTCTGTCATTTATTAAGTCGGCATGTATTCCTCCATCTTGGCTGTTTTCTGCAAGGTGCAGAAAAGCACGAGCGTCAGGATTAGAGAGCAACGGACTCAATACACAAGACAGACAGACAGACAGACGAATAGATAAGAGAGACAAGTTCATTTGTTCTCTGGAAAGTTGACTTTTCACATGGGTCTGCTCATAAAAATATGTGGTTTGGTTAAAAAATTGTCAGTATCAAGATTGTCAAATCAAATGGTTTGTAGGAGCGGGAAAAAAAAAGAGAAACGCCCAAGATTGGTCCTGAACTCAGAAACTAAACCAAATGGTGACTAAAATAATCTTGAAATCCCCAGAGCTCATATATCCTCAACAAAATCATACAATGTCAAGATTTCTTACTACTCATCAGTAAAGTTTGTTTGGTCTCAGTGACTGTGTTCATGTTCCTTAAAGATCAATTGTAGATTGGAGTAAAATGGTTATACTAAGAAAAATGTAGGCCAAAAAGATGGAAGATGAAAGTAGCTTTTTGCACAAGCAGCTTGGCATGCAAGTCAGTAGCTCTGGTAAAACAGGAAACAATCCTTATACATACAACTGTGATGAGTTATACATGGCAAGCCCTCTGGAAAAAAGCAGAGACCTGGCAGCGTTAATTATCAGACAGAATGTGGCCTGCCCTGAGTTGTTTTATGGCTCCTGCTGGACAATGAGCAGTTATTAGGGAGGGTGTAAAGAGGAAGGAAATCAGAGGGTTTGGAGGGTTAGAAACAGGAGAGAAGGGTACAGGTTGGGTTGAGTTTAAACATTGCCAATAGAAAGAAAAACAAATGGTTCATAATGTCATCAGTCTGCATGAATTTATGTTGAATTAGTCATGGATGCACTTCATGAGCTCTTCTATGATTATCATGTGACCTAATTTAGGACCAAATTAAGTGTCTGTGACTCCTCGAAGAAACGTCTCAGTTTCAACCCTCTTTGATATCTCTGTCATAAAAAAACAAAGCTTGGACCATTTCTTTTACTTTTATCTATTATTCAGATGTCTACTAAGAGCCATTTTTCTACGTCTCTGTTATTTTACAGAAATTTGCTTCACTTATATCTGAGCAGTTAGTTGGAATCTAACAAAACACAAAACTCAAATAAACTCCAACTAAACAGAAATAAAAAAACAAAAAAGTAAAAACACCATTCATTTAAATTACATTGCAGTTAGTTTTAAGGATAAAAAATGGTAGATTGCTTTGTGACTTGAGGGAAATATGACCATCATAATGACATGAAAATGCTTTTCAGCTTTACTGCAATTGTTCAGTGTATCAGGATCCTAGAAAATAAATGGAGTACCATTTATTTTATCTTCCTCATATATCATGGCAATGTAGAGGAAGACTGCCTTGTTTAATGGCATGAAAAAGAAAAAAGTGCTACCAGGTAGGAAACCCTTTTTTCTTTTTCTTTGTAAAGACATAAATCTCACAGCAAGATAAAGTAAAGCATTTTATGAAGTACACATCACTGACAAAAATAACAAAGAAAAACATACCATACTGTCAAGAGTTGTGTTACAGACACTTGTAACGGTTTCATTTTCTGACAACAAAGGTCACATAATAGGTCACATGATAACATTGACCCCTTTTTTCCAAACATTAAGCCACAGCAAAAAGATCATGTTAGTAGTATTAACCATTCAAAGCAAACTCGGTATTCTGTATAACACTTTTTTCAGAAACATGTACAATAATCACAAAATTAAGGGTGGCCCTATGGGACGTTCATAACCACACAGTCAAATTAAGTCGTGCTGTCATGCAGTTCAACCAAATGCAAAAATACCCTTGTTAATAGCTTTACATGTGATGAATGACCTGAATATTGTAATATTACAACTACATAAGATTCTGATAAGATAATTGTTGTCATATTCTATTTCTAGCCTCTTTCTTGCATCTCCTTCAATCAGTTTCACCTCTGTCCATCTCTTTCTTGCTTACCCCTCTCTTTTTCATTAACACTTGGGATAGCACTTATTGTGAGTTGGCACTATATGAATAAAAAAGTTTTTTTATTGATTAAAATGGTCAAAGGCAGAAGCACCAGTATACCCCCAAAAAGAACATGAACAAAAAACTGTGTGCAAAATCAGCTGTGGTGGCAACAGAACCATAACCAAAGTTGATGTTATTCATTAAAGAAACATTTTGATTTTAGCTGACTTTATTCATCATTAATCAATATGATTACAGGAATATAAAGTTCCTGGGAATTGGTAGTTGGTGTTGTTAAATATGCTGTATCCGAGTGGCTGATACATTGACCAATGGCAAACAAATCTATGTCTGAAGACTGACACCTTACATTACGGCATGGAGCAGGGGTGGAAATCAAATAACAGGCAATACACCACAGATCCCCTTAGCCCCATACTAACCTCTGTTTCCCTCCTACTAGATGCTTAGCCCACTTTTTTTTCCCCATCAGCACTACATCCTCGGTAAAGAGACATAACTATTCAGGTTGATGAATGACATTTTTCACTGTTATTCCTACAGCCAAAGACAGTCCAGAAAACAACACCCTGTATCTAAACCCAGAGAGATGTGCATATGCTTAAACCGTAACTTTAATTATGTTAAATCAGATTCATTTAAAAATCTGCTACAAAGATTTCATACTTAAATATTTTTTGGACACAGGACTTATTACTCATGTTTACTTCATCAAGTGAAGAAAGCAGGAAAACAGGGTGGCAGCTAGCAATGTCTTACCCTCATCCACGTCGTCGTTGGACATGATTGCAACACACTTCTCCCACACCATGCGGATGTCAGCCCGATAGCGGTCACAAGCCCAGAGGAACATGGGCAGAAGGATGGACTGTACAATGGAGCACCACAGCACACACAACACCATCCAGTTGTAGGAGCGGTCAAACTTTAGACTGGCAAAGCTCACCACCTGGATGGGATCGAAAGAGAGATAGACAAAGATTAAATTAGCTGTTATGGTGTACGGAGGTGTCAGTAGACAATTTTAACAAAGCTACTACATTTTATAGATCCTGTTGATGTGCAAGTCAGTGCTCAGAAAATACTAGAATGTCCACTGCAGCAGTTTTTTTCCCTATAACCCTGTTTTGTTATCAATCGTTTTTTGTTGAGGGACTAAAAGACCAAAATAGATCATTTTTAAGTCTATTTACGATATCATGGCTTTATGAATGATTGCAAAGTTAGCTGCTGACATTTGTATTTGGAAAGTACAGATGATAAAAACAACTGTTTAGTGAGAGACCTGTATCAATAAGTTACCCATGATAGTGGTCAACACTTCCACTTACGAGACTAATGGAATCAGGGTTTTTCATTTAAATGCTTGCATTTGTCAACAACACAAAACTTGAGGCAGATTACTCTTAATCAGTGAGCTATATGGGGAAGTGAGAGGTCCAACAAGCTAGCTGTTTCCCCTTGTTTTTAATCTCCAGACGAAGACAAGCTGAATAGGTTGCTTAACCCATTTCCATCCCTAATGTACTTTCATTGTATACTTGGAGGATATACAAATTATTGCACATAATAAGTATAAATAAGCAGAGGAAGTACAAAGGTTAATTTATTTGTAGTACTTTGTTCTTAAAAGCTAAAAGAGTCCTCTGAGCAGTTAACTATGTCATATAAAAATTCTGTACACAATGAAATACATGGACTTGACTGAGCAATTTCACCTTCTTTATGTCTACTTTGGGACTGAACCCTTTTCCAAGTTTTGGACTAGGAAACAGGTGCCAGCTGAATTCTTGCACAGTCTGGCTTTTATAATTAATCCAATCCTCTCTCTTTTCCTAATAGAGCTTTTTCTAGGTTCTGCCTGAGTGTCAACTTAGAAAAACCTTTGTGAACTGGTTGTAACTGTGTCAGATGGTATTAAAATTTGATATTGTGTAATTGTGCTTTCGTACATGTTTAAAAGGCAGTACAGATGGAAGGCCATGCCTGATCTTATATGTGAAGGTCACATACAATCAGCTTGTTTATTTAATCTCTGAATTCAGCCATTGGATGTATTTTTGCGCCAATTTGTTCAATGTGGTTAACACCTCAGCACAATCACGAATTATCGATCATTAAAGCTGACAGGTCAGTATCTGATCCTAATCTCTGATGCACCGGCCAAGACACTGATAACTTTATTAAGAAAAACTCATTACTGTCCTAATTACACCTTGAACAGCAGGGGCATCACTTTGTCACACAATTAGGTTGTTGATGGTATAATGATAATATTATGAGTGTGGAATCTATGGTTATGTTGCTTGTACAGCTGATGACCTTTCTTTCAACAGGTGCTTCTTATGTTCTTTTAAGCTTCTTATCAGTGGTGCAGTTTTATCTCTGTTCAACTGTGTGTTTTCAACTGGAGCTATAAACTCATCAAGCTCACAGACTGATAACATGATGCTAACAATGAGACACTTAATAACCGGTGTGTGACCTTCAATATAAGACTGTTTAAAACGGCAATAATATCCTGCTCTTGTGTGTGTGTATGTTTGTGTGTGTTTGTGTGTGTGTGTGTTTGTACGCAATACAAACACTATATGTAATGAGTGTTTGTATTGCGTACGTGTAATTTCTTCAACAAATACACACTTTTGGGAGGATGATAACTCATAGCTTTGTTGTTATATGAAATTTCTCAACGGTTTTCTCACAGTAGTGATTCTTTTCTGTTGCGTTCATCTGTTTCTTAGTATTTACATGTATGTTACAGTTTCCAATCATTTAAATGTTTTTTTTTACATCAGGTTATAAGGAGGGCTTTAGCAGCTCTCTTTCTGGCACTGCACTAGGAATGTAATCTTCATCTTTATACATCAACTTTAAGCTTACGAAAAAACAGAAATAAGCATTTGATCCTAAATTCAAATGTATCAGTGTAGCAGCTTGATGGTCTCTATCCTCTATCACAGCATTTTCTATCTTCTATCTTTCCCCGTACAATAACCAGGAGAAATAAAGAAATTACTCATATATTTCCCTGTTTTTTTTTTTTTCAACAACAAACAGCAGTAGTAGTTCTTTAACATCTGTGTCCCCATCCGTCCAGAGTAACTGCTGCCACCAACAAGGATTTAATAGGAGAGTTCATCCAGTCTCGTTACTGAGGTAACTTTTGGAGATGTAACTTTGCACACATATAATTCAGGGCAGGTGCATCAGAGAGCAAGGGATCCATCAATTCATTCAAAGGGAAACACCTGCACACTGTCCAACTTGCAAGGAAAGGAACAATGTTATTAGCAACATTTCGGTTCTAGACCTTCATCAGGCAAACAATCTGTTCAGAGGACCAAGACGTGTCAAATAGGAGGTGGCCTCACACCTGCAGGCACCTTCTTATCACTACGTCAGAGCTCAATTAACAAAGGTAACGAACATTGACACTGACACATTCTGCAGTCAGACAGTGACCTTTCCTCTGTTTTTAAGGCTTCTCCCCTGTTAGTCAATAAGACAGGCAAGAACATTTCGGACCTCCTAGTTCGTGCTACTTTTGACCAATGTGTATCCATGCCAGATCCTCAGACACACCTCCTCCCACGCCCTGAAGGAAACTATCCATGTGGTAGCTGTGCTCAGTGCAACAATACCCATAAGACTGAAAATTTCTCTCATCCCTACACAGGTTCAAGATTCCCAGTCAAATGTGTGATCACCTGTGCACCCACACACTTAATCTCCTTGTTACATTGCCTGTGTGGCAATGTTGCCGATTGCCTGTATGTTTGGAAAACAACAAGAAAACTATAGCAGAGGATCAGTAAGCACAAAAGCACAATAAGACGCAATGACAGAGACTATCCTGTGGCTGTACATTTTAATAATGCACACCATGACATTACATCACTGCGTTTCTTTGGTACTGAACAAGTCACCCTCCTATCCAGGGGAGGGAACCTTGACAAACTTGTAATCCAGCGGGAGGCTCACTGGATCCACACTCTTCAAACACTGGCTCTAAAAGGGCTTAATGGTGAACTCAACCTTCAAATTTTCTTATGAATTGATGTTTTCTTATGAATTGATGCTTTAGAGGAAATTGTTAAGTGTTTCTAATGCCGTTTGATATAAAAAAAAAACTTTTGTTTTTTTTTCCCCAAGGCTGGACGATCCTGCTACCGAGATCCCCAGATACACATGAAATAAGCACATTTACTTTCAGGCTCATTTGATTTTGGTATGTTTATACTTTGCTCTTGGTGAGCAGACATTAAAATTCATTAAACACTAGAATATCTTTACAGTATACAAGGCCAAACTTAAGATCACTTAAAAAGCCAGGACCTGCAAAGTTTTAGACAGACTTCCTATATGAGGAAAATAACAGAGATTATCCTATCTTTGGGTCGGCCTTCAAAGATGATCAAACATTATAACAACATGAAAAACATTAAAAGACATGGCAAAGAAATTGATGGTTACAGATATTTAAAATCTTTTGTACAACCATTTTATCCTAATCTTATATAGATATTAACAGTAGTAGATGCTTTCGTTGATTAAATATTACAATCAACTTATCATGGAAACATCAGTGAAAAGTTTCATAAATATTATCTATTCTTTTGTGCATTTCAAAACAGTCAAAGGCTGTGAATTGTTATTATAAAAGGGCTTTTTGGTTTTAGGCCATCGCAACACATGGTGGTTTACTTTGGCAAAAATTAGGCATTGCAGATTTAAGAACAATAAAACATTTATCTCACAGATTAACATAATTTTTTTTTCTCCATAGTTTTACAATGTTCCACATTTCTGCATTTCAGGTGTGTACTGATAGTGACATTTAACATCTTTTTGGTTTGCCTCAGATGTGGACAATTCAGTCTAATAATGAGAAATACTACTAATAGAAGATATAAAAACCCAAACGCTTTACTTAATTATACAAATAGTGAAGCTGAGGTCCTTTGATAAACAATGTTCTCCCAGTTCAACATAAAAGTGAAATAACTTTGTGGTCAATGCGATTGAATACTACACGCTGTAATCTTCATGGCTTAAACATGAGCAGAGGGCACTCGCTTCGATAAAAAAACAAAACTGTGAAAGGGCATTTTCCTTTCAAGAGAAAATAGTCACAGCAGTGGCTTGCTTTTAAGATGACAGGAGGGCTGTTTTGGCTGCATTTCAAGACATAAGCCCAAAGCTTTCTACAGGCTCTCAAGTCTGTGTGGAAAACCAATGAATTGACTTGTTAAAAATGGATGAGACCTGAGGGTAGAATTTGCAACCAAATGGCAACACACTAAGATAGAGCTCCCTTTGTCACTCAGTCATAATGCACTTGAGGAATCAGGTTCCCTCGTAGGAAGAGGGGAGTAACACTTCTTAAAGTCCAGGGCTCTTTAATAGACACTAGAGCTTGGATAAAGCTGTGTATGACTACCAAACTTGGTCTGTGACCTGTGCACATAAACTGTAGAGATTTTTCCACAAGTGTTGGCCGACATTTTTGTGATGTTTTGCTTTACAAAAAGAATACATCCTTACCACTCCTCCCACACTCAGTGGACCATACATAAACATATACAGACATGCAGCACACTCATGGCCTGACCTACTTACAGCCCCAGATGAGGAAAAAAAAAACAGGAACTGTATATAAATAATAAAACAGTCTGGTCTGGGTACACATCAACTGTTTTTTTCTTTTGGTTTATTTGTTTTTAAAGATTTTCTTTTTTCTAGCTTTCTATGCAGTTATCAGGCAAGGATTGGACATTAGATAGAGCAGAAAAAAAAATAAAGCAGGAGGGAGGCAGGTTGGAATCAAACCAGGACAGCACACTTGAGGCCTACAGCCTCTTCATGGGGTGGGTACTTAAACTGCTGGGTGTTCCACATAACATTTCTGTCCAGACCAACTCGTGCCAACTTCCTTTCTTTGGAATAATGCAGACACTTGAAACTGTGTAGAACAGTGAATGTGTGTGTTTCTGTTTCCACAACAATTTACTGCACACAGCCTTGAAAAACTGGGATCAACATAAGTGAGCACGTATACAAGTTCTTGGGCTCTATTTTCGTGCCCATAGGCGGCGCGGCGGAGGGTGGCACACCTCAGGCAGTGGTATTTTCATCTGGTGAAGCCTGGCGCACAGCCAGTTTGGTATTTTTGTTGACAGAGGCGCACCGAGGCCCTCCAGGCTGGGCGTGGTGGCATGGTAGGAGGAGGTGTCGACAGAATCAGCTGGCGCAGTGACATTTTCGTGCCTGCCGGTGGCGTGGAAAGTGCGCTGAAAGCTCACCGATTCTAACCTGGTCAGCTTTTAGCGCAGGCAGAGTTTAGCTGGTCTAGTGGTATTTTGGTAGACTGGCGGCATGTCATTGATGCCGCACAGGCAGTTTTCACAGTATCAGGCACATTTCAGTGCAATATATAATCAACAACAACCAATATTCTGTGCAACTATCTTGAGTCAGCACATACATTTAGATCTATATCAATATATTATAATGTGTATCTTATCTGTTGAGTGCGTTTGGCACGCGTTTGGACACTCACACATGATAAGGTTAACAAGATATTTAATTCATCCCCCACCTCCTTTCTCTCTTCCTCTTATTTCTCGCGCAGCTTGACTCGGACACGTCTCCATGTCCTCTCCCCATCCTGCTGCTGTGGCAAGGCTGACCAGATGATTTATTTTCATGATCAGACAAGTTATTCACTTAGAAAATTTGAACAATAAAATGAAATAAACTTTCATTTAAAATAACCTGTTTATTTGATGTTCTCACGTCCTTAAGATTTATACTCCAACATCAATGAAAGAAAGAGCCAGGCCACAGGGTACAATGCATCCTTTACGCACTGGTGGTTCCGATTTTAATGCCATTATTGGAATTTGTTTATGTTGTGATTTGTGTGCTCAACCCACCTTTGTCATGTGAGGTTAAAATATATGCAACTTAATGTGAGTGTTTTTATTTGTGGAAAAGGGTGTTTGTCTTACCAGTGGGTACAACCTTACACACACCAAATCCCTCTGTGCTTATTAGAGAGTCCTGCAGCGCTTACCGTGACACTTCTTGAGAGGCTGCCTACTGTTGCCATTGTGTGGCATTACTGTCCTCAGTCATCTCTTTGACTACTTCATGAAATTTGTGATACGCCTTGCTGGTGGCACATTTGAAGGTGAGGAGAGGAGCTGATGTGATTGGTGAAAACAAGACTCTGCTGTGTTACACACCTGCTCCTCTCTCTTTTTGCTACTTACGCAGCTGGGAGGAGCTGAGTTAGGGGGTGGGGATACTTACGCTGGACTGCACTGCTCACCAAAATACCAAAATGTGCTTGGGTGCTGTGGACCTAACTTACACCGCCTACGCCATGCCACGCCACGCCACGCCACGCCACGAGGCACTGAATTAGAACCCATTATGTTTCTTACTGCATGTTAAGTCATGACATGAGCTGTGTTAATTTGGTGTGCAGAAATCTTAATTAAATTACATGTATTTCTTGGCACATCAATGATAAAGATGCAAAATATACATAAACACAGAAAACTACAGTTGCAACCTGATAAGCAAGTCTTAAATCTTTTTGTAAAGTTGGGGAGACTCTCAAAAAAGGTCACAAACTGTTGTGTCTAAACCTTGAATACTTATATTTCACCTTTTGACAAGTCAGCAAAATCCTTCAGCTGGTTGGTTTTTCTACAAGCTCTACTGAGATTATGTTTAGCCATATTGGTTTAGGTTGACTCACCAGTATGGGAAAGCCAGTCAGGAAGTCGTAGATGAAGACAATTCCGCTGATCAGGTAGGTGATCTGCAATGATGTCTTGAGAGGCTCTGATCCATCAATGGATGATCTGCGCTTTCCCTGGGCATCCTCCACCACTATGGTGGGGACATTGAACTTGTTCTTGTCAGCTTTGTGGCCTGCCTGAATGGAGAAGGTCTGGAAGAGGGCAATCCCAATGCAGATCACACCCATGGCAACACTGCCCCCAATCAACAGCAGAAAGCAAACTCCGAAGCCCAGACCGATCTCCGTCACAATGAATCGACAGTCCGAGGTGTAAAAGCGGTCAATGGTGTCATGCCAACCTACTGCTGGGAGTGTGGACAAAATGAAGGACACCATCCAGATCCCCATCACTGTGTGCACCGCCTGCTTCTTGGTATTACTCAACCTGGAAAAAGAAATACAGAATTTGTTTAATCAGACTGTTGTTGGGCATCCAACCAAAAAAAAGCCACAAGCTTATTTTTCTGGCACTGCATGTCCTGTGGCTTCCTCCAGTGTTTAAATGGTTGGCAAAACTGAACTGGTACATCTGAAAACAAATTACTGGATTTTTTTTATCACTTTTATAATGTGTCAAATACTTCAATCAAGAACAAAATAAACCACAATTAACCAAAGTCAAATAAGGAGATAGAAGTGGATGTATTTTCAGCACATACATATAGTTCCATCATTTTAAACCATTTGGCTGTGTATTACCTTGCAGCTTTCAATGTGCAGAAAATACTTCAGACAATGAGCATTCTGACTGAGATGTTTTATTTTCTTTGGATGAGACTGAAACTACATTGTATATGAGCTATGCAAATTACTGAAAAGTGCCACAAAATGGCACATCTGTAACCAGGACATGTACAGTTTAACAGATCTATCCCCCACAGTCATTACTTATAAACTGGAGATGAGAGGAGGAAATCAATGCAGCACCAATGGCAAAAGATTGCTTTCACATCCCTCGCTCTATTTGTCATCTGGGTCTATTTCAGAGTAAAAGGATTTCTATTTCCTCTCACCTCCAAGTAATTGTTACAGTTGAGCAATTTGCTGAGCATGTTTTATGTCCTCTGGTGGTGTGGCTCTTTTCAAGCTTTTCAACACATCACATACATCTAAAAACATGGCAGACAAAAACTGGTGTTCTCAGAAGAAGTCTGTGCTCCTCTGCCTAAACATTTTACCGAAAGCATGGTGCCAAGACATATACGGTAAATTATCTGGAGGCCACTTCTTATTTAGCTCGTAGAGTATGTTGATGCAAACCTCCAAATGATAAATATGTATTTTCATCATCTCTGCAGCCCAGTATCTAAAAACTAGTCTTCTTTAAAATTGCATATAAAGAGAATACTACAGTTTATCTTCCTGTTCATCTCCTGCCTTGTTTCAACAGGAAGGAATAAAGGAAATTCTCTGAAAAGAAGACCCAGTCTGTCTCCTCATATAAGCCAGAGCCCATGTGGTTCATCCTGTCCCTTCTCATTGAAATCCTTCTTAGATAGCATGAACTAGATATAATGGATCACTTTCAGACACAAAATAGGGCAAAATCATATGTAGTCAAAAATATTAAAATCAATAATGCATTAGTTCAGATGCACTGGGATTATTTAAGTGGTGCACAGGGGGCAGCACTACCCTTTATTTTTGGCCAAGACAAGTAGGTCTTCTTGTCACTGTGAATAATTATACTAGCCTTTCCTGAATGTGCCTGGGGTGCATGTGATGGAGATTACGTCACAAAGCCGCTGGAATCTATTACCAGAGAGAGAGCTCTGCCAGGGTAAGAACTCCTCAAAGACTGTGAGCGCAGAGTGATGAGAACAGCTGCCCAAGTACAAGGTTGGAATTCATAATTCAGGCCTTCAGAGTGTGTTAACGTCAGACACAAGGCAGCCATACTACCTCAACGGCGCAAAAGTGAAGCGATTTAAATGAAAGATGAACAGCAATTACACGGTGCATCGCCTGAGCTATTACTCTGCCATATCGTTGTTAAGAGTGACTTGAAAACAAGAACAAGAGTCGCTGAGAGGAAAGTCAAAGTTTCCAAACAGGAGATGGAAGAGGATATAGTCAGATGCAAGAGAGATGGGGTAGATAAAAGTATTTGTGCAAAGTCTGATATCGTTCTGTGGGCTTCATCCAATAATGACAGCTGCACAAGCAGTACAGATAGCAAGATTGAGCACTGATTAAGAGGGAAGTCTGCATATCTTATTTGAGCGTCTGCTTATCTACAAAATTGGCCGGGCTGACTGCAGGTTGAGCATCTGCACGCCTAAAGCCACAGGAAGCGCAATCACGCTTTGTTTGTCAGAAGGAGAGAAAGACAAAGGCAACTGAATATTGCTATTTGCAACATGCAGCAAAGCACCAGTCTCTGCACAGTTTGAATAACCCATAATTTGTTTTTGGCCTGAAAAGATGAGTGTTGCGGGGTGCTTGCTCACAACAATCACAGTATAGTGGAAAAACACAGGCATAGTTGAAAAATGCAGTGATGGTGGTATTTATCACAGCCGGCCTCCCAAGATGCAGCGCAAAAATATGTCCGAAAGGTAAAAAATGATCCAAAACACTATTTACAAAAATGTACAACAACCAAAAAGAGCAAGAGTTCTACAATGACTCCTGAATTCACATTCAAGACAGCCACAGCAGAAACACAAAATCAACTCGGAAGTAAACTGCAGTGCAACAAACTCCAGCGGGCATCCTTCTTTTAAACCCACATAGCCCCACCCAGTGGGCGTTATTGATTACATCATTTTAGAGAAAAACACATTTTATTCATCTTTAAATCATTTGGACCCTTTTCAATCTTAAGACCTTTTACTGTCATTTTGGTACCATTTTATCCAGGATTTTACACTAATTTAAACTTTTAGAGATTTATGACAAACAATTTGAGATTAATTTTTTCATACCACCAGTTTTGCTTGCCACAATGAGCAGGCATGACTATGACCCACTGTCGACAGGTGAGAGGAGGGAACAATGTCCACGTAGATGTATGTTTAAATTAAAAGACAGAGCTCAAGGTGTGCACCCTTGGTTACGCTACATAACAGAGAAGAAAGGAGAAAAAGCTGCGATGTTTACCCAGTAATTAAAGACGCTGGCAGGGGGGGAATGTTTAGCGTGTGTGTGTGCGTGCCTGCCTGCGTGCGTGTGTGAGTCCATAATAACTCGGTGCACTGCCCACAGTCAGTGACGACAACGCTCCGTCACAGTGACCACACCTTTCATTCGTATTTCATTCTGCTTGACACATTATTTTCTTTAGGTTTCATTCCTCTGTAAAAACTACCAAAATGGTATGAATGACAAAGTAAAGACCTCTGACGTTTATCAGCTGCATTTTACATCCTGGCTGCAGTTATCATGTAGAGCTTTCATTATGCTATTTAATCACAAACTAAATACAAAGCTGCCGTACAATATATGCAACATGAAATCCCCAGTTTTAAATTATGAATCAGTGTCAAATGTAGAAATTGGTTGGGTTCCCATCAGCTTTATTCTTTGTGATGATGGTGCAAGATAAACTGCAACATTTTAGTTTTACTACCCTATTCTATTGTATTATTAGTAGCAGTAATAGTAGCAGTTGTAGTAGTGTAGTAGTCAAGGTTGTAGCAGTAGTAGTAGTATTAGTATTGTATTATTGTTCATTCTAAAATATTTTAAGCATATTTACGAATGTATAATTATCTCAATTGCAGATAATGCATCAACGCATCTCTTAGTCCTTCCCATACAATTATGCCATTGCAGTTATTATTATCATGAACCTAAAAATCAACCTTTTATACCTGGCAATCTAACATTTAACATTTTTCCATTTTAACTATGTACATATATTTCTGTTTTCAGTCCTTATTCCCAATAGCTTACCTTGTTATGGGCAGTTGTGAGAAGGAAAATTCCCCAGTGAGGATCAATAAAGTATAACTTCCCTTATCTATCATAAGATCATAAGCAGACAGGCATTGCTTGTTGCTCTCTAACTGCAGACAAAATGAGTATCAAATCTGGTCTTCAACTAAACAGCTATCTTACTCTCAACATCTGATAATATGTGAGGAGCAGATGCCTTGGAAGTCTAACAAGTCAAAAATGGTGTTACTGCAGCGAAGTGCTGACTGTTAGTGTGAGGTGACTCTGATCTGTATTATTCAGTGTTACTTGGTAATACTGCATGTCGTGAGGAACCAAATGAAGCTGAAAGTGAGACCAAACAGCTGCTTAGTCTAGAGAGTTAAACATGGTGTTACCTCAAATAAAAACAACAAGCTGATGTGATGACAGGAGAGCTTTCACTGGATGCTGCTCATTCCTCAAAAACGGTTGTAAACAGTAATAGAAAGAACAATGATAATAGCCAAACACCAGTTCACCTGAAGAATTAACACAGACATACAACAAAGGCACCAAAATGAAAAAATAAAAAAGATTTTTGGAAGACTGGAGCTAAACAAATTTTCTGTTATAAACTGCATTTAAAAAGTCATAGCTCTTTCATCTGAATCTACAAAAGGCGTTTATATTTTTTAATAAAGTGAAATCTGCAGTATCTGGCTTGTTGAACATTTTAGACTGAATTCCTATTTATTGAAGTAAGGTGGAATAAGTGTATATACCTTTTTAAAGTAAATATATTATCCACAGGATTTCTGTTTGACCCCATTGTTCAAAAAATGGTTGACAACAGAACAGAAGCAAAGCTATCAACTGCTGCAGATGGCGTCAGCTGTATCATGCGCTTTAGAATTTTTTAAAAACTCCACCCAAAACACAATTATCTGTTTAAATTCTTGTTTTATATGTAAATACTTCTGTGCTTGACTTTATCATCAATGCACCTTTTTTCCAACTATTGCTGGTTACGGCACAGATGTGATCATCCTTTTGAAGCACACAATTCTGTTGTCTGGTTCTGTGACGTATGACCCACTGATAAATTGTGAATTTTGATATTTTCCATCTAATTAAATTTTTCTAACACCCAGCTGATGATGGTTGTAGTAGTTTCACCTCTGTATTCTCCCTCAACAGCTTAAAACTGAGAGAGGGGAAAAACTTTTTTGCAACAGTAAACAACAAAGACAGTCAGAGCCAAGCCATTTCCATGAATCTGATCACTGAGGAAAAGAAACTGTAGTTGGCAAGTGATGCAGACAGCAGCTATATGTGAGCTGCTGGTATCCTCTGATTCCGAAGACCCTGATCTGCTATAATTTTTTTTTTCTGGTACTGGGACATAAACTCTTAGGGCTCTATTTTCGTTCGCGCCGGTGAGGCGGCGGAGGGCGGCGAGCCCCGCGCAGTTGTATTTTCGTCTGGCGGAGCCCAGCGTAAGGCGAGTTTGGTATTTTCGTGGACTGAGTCGCACGGAGGCGAGCCGAGATCCGCCAAGCTGGGCGTGGTGGCGTGGCAGGGGGAGGTGTTGACAGAATCAGCTGGCGCAGTGACATTTTCGTGCTCGCCACCGGCGTGTAACGTGCGCTGAAAGCTCGCCGATTCAAACCTGGTCAGCTTTCAGCGCAAGGCGGAACGCAGCTGGTCTTGTAGTATTTTGGTAGACCGGCGGCGTATCGACATACGTCACTGATGCCTCACCGGCAGGTTTCCACAGTGTCAGGCACATTACAGTGCAATAAATAATCATCAACAACTATTAATCTGAGTCAGCACATACATTTAGATCTATATCGATATATTCTGATCTATATCTGATCTGATGAGCGCGTTTGGCACGCGTTTGGCACGCGTTTGGGCACACAACCTGACCGAATCAATACAGCTGAAACTGCATCAAATTAAATTAAATATCTAGTAAATAAACACACATGATGAAGTTAACAAGATATGTAATGTGTCTCCCTCCTTTTCTTTCTTCCTCTTATTTCTCGCACAGCTCGACCTGGACACGTCTCCGTGTCCTCTGTCCGTCTTGCTGCAGCTGCTGCGGCTGAACAGATGATTTGTTTCAGTGCTCAGATGCGTTATCTACTTTAAGCCGACATACGGATATTATAATATTCAGTTCTGTGGGCCAAATTTATTTTATATGCCAACATCTATGAAAGAAAGAGCCAGGCCACGGAGCGCGATGCGTCATTTACGCACAGATGGTTCCGATTTTATTGCCATTTTTGGAGTTTATGTTGTGATCTGTGCGCTAAACCCACCTTTGTCACGTGAGGTTTGAATATATGCAACTTTATGTGAGTGTCTTTTTTGTGGAAAAGGGTGTTTGTCTTACCAGTGGGTCCAACATTACGCACACCAAATCTATCTGTGCTCAGATGAGAGAGTGTGGAGGACACTTGTTGAGCAGCTGCCCTCTGTCGCCATCGTGTGGCATAGCTGTCTTCAGACATCTCTTGATCTCTTTGACTACTTCATGAAAATAGTAATACGCCTCGCCGGTGGCGGATTTAAAGGCAAGGAGAGGAGCTTATGTGATTGGTGAAAACAGGTCTCGGCTGTGTTAAACCCCTATACGCACTCTCTCCTCCCCTTCTATGATTTATGCTGCCGGGAGGAGCTGAGTTAGGGAGGGGGGATACTTACGCCGGGCTGCGCGGCTCACCAAAATACCAAAATGTGCTTGGGAACGCCTTGTCAGCGCGGCGGATCTGATTGACTCTGCGCTTGCGGCACGTCTCCGGCGAGGCACCAAAATAGAGCCCTTAGTCTAGACACCTGTACCACAAGAAAACTTGCTCTTCTGCTTTCTTAGCAAAGAAGTTTCTCCCATCTCTCTGTTGGTCCACTGAGTCTCATAAACTCGGGTAAGTTCACTTGTATCCACATTAAAAAGCAGACTGACACATTATTCATTTTGGCTCTTGTTGTCTCCTTAAAGTTCACAGACACAAACAGCTGATTAAAGCACTAGCAGAGCACAAATGTTTTGTATCCACAAATACTGCAAAAACTAAATGCGCTTTCTGGTGGCAGAGTTGGGTGCTTATACATTTCCCAATAGAGCATACACTTACACCAAGAATTGTGCTATGGTTGGAATTTGTGAAAAATGTGATAAATTATGGTGTAGATCAGGCCCCAAAGATAACAGTTGGTAGTCTAGCTTCTGCTCTAGTTCCTCTGTCGGTTCCTTGATAAAGGGGCTGAGCTACCCAGCATCACCTGTGGCTACTTCTCTTCATGTAGATATGTATCTCATAAAACCCATTAAGAAACATACTATCCCGTCAAACAGAGCCTTTTTTGATTGTCTTACCTGTAGTTGACAGGCCAGCGTACCATCCACATGCGGTGATAAGAAAGCGAAGTGACAGAGAAACAGGTGACCAACGTGAGAGTGTAGAAGGTGGAGACAAACACCTTGCAGAGTCCCTCATTCCACTCATAGTTGGAGTGCTGGCGTCTCAGCGTTATGACACAGTACATGGTAATGGGGATGGCCATGTTGAGGATGTGCGTGCCTGCTAGGGTGCAGATGAGGAACTCCAGTGGTTTCCACTTTTTCTGCTTGGCACTGACGCTAAGGATACTCCATGTGTTGGCCAGGATGGACACGCCTGAGCAGACCAGCCAAGCCAGCGTGTTGGCGTTGATGACATCATCCTTCATGGTGGCCACCTCATCCACCATGTTGGAGCACTACAGGGCGGAACCTTGGGGGCCGCAGGGAGCTGTTGGTGAGAACAGGTACACACGAGGAGAAGGAGGAGGTGATGATGGGCAGGAGGGGATGCAGGGCAACAAACAGGACAGGCATTTTATCTGGGTGGGCGTGCACTCTCCATCAGATGGGCGCAGAGGGGAAAGGACATCATAGCTGTGCGACACAATAAGATACTGGGGGTGGGGGGTGGGGTGAAGAGCCGGAGCAGTTCCCTCACAAGCCTGAGACTGGAATGAAAGCAAAAGACAGAAATGGAGGCAGTGATCAGCAACAGAGGGAGAGAGGATGTAAAGATAATTATGAGTCACTTCAAATTTAAATATTCTCTCATCTTACACAATCCCTCATCCCAGTGACCTAATGGGGTTATTCTTATCATAACATGTTACTAACATGGTTCTTTATCCTTTTCATATGGCAAAGACTGATCAGTAATCAGTCAGCATGGCTCATATTAAAAAGCTGAGAGGATATGTCAGAGAAATGCAGAAAGCTACAGTCATATGCAACTGCTATTTCAAAGAAAAATGTGAATCACAGAAGTGAATCATTACTGCTCTGATGGTCACATTGTGCATAAAGAAATAAATACCAAGAGGAGGCATAATGTGTGCATGAGACACCACTGAAAATATCTTCTAAATTATGTCCTCCAAATTGTTTCAGAAGACAGAGCGACCATTGAAACAAACTCAAGAAGACACATTTTTCCCTGTAAAATTCTGTTTTGTTCAGCTTAACAACTATGGAGTGATAAATGCTTGGCACAGCTGAAGCATGTTGTCACATCTATTTCCTGTCATTTCGCTTGTTCAAACACTGATGTGCTGTGGGCAAGACCCCTTTGAAGGGACACTGGAAATGACAAGAACCATGTAACCATCAGCGCTTTCACCCTCTCATTCTCTCTCTCTCTCTGCCCTCCAGAGTCACCCCAAATATCTCTGAGACAATCAGGTTCAGTTCTGCTTATAGAAGGTTGTGTAGCAGCATTTTGAATGTTCTTAGAGATCTAAAAGAGAACAAAGATAAGGCAAATAACCCTGAAAAACATTGGGATTTTTTTTCTGCTAATAATTTAAAACAAAGCATCCAATTCTAGTAACTTAAGATTTGACCAAGGAAGAGACGTCAAGAAGGATTAAAATAAATAGTTAAAGTCTTCAGTCTTCTTTCTGTCAGAGCAAAACACAGCACAGTGTGTTTACTTTTCACAAAGCCCACTGGGATGATGCCAAGAGGAAGTCTGAAGGCCAGCAGGGTCTGATTCTTGGAGTGTAGACAATGACAAAATAAAATGAGGTCAAACTCACATCAACATTTTGGGTTTTTCTTTTCCTTCTGCTCTGAATATCCACAGACATCACCCAAGCTGCTTCATTGTCATATAGAGGTGTGTGAATTCAATCGAAGACGAAACAAAGATTATGAGGATGGAACACAGAACAGCTATTTCTCACGAGCATTAAGCTACAAAGATGATCAAAGACTCCATCATGTTTAAGTGTTATCACATGCTGAAAGAACTAAAAGAGAAACACACTCACTAAAGCAGGCAGAGATATAAAAGGAATGATTCATCGCTTTGATCCAGGACTTCCCAGGTGGGGGAGACAGACTGAGCTGCAGACTGTTTGTTGACTGAAGACTGAATCCCCAGTTGAGTCAAGCACTAAACACAGCAAAACTAGCACACAAACCACCACAGGTCCAAAGTCCAGCTACACCGGTGTCACTGTGAAAATATGATGTAGCTGTACTCTTTGCAGTATTAAAGGCAGATGAATGCCATTCCAGTCAAAGGGGAAATAAACTGTATGCATTGATTTGTTTTCCCTGCCAAGAAGGTAGATTTTAGTAAACAGAATTTAAGACTGGATTTATCAGGAACCACTGTTGTTGTTTTTTTATGATCCATTCATTCTTTGCACTGGAGATGTATTTGTATGACTCAGTCATGACTCCTGTTTAACTCATTTCAGATCTTCATGCAAAGTGGATCACTAGCTAACAGAAGCCTTTAGTGTTGTTAGATATAATATTATTTCACCCCTGCATTTGTTTCTACATGTGGTAACACAGTTTAGGAGATGGACAAAGGTTTCTGTGTAGATTCCTCCAACCTTGTTCCATTCAGCTCACATGGTCATTGGGTTTTATTGGCACACTGACTATTTTCATCTTACCTCCCAAATAGATGTTTGGTAGTTTGTGAAATAAATGCACTCAGCTTTGCCAGTTTTATTTCCAAATGTGGAGTCCAAAGACATAAAAGAAATTCATCAGGGGTGAATGTGACGTCATTTTATTTACAGTATATAAATCCTACAATTCAGCATAACTCAAAAACAGGCACTGAGGATAAGTGCAATAGACCAACAGAGTACTAACATCTCACACTTCACAACAAACAACAGCTCATTAGTATGGTTCTGAAGGCAAAGTTTCAAAAACTGTGTTTGAATGTAATTTAGTGCTTTTAATCAATTACTGGGGATAAAAAAGGAACAAAAACTGGGGCACCTGTACACTTAAGTTTACAACAGCTACCTTACAGCTTTAAATAGGGATCAGTCTCACAATTGCATTTATATTACAATTTGCATTAAATTTGTATCCATAGAGCCAATACAGTGGGATGTTTAGTTAGGTATTAAACAACATATCAGAACATACATGTAAAGTAACAACTTCTGATTAAGTGAATCAAAATTATTTCATCTATTTACATCATCTGACTTGTTTAGCTGTAGTCTATGCTGTAAGTGCTTCATGATTGTCTCCTTCCTTCGGTTTGTGCACAACTAGGGAAAAATGACCTTCTGCCTCTACAGCCTGGAACAAACGTCTACAGAAAGTGTCTGTCATCAGTGTGTGTGTGGTGTGAAAGGGTAAATGTGGCATGTGATGTGAAAGCACTTTGAGTGGTCAAAAGACAAGAGAAAGCACTGTAAAAACATACTCCATTTACCATTTCAAACCTCTTTGCTTCTTTAGCACTTGTTATATGATTTACCATTTTCTTTATTGACAGATCGGCCTTTCTGCACCTATTGCTTTGACTGGGAGAGTGTTCTGCAACACTCTAAAGCACATAATTTTAACCCATATACTGTATATTTCCCTGATCCTTAACCCCTTAAATTTGTTCTGATTAATACTGATTCTCATCTGAGGGAATATGTAATTGAAAACTTGCTGAACTGTGACAACAAGTTTAAATAGCAATGCCAAAAATGTTTTTTCTTTTCTAATTTTCCCTGTTTGCTTTAGGTAACATTAATTCTTTTAAAGCAGATCATTTATACAAAGAAAATCAATTAAATCGCAGCCATAAATTACTTTGAATTGAAGTTAACAGCCATGTCTCATTCACTCTGCTGGTGTCACAACTGTGACATATCCTGTCATTCAAATTTCAATAAAATTTGAATCGGCCAAAAACAAAAGCAATTTCTACATTTACTTTTAAAATTAGAATAATTTAGGGATAATAGTTTAATATAGTTTAACCCTTAAGGTCCTTACACACCGGGCCGATGCGAATATAGAACACAAAATTATGAAATATTCAGAGGCGAATTTTGACACACCTGACTATACACATCAAGCCCGATGCGAATTTGCGACTTTCCGGGGGGAAAAAGACACAACTGAAAAACAGTCTGTCATGATAGCATGTATTGAGTCGGGGCCAGTACCAGATAAGCACATTAAACTATAATCCATAAACTTAAGGTAACAACCGAGACCTAATGGTGCTGTGACAGCAACGCGATAAAGTTTGAGACACTGAAAATACATATGGTATGTTGTATCCGAACAGGTTAGCTTACGAGCTAAAGTTACTTAGCATAGATGAAAGTTAAAATAAAGATGTTTAGCAAACTGTTAAAGCACACAAACCATCGTCATATGAGAGCTATGACGCTATGACTCTACACAAGTTGTCCTTCAGGTCGTTATCTTTGTAATGTTTGTGTTTTTTATCAAAAAGCACTCTGTTCTCCGACACATAAACAATCAGTTGGTCAGCCATGTCAGATACACTGGTGAATCAGACGTTGCAACAACACGCAATCTGATTGGTCAGAAGTGGACACAGTATGCAAAATTTTAGAAAAATCGACCATGATCCAAAAAAATAAATGCCGCAATATTGCAGAACAGGAAAACGTCGCTGATGTGAACGCTTGTATTGACAGGATACAGGTTTGGAAAAAATATTGACGTCCGAAATAATCACACGGTCCCGGTGTGTAAGGACCTTTATGGATAGACTGATTAATTGACTGATCAATAAACTGGCTGATTAATAATATTTTCACATACTCAGCATCATATCACATCGGCCCCCACAAAGGCCCATATCAACATCCTCTTTTCTTAATGATTCATCTTTCTTATCTCCCTTGAACAGCATTTCAATTCATAAACAGCCTCTGGCTAGGGCTTTAACCCCTTATTTACCTTACATTATTTTTCTCTCAAAATTCAAACGTCCTGTGTGGTGATATTTGATGGAGCCAAATATTTTATTTCTACATCTATTTGATTTAACAGCTTTTTTTTGACTTTGCACGCACTGTTTGAGCATTTGCAGCATTTCTCCTGATGAAGAGCGTTGGGCCTCTTGCAGATCCTCCCCTTTGGTTTGCTGTCACACATCGAACTAACAACAAAAAGACACTTAAACCACAGAGGGGGAATCAGGGGGAATCAGAAAACCACTCAACCAACAGTGTTCTCCTTTTGATTGTAAAACATGTTTCAATTCAAGAACACTGTACAAAAACAATTCGCCAGCAAAAATTTACCAGCAAAAGCTGAGAGAAGCAGAAAATAAATTCAAAGCTCCTCTACTGGGGTGATTCACAAGGCTCCAAAGAGACAAGGGCAACATTCAGTTAATACAAGAAACTGCATATGGTCAAACCAGGTCATAACAAGATGTTTGCAGGCAACTGTAGTTTCTCTACCCGTAGGAACAGCTTTTGGTACTGAAGAGACTTTGAACAAACAACAGATGGATAATATCTTCAGTGCTGATCCTTTCGTTTACCTGCTTCTGTTTAGATTTTTCCAACCTTCTGTGGACACTGTCTCCTACAGTTTGAGCTGGTTAGAAATTTATGTTCAGGTGTTTTCTGTATTTGATGCAAGACTCCAATGAGCATGACTGGTTGTGTGTTTGTGTTGCATGTGTTGAATTTGTCTGAGATACTCTTAAAATCGATTATCGTTAAAATGCCTTGAATTATCAGGGCAAACACACCAAGGCACTATCGTTATGCTGTGGAATTTTTCTTATTCCTCTTCAGGACAAATTTTGATTCCCTACTAGTCCTACAGCTTGAAGAGTTGTAGGCCGAATTATACATCAAAACGTGAGGTTTGATCGGAATCCGTGTGCTATTACTTTTCTCTATTGTATATGAACTTTTTGCGATTTAAGTTGTAAAACACTACGGAAAAAATTCTATCTATCTAACATCCATCTATCCATCCATCAAGGGACTTCTACACCTGTTCAACATTACACAAGCTCCTTAAATAAATAATGCTGTTACCTTAGATGGACTCTCTCTACTTTCTATGTTAGATCTGTCGAAGCTCTAACAGTGTGAACAGCTACATATTACTGATATGCATCATGCAATTTTTTTGTGACTCTTGTTTACCAGATCTGCTACCATTAAAGCTTGAAAGACTTATTATTTGTGAAGACCTTCCACTGGTTGGACTATGGCCAGACATCCTTTTACAACATATTCAGCAGATGAAAAGAGCAGAGTGCACTAGCACAAAACAAGGGAAGAGATTTTTACCTTTAAGTAATGACAAAAGCTTTAAGAAATAGGGACGAGTAGGGCTGTTTAGATACACAACTGTCCTTCTAAGTTGTTTCAGTGCAATTTTAATCCTGACAACCTGACAAGTGGGAAAACTCTCAGAAAACAGTCAATACCAGCACCACGAATAGCTAAAGACAGGATCACCTCTCCCTAACCCTAACTCGAACCCTGGAGTGTGGCTAAACAATGTCAAATGGGTTTGCAGAGCATGGCTGGTTAGCAGTAAGCAGAGTAAATATCACTTTGGTCCGCTTCGTAGGTTACTGTTCATATACCTGTGCTAGTTGTGCATTGCTCTGCAAGAGTAGTTAAAAACCAGCTCAACCAGACACATTATTTACTATTTATTATTATTTATCAACATTTTTTAGATCTAAACACTGCCAAACTCTGCCACACCACAAGACGCCATCTGTCAGCTCTGCTTGTTTACAGACAGATGGTAGAACACTAAAGCATGGCAGTGGTCATTGACCAGAGTTACATCCTTAGCCAGTGACGCAGGCTATGCTACAGCTTCAGCACAACATATGACCACGGCCTGTATGATATATGAATGACATTTTGGGCCTTTTACAAAAAATATAGTCATAATTCATTCCACTGACTTGAATTTTGGGTGCTGACTCGTCAGGGTGATGGCCTACAAATGCTAATCACTTCTATGACGGAATATGCAAATTCCCAGTGTAAAGATTTAGTAGTGTGACTGTTTTCTTTTCAGCTGAAGGATTTTTGATCACCTGCTCATTTTGCCTTTTAGGTAAATGTGTTCACTTCCATCAACAGGGCTGCAGATACCCTTGTGGCAGAGAATCTAGGTTCCAACCAGTTCAAACTCATCAATAGTATTTCTAACAATATCTAGCAATATGATTAGTGTAAGACAGTCCACAGATCTTTTTTTATGTGCAATATTTTATAGTTCACTAAGAATAAATGCAAATTATTTGAGGTATCAGTGTTGAGAAAGTAACACTTTCTGTAACAGTAATACATGAAAAAGCAAAGATCGAACATTACTATAAGTACGGATACTGTAGAAGTGCTGGCATAGTTCTGAGCACAGGGGGATTTGATATCAACAGGGAAAGCATGGGCACTGGTTATAGCACTAGTTTTATTTTAACACTTCACTTAAGGGTCTTCTTACCATATTTGAACTACCAGCCCTATAACCCACAATCCCTCTGGGTCCTTGTCTCTGAGCCAAATTTGTCCTCTACACACAGGGGAAATCAGCCCTGACAATTACATATACTGTCAGGACTTTTCGAATATCAGGATGCTGGATTTCTAAGAACTGAAGAGCTGTTTCCTCAGGTCTTGATGGAGGGAGGATTATGTGAGGGCAATGTGCAATGACTTTACATAAAATATATTGCATATTTTTAGTACTTTTCTTTCATGAACTGCTCAATCTTTAAATGGTGAGCAACTTTGGAGCAAAGGGACAAATGAGAGTTGGATTCATAATGGATGAAAATTGATGTAACAAACAATTGTTTTCTGAACTTTGTGCGCTTAAAATGCTTGTTATTTTCCTCTTTTATCTGTATTACTCCAAGGGAGCTCAAAATCATGTACAACATGCCATGATAGATTCTAGGTAGTTTAGTTTTTTCATGGTTTTGTAATTTAGTTTTATTCCTAGTGAATTTTTTCTCGTGTTTCTGTTCCCTGTTGTTCCTGTGTTCATTATTCTTATGTTCCTGTTGTTCATGTTTCTTACTGTTTGGTTTCTTAAGATAAGATAAGATAAGGTAAGATAAGATGTTCCTCTAATAGTCCCACGGGGGAAATTCCAAATTTACAGCAGCATAGTACAGACACAAGTTTTCAGTGTTTCCATTTTGTAGGAGTCGGTCCCTGTGTGGTATTTCTAGTACTTCCTTAGTTTTCTCTCCTTTGTTAATTACTCATGAGTCTCGCCTGTTGCTCATTTCCCAGTGTGTTTATAGTCCCTGTTTTCCCCTCATTCATTGTTGGTTCATTGTCTAAGTTTGTCCATGTTTTGTCATCATCTTGTGTATTCTCAGTGATCCTGCATTCTTCGCTGCCCCTAGTGTTCTGTTCTTTAGATCTGCATTTAAGTTTTTAATATTGCCTTGGTTTGAAACACTTGTTTGTTAAATCTGTATTTTTTGAGTCTGCCTTTTGGATCCTCTTTCTTTGTTAATACTCTGCTGTGACATGTAAGTGTATTTATTAGCCCCAAAACTCATACAATGTAATTGTTTTGTTTTTGTTTTTTTAATAATAGAAGTTGTCAAAAAGTTTTAGTGGCAAAGGCTTATTGTAACCACTTCATTTCCTAAAACTGTTGATGACTTTTAAAAGATTCAAATTTTTCGTAAAATGTGAGAGAACTTCTATAAAAGAAAAATGCAGGAGAGTAAGTCAAACTGATCAAAACAGTTATATTTTACAGTGTTCTGTCTGAAGCAGCATCAAGATTGCCCTGCATTTTACAACTTGGACAATACCGGAGATTCTTCTTACTTTTACCTATAAATCACCCCAAATGTTTTGTTTGAAAGTATTTCAGTACAGGTTACTCTGCATCTTTTTTCTCCTCAAGGCAATTATGACATTTACTGGTGTATTGTGTAATGTTCCTGTCTCTGTCATCACAGAACCAGCAGTCTGTTCATATAAAAAGCATTTAAAGAAACACCATAAGCATATGGCAAAGCTGTTTAAAACTGCTGAGCAGTGCACTTTCATCTCCTGGCTTTATATTGCACAAAAGAGAACATGTACTTTTTACATTTTTTATTTATCTTCTTCATTGAAGATACTGAGAGGAGTACACAGGTGTTCCTATGTGGATTTTGGCAGGCATACAGACATTATTTATCTTTCAAATTTAAGGCCAAATGGATGAGTGTATCAGAATCAGATCAGACCATATGGAAACCTTTCATGGGACTATGAAGATTTTCTGGTCTCCATCTTACCATGTAAATTGTGTGTTGAGTTTCATATATCTACAAAAGGTGCAAACCTACGTATATCTTTCAGTTTGGAGTTGGTGTGAGCTGAAGAAGAAAAAGAAGAACAAGAACAAGAGGAAGAACAAGAAAAGGTAGGCCTTTATTACAAACTACCCTCCTGACAGATGTGATGCATGAGGTCTTATTGCCGAAGCAGCCACTTGTCCCTGGGGCTGTCAGAGAGGAAAATACTCTGCCCCCCGAGGTTGCACAGCTTTCCCCTGGGCAGTGTTTAATATTACATCTCTGATGCTTTCTCTTGGCAGGTGCTTTACCTTGAAACTCAAGTCAGCAGGTATGTTTTTTTTCCCCAATTTTTCTGCAGCAGTCGCAGCATTCTGCCTTACATTAACACTAAAAACACTTATGCTATAGGTGGCTGCCCAGCACAAGTACAGTCCTCTGCAGTTTTGACGGGTTAAGTGTTTTGTACAACAGTCCTTCATTTCTCGGTCCCACCTAAAAGCAATTATGAAACATCTGAAGAGTCTACAAAGGCTCTGTAATGCTCTTTCATTCACAGTCATAGCATGGTCGGTTTCTTGTTATTACATATCCTGTTTCATTTTTCAGAATGTAATAAGGTCACTGTGTCTACTTGTTCTGACACTGCTCTGATACTACTCTGTGTTTTGACAACAAAATGTAAATCTGCACTCAGAAGACATAAGTGGTCCTATATGTAATGAAAGACAAACAGATTATCAAAGATTTGATGAGATGCTTTATATCACTAAAATGCCAAAATATTGATTGGGTTATATTTATTGATCATAAAGATCAGAGCCGATGATCTCATATAATAACGATATAATTCAATCTCACCATCTCATCTGAATACAAATGAGATAAATGATCAATTACATTTTTCCACAAGACATTCCTTTTTGATGTGTGTCTTACTGGTAAGGTTGAGAATCAACAGTGAGGGGTCTTGTTATGTCAAAGCCCTGAAGATTTCATCTGATATATCAGACATTTTTATAGATCCAATTCTCTGTTTTGTTTTTTTTTTGTTGGACTTTCTCTGATGACTTCGTTGATCAAATGTTCAGCATTCTTGTACTTCATGTACAGCTCATGACCATAAACTCTGCTTCTCACAAAGACAATTTAAGGTTGTACAAGTTTTATTATCTTGTGTTGACTATCATGCATTGCAGTGTCATAATGCTACACATGCAACATTACACTGACTGTGTGTGGACTGTCTAAAGCAGTACTTCTGCCCGGGAACAGTTACCACAACCCTCATACCATTCTGAATCATGGGTTCTTGTCCCTCTTCCAAGCTAGGACAGTTTATTATTTTTCCTCAGTTAACCTGACCTTACAGAGGATCTGAAAATAATTGTTCTTTTGTATTTATATTCTTATAACTGAATTTGTGAATTGGTCAAAGCCCTTAGGGTAAGACAAACACTGATTGTGAAAATACTTTGCGATTTTTGAGCTTTTATTGTCCTTTCTTTGTCCACTGGCTGTAAACCATAGTTCATAGCTATAACTGTAGAATATATCACCTGAAATAAACTCTTACTTGTTGAGAATAGCTTGCCAAAATTGACAAACTAAAAGTTCCTCTCAGGAGCTTTGGGTGACCCTCCTCAACAAGACTTTGGTGTGAATGTCGAGTTCGTTTGTTTTTATATCCCTTTATTGTGATGTTTCTTTGTTTTTAGTGTAGGCCTTTGAGATCCTTGGATGTAAAGGGCACTACAAATAAAATGCATTGTAACTAGTTTCTTTTGTTTGTCAGGTAGACTATTTTGCTATTGCTTTCCATTTAAGAGGATTGTTATGAAAAAGGCTCTAAAAGATTTCCTCTTTATAAAAAGACATTGTGATAAAGCTCACATTATCCTTTAGGAATGTATGTGGATAAGCACATTAAATATCATACAAGCCCTTGACACCACTTTTAAAAATGTAAATGGCATCAGACAGTTTACACGCTGTGCGTGGGGGCACCTTTTCAGAGCAGGTGAAGAGCTCTCCTTGTCCCCATAAAGGATTACAATGGCTCTCAAGGGAATAAAACACCATCAATCTCTCTCACTTCCCTTGAGCACTCATTACTCTTCACTCATTATAGTTATCAATTGAAGTCCCAAGCCTTACGTGACAAACGATCAGCTGGACTGGCTTTAACCCTTCACCTCAGAGAGAATCTGGGACAACAACAGATATTTTCTAATTCAGACTCATGAGGCTGATAGTTCAGTCATGTGAAGACATGTTTTTGTTTTCAAAAAGAGGAAAACTGGGAAGGAAGATGGACGATCATGCCCTTGGTTTTGTCTTCATGACTTTGCTTGGGGATGGACTCACTCGTTTCATTTATAGCAGACATATACAAACGGAAGGTAAAGATTAATTAATCAAGTTTCAGTTTGTTATTCCCAGACTGCAAAAGTCTCCATAAACTAAGCACTTCACTACCTTTTGACACACTTTGGATTAAGGGTACATTCATCTGGTTTTGAATTAAGGTGTATTTTGTATGAAGCCAATCACCTGAAGATTTCTGTAACCTTCAAGTTCGTTCAGCTTGGATCCTTTATGTAAAGGATCTGCCACAGGTTAATCACAATTACATTAGGTAGCTCAGTCTGCTCCACCGTACTGGAATCAGACTGGAAACTGTATTGTTTGTTGCATAGCAACTGCATCAGTCTTGGAGAATACATTCAGCAGATACAAGCATAGGTCAGACTAACTGCTCATTCCCTCATGAACACAAAAATAATTCTGCTAATTAACCCCTGATGTGAAAAAGTCACTTAATCTGACTTGTCCAGGAAGCAGGATGTGATGGTCTGCTAACACTCCCAGAGCATTATTTCTGAAGGTAAATAAAGTATCCAAAATAAAGTTGGAATGCAAATGTAGAGGAAATTTGGTAGATAAGGTTCAAATAAATACAGTAATGACCATTCACCTTATCCTAACCCTAACCCTACTACAAATGTCCTGCTATCTTGTTGACAGGTCCTTTCTCTTCACAGTTAAATGTCCTGCGGTTTTACATGTTTATGAATTATGGGTCATTATCATCTCTTGTTGTTTTTGGAAAGGATGATAGGCTATAGTATTTTGCTTTAAGAGTTAAGTAAAGAGCACTTCAAAGTTCACATTAGTATTTCAAAAAATATGTCAAAACACTTCACATCCACTGGCTTTCTTACTAGTCACCCAGCTATGTTCATTTGACTGTGATGGGTCAAAAGCCCTTATTAAAAGTCATGAGTCCCAAATTGCAGAGGTGACACAAGAGATGACCCAATTTCATATACATAAACATATATAGAGAGGAGTCCCAGATCGCCTACTCTACTCTTCATGATTTTACCTCTTCCTGTTGACAGTGTGGCAAAGACCGCACTTTCAGCTAAACAATGTGGAGGATAGCTTTCATATGACTCTAATGTCTGGGCTTAAACATGAATACAAATATTATGCTTAATGTCAGATTAACACAAAAAGCAGCTGATGAAAATACTGCAATAGCAACTTGAGTACCCTGGGGGAGATGGTCCGGTTTTTGTGGATTGGGACAGTCTACCCTACGTAGGACTTCCTGGTTAAATTGCCAAATGTCCCCGCCCTCAGGCTCGCATCACGACTGACTTGAAGAAAAGCCGCGGAGCACAGCAGTTATTTTTTTATTGTGCGACCTTGCACAGACACAAAACAACAGATACATACAAGCACAGATCATTCCCACAAAATTCATCCAATGATTGTTTTGTATGAAGGAGTATGAGTGCCATATTGATAATTTTTTATCTCAAGACTTCGAGATTTAAGTCATGAATTTATGAGAATAAAGTCGTAAGGTTAGCTGTTATGTCAAAGGAGAGTTGTTAAAATTAGGGCCATGGAGCATTTAAAGGAAATGTGCTTCAGTATAGGTTTCACAAACAAGGAGATACTTCATTCTTTGGCACATTAGCATCACATTGCCATAAGTATAAGGTATTTAAAAATAATATATGAGAAATGCATTTTTTTTCATGAAAAAACACAGGTGGACTTGGAGGAAATCGCTGCTTTTGTGGAGACAGATATGGATATGCTGCGGATAAATCCGCAAATGCAGCCGTAAATATCTGTGAATGACATTGAGCTTTATTTTATGATATGAATCCATATGCCATAATAAGGCATTGGTGTTTCTGCAGGTGTAGGCTACCGTCGGTGTCAGAGACGTGGTGTTTGTCTGAGCCCGACTCCCTCTGGATCACAAATGTTGATCATCAGTTGGATTGTTTCTTGAAAAACCACAGAAACTCTCTGAATGACCCGCTGGTGCAGTCTTTTAGTATCAGAGCAAGTCTTTAAAAAAAACTTCTCGATGTGGCCCTGATACTCCGATGTAGTTTTGTCAGCTTTCTTGTTTCTAGTGTTTTTGATTGTGGTAGCAGAGCGGATCAGAGTATTATGTTTGGTTTGCAGATTTTAGTGAGTTAAGAGATCATGCGCTCAAGGAGCCTGAGCTGACTGTCTGCTGTTTTTGGATTTCCAAGCGAGTCCAGCCTCTCACCTGAAATGCACAGCTGTGCAGCGGCACGCAAAGAATTCTGGGATACCAAGGCCACGAAAGCGTGCATAAATGCACACTTGAAAAGGGGGCAGGGGCCGGGTGGTTTTGGGACCGCATTTGCATGCTCAGAATCACAAGCCAAATGGGGCACCGTTAGCACCACGTGATGACGTCACGCACACTTGAAATGCGCCATTCGCCGGTGCAGTCTCTGAATTGAGACACAGCCTCAGTCAGACACTGAGCGTCTACTGACTTTAATGGAGAAGTGTAGAGTGGGTTGTTTCACTACACGAAACTAGACAGTCATTGGATAAATGCTGGGCTTTGTCCCGTCCATGGACGCTCAGCTTTTCTGGGGGTCTATTGGGCAGTGGGCTGGCCCAGACGCTCGGCTTCCACATGATGATTGGATGATCTGTCTGAAGCGGAATCCCTTTTTTATTGACAGTGAAATGAGAAAATCAGCGAACATGATAAGCATTTTGCAAGTTTTTCATTCTGTTGTTCTGAACTGATCCGGAGACTCTACTGATCCTCAGCAACCTTGTCTTTGTTAAAAACAACTAGAGTTGTGTTTGGCAACTCTACTGTGTCACGACAGGGTCACAGATCATTTTCTAGAAAAGGAACGGAGGGTAGAATTTACATATAAATAAACACATTTATGATGTAGGCTGGGGAAAAAATGAGCTTCCCCTCCCTGAAAGACCAGCAGCCGCCACTGCACCAGCTAACTATACACTTACTGTTTCTTAATAGTGTTTTGAAAGCTGGTTAGTTCTACACAGCCTTCATTTAAAGACAGCGTGATGTACATTCAAGCGAAGGATGATTTATTATGTAGCAGGACCCTGACATGAAGCAAAGGATTGCAGTGATCAGCAACATCGGAGTCTCTGCTATGCTATGCTCTTTTGCTGTTGCCTGGACAGTATAACACCAGTTTTGACTTGATATGATGTGTATGATTGGGTTGTCCCTTATGCAGCTTGATGAGAACTAATGGCCAGCCATGAATTGTTTAATTTCTGTTTGACAGTGATATCAAACTTGTTCTCATATTTAGAGATACTTGACAGCAGGGTAGGAGGTCCACTTGACCTAACAATCAGGAAAAAAGGGAAAGCTATCTGATTCCAGCTAATCAGAGCTTCCAATCACATCCCCATTTTGTTGCTGACTATTTTGGAAACGCAGGGCTTATGTTTAGTTTGCAGTAACTGGTAGATTTATAGCTCTGAATGAAACATTGTCTTAGAGGTTCAATTTATTTGGGATGTTGGCACCCTTGAGTGTTATCAGAGAGGACAGTTTGCATTTCATATTCTGTACAATGATGTCTCTAGAGTGGGTAGAACTACTTTAACTACTTTGTAAGCACAGTAAGCACAAGCACTTGCACACAAAGACTGAAACAACAACGACAACAACATGTTGAGGGCAAATGCAGCTTCCTGTCTGTTCAGAGTTCCACTTGTACAACAGGGATGCAGCCCAACTATATAAACCAAGCCATGGGAACACGATCAGCTCAAGTCATCAGAAAATCAAAAATAATTATGTTCAGAAGTTCTTCTAAGTCCTTAACCTCTGACCTACCAATCAAGAGAGGTAAGTGAAAGCAGTTTCTCTATGAAGTCAATTTTTCCTCTGCTGCACTTACGACATCAGACCAGCAAACTATCAACACTCAATATTTTTGAACAATATAGAAAAAGGCTACAAAGGATCAAGTTTAAGAACTATTAAAGGGGTGGTATCATGCTTTTCTACATTTACAACAAAAACTGGTGTCCCTACTAGATGTATGCAAAGTTTAGGGTAAACATGTTTTGTCATAATCTTAAAAAGTAGATGTGAACTGCTCAAAACCTTGTGAGAAAACACAACTCAATAAATGGCTGCAACCAGACTGCAACGATTTGTCGACATTGTCGACAAAAATTGATTATGAAAAAAGTCAACAATGAATTCAAATGTCAACTATTGTCACCAGACATTCAAACATGGCAGTGCCGGCGTCCCATACAGCAGCTACGAGTCTGGGCTTAAAGACCTCCATAGTTTGGGAGCACTTTAGCCTAGATAAGTTCATAATTATTATAATTCAGATAAATTCATAATTATCCGATCAGTTGGTGACTAGTTGAATATTAAAACAATCATTAGTTGCAGCCCTAGCTGCGTCAGCACTATAGGCTCTCCCTACTAATTAATCTGTGCTTCCAGTAAAGCGGAACAGCCTCCACTACTCTAATGATTGACCACTATGGGAGGGTGAGGCCAAAACTTTAAGTTCTGCCTCCAAAAATGTGGCCAATCAGAGGAAAGTAGGCTTGTAGGCTGAAATAATGTTATTGTAATATACCGCTGTGAGAGATATAAGGCATTAAGGCTAATAATAATAATTATTATTATTACTATTATTATTATTATTATTTATAGGTGCCTTTCAGGGCACTCAAGGACACTTTACAGAACAATTAAAATGACACATCAGTAAAGTAGTTAAATCAGTAAAAAACACATCAACACAATAAAAGTCTTAAATTGGAGTCACACAAAATGTGTGAAATATCATGGAAGACTTGGCCTCATCTGCAGGAAACTGTAGCCTAACATGCATGCCAGTTCTCCCTACAGTTTCTCGTCAAAGAGGAGGGGCAGAGCTGACCAGCATCCACTGTGGCTGGTAAGCTTACTAGTGACATGGAACTCATACATCCCCACTTCAAACAATATCAAACTATCCCTCTAATGAATATTTTTCTTCTTCATTTGATCACCTCAAACTTAGTGCTTTAGCTGGGTACGAATGCTTTGGTAAATTTTACCCTCTTAGTTGAGCAAAGCTTCGTACCAGCTGCAAGTACCTTTTCCTGTTCTCCCCATAACGCAGTCGCTCCTGGGGATTCATAAAAACACTTAAATCACATTACCTATGGCACACAACATGATGCTTGCATCCTTCTATGGGCATTACATGATGCTTACTTGTCCATTTTCCTTGGAGATTAAACTATTGTTACTAAAAGAAACTAAAGCTAGTTTATAGAGCCTGATGGAAAACTATAGGAGCATGGTGATTATAAGACGCATAGATTCTCTGTTTGTGTGACACGTTCAAGTTTTTTGTTTTTTTTTCTTGTAATAAATATTGCAAAACTCAGCATTACCTCATGGTATCTTTTATTATCTGTAGAAATTTATAACTTAGTACAAATGCTTTTGAATAGATTTACTCATACTTGCTATTTTAATTATACTTGCTGCAAAGGCATGTGCCAACAAGTAAAAAAGGGGAGAACTATAGCACTTGTATTCCACCTGGAGCACTGCTCAAACCTATGCTACAAGTGTGAGGAACCTCCAAATTCATTGTATTTAGCTGGTCCATGAAAAAGACGAAATGAATTAAGGCTAACATTTTACACAGAATGTGTTTATTTTTTTGGTTAGTCTACAACCACTTTAACCATATTTGAAATGGTTTTCATAAGTACTCTGCAAAGTTAATGAAAAGATTACAACAGTGTTAATGTCTTTTCTACAGCAATTTTTGATACCCTGTCTTCACCTTCCTTCCAAAAGTAGAAATCTAGAGTAAAAGTTGAAGTTGACCACGAGTCACAGCGCAGAGGGAGTTTATAAATTGATAAGCTTTAAAAGTGATACAAGTTTTAAATAGGATACAAACCAGAATCTAACATGCTGTTTAAGGTTACAATTTTGTCTTTAACTGGGGGACCAGCTTGTCACAGAGTAAGTGAATTTTGCATCACAAATGTTACCCTAGAGGCACTCTTCCTGTTTATGTTAAGCTACCTCCAGCTATGACTGTGGCTGGATCACTGCACACCATATGGCAGAGGGTTTAGAGTTTGTCCTGGAAACATGAATACGATTAAAGTGAACTGTGACCAAAAAAAAAAAAAAAAAAAATTGAACTTCCAAATATTTTTTATAAATCAGTGTTCAGTTTAAGCTGGGGCAAGAGAGGTGAAGTAATCAAAGAGAGGATTTTTATTTAGGTCTCCTCTCATTGTCATAACTTCCATGCCAACTCTATCTCAGTCAATGTGTTGTATTGGAGTCAAAAATGAGAAAGTTGAAAATATGGGTGAACACAGTCACAAAATGTCACATATGCAGTACCCTGTGAGATGCAGTACCCAGTAGGATCTGTTGCAAGGCTTTATAGTATAGTACCTACTGTCACTTGAAGGCAAGACCGTTTGAGCAGTAAATATGATCATTGGCTTCATGGCCTTTCTCTGACCTGTGACTGTGTGACTGTAATCCAAATTTTACTCCAACCTTAAGGATGAGGTGGGGTTACACTTCAAATGGTTAGGTGTCAAATTATATTTTTTAAGAGAGTTATGTTTTTTGCCAATCTTTCAAGGCAGTTTTACGTCTAAAAAATATAAGCAAATGCACAACACATTGTTTACCAGTCAAATTTTTGATTTGTTTGTCTAAGAATTTATAAGTAGCCTAAACAGCTATAAAAATACAAATATAAAGAGGTATTACAAAAAAAAACACAGATGCTTTATGTTCCCAACAATTCCTGCAATGTATGTAAGCTTTGTGTTGGCATGAGACTCATGTTCTTGAGTCAGAAACTGCCTCAAGTCAGTAGCTATGTCCAATACCCATTTGAGCTTGTTTGTTTCTACTGCCGATTAGCTTTCCATTTTATCATCAACAGAGTGTTAACTCGATGTCTTATCTCTGCAATTTACAGTCATCTTACACCTAGTCGCCCAGTTTTATCACCATTCTCAATCCAGCAAACAAATTCAATGTACAGGCTACGGTCATCACAGAATCCCAGCCTGCTGTCACAGATATTTTAATGGAACCTATCAGATGGTCCACTTCATTATCTATGATTCTCTGGTAGGCTATGCACTTTGATAATGCAATGAATGAATGGAATAGGTCAACATTTCCCAGGTATTTCAGTAGGAATGGCAGGTATCATACACTTCTTCCTCGTCGATGAAGCAGCTCGTGTTACAGGACACCACCTGTATGGACGAAACCTTGTTTTCTTTCTTAGCCCTAGCTCACCACTAGTAGGTTTAATAAACGTTAAATAAGATCCAGGGGGAGTCTTGACTTACCTTTTGGTGCACGCTCCGGCACCTACAGACTCATTGTTCCGGGATTAAACACTCGTCGAGTCCCATCAGTTGGAGTCCGTTAGAGTGGCTTCCCAGCGTTTACATCCCCAAACTGAGCACCGTCAGCGGTGTGGACAGCATCAAGTGAACAGAACGGCCTGCGAGATGAAGAATGAGCCCCGACACACACCAACACAGCTGGACCTTTCTTGTGTCTCGCTGCCCCCTTTGACACATTGACTTGCGAGGGAAATGACTAATTAAAGACGTGTGTTCAAACAAAAATTCCGGATCATTTACTAATAAGCTGGCAACAGAACAAGCGCTAAAAGACCGCGAGATTGCTGGTAAAAGACGAATTTCTTCCTCTGTTTTTCCACAATGGTAAAACGAGCGAGGGATGGGGCATGATTGCTGTGCGCGCTCCCGTCAGCACAAGCTCGTTCGCAGGTCGGACGCTCAGTGGTTGTGGGAGAGAACCGCAATAAGAAATAATTCATTGAAAAAAGGTTGTCATTTCAACTGAGAGAGAAATGTATGTTTGCTCCACAATTGTACTGGATAAAAAAAAAACACTGTATGGACGATGCTTCAGATCAAAATATGGTTTTGTTTTCCTTTTGTTTGTCTGTTAAGAATGAGCTCGTTGGCTTTAAAATGACTTTACTACAAAGAAGAAATCATGACTGCTATTACCGATTGAGCGACCACAATCGCGTTACATGCATTTTTAATCTTCTTTTCCCAGTCCTATGGCTCCTGCGTCGATCCTCATGCATCGGTCCCCCCTGACGCACAATTTTTCAAATATTATTCACGCTTCCTCAAATTGGCCTTTTTCATTAACATTAGGCTATACGACTTGTTCTGTAAGACTTCTCTGGTTGATTCTGAGAGCAGTTTACCTCCCTCGGGGCTTACATTGGACCCATGTGAGAACAGCAATGGCACCACATGAGAGGAGAGACTGAGAGAAGTGCCTGGCGCCTTGGTTTTTGCCACTTAGTGAGGATTATTTTTACTTTCGTTCGTTTGGTGGCTGGTCTGATGAACTATGCTCTCTCCCCCAGCTTCCCATTCATTAAACAGATCCACTCACCACACCTGGGAGCTACCCATGCAGTACGCCTCACAGCTGGGCTGTTCAGTGCTGAAGTGCCTTTAAGAATAAAGCCCCTCCAAATGCAGAGGCGGAGTAAGAAAATCCCCCTGAGCTCCACCACTGATCCAGTCAATACATACCTACAACTGCAGCATCTGGTTTTGCATTTTCTTCTCATTCAGATCACATAGAGGGACTGCGATGGAAACAGTGTTGCTCAGTTCACTAAAGTGAATAGCATGGGATTTTTTTAAACATTCTCACTAATACAGTTTCTCTCAGTACCTGATTAGGCTTTTAAAATTACTAGTGGCTGACAAAATGTGTCTAATGCTACAAGTTTAAAAGTACAAATAAACTTGAAATTCTTCTGTAACAGTTTGAAATGATTTGTTCAGGGACCATTATCTTAAGAATTCTTGAAGATGTTTGACGTAGGGTGAAGTCAGACAGGAGAGCAAATCAGCCAGAGGGGGCATAAATTAGTCATCCAGTTTCAGAATTACAATAAGGATTACAATCTTGGTCGTAAAAGCTGTATTATAAAAAATTTTCAACACCTTGTGGATGCATTTTCATACTCTTGTCTAGACAAAAATTATTTCATTGAAACTGGGCAGCTTGAGTTTGCTAAAAGAAGGTGACTGTCTATCTCTATCCTCTCCTGTGCGATGCTAGGTGACCTGGAAGTAAAAAGCAACAGAAGGCATTCCCGCCCACTGGCTCCGCTGGCAACGGGCTGCCCCCACTCTTACTCTCAGCTTCACCATCACACATCACATTGCCCACACATACACAAACAAGCACAGAGAGAGCAGCTCTTTAATAGTTAACACTGTTTTTAATGTCCTGCTGGTGTGACCTCTTATGATCTACTTTCATGCCCTGTAAAGCACTACCACTTCTGTCTGTAAAGGTTTTTTGTGCCTCATGGTCTGAGGCAGCCTAATTTAGCAGTAGGTAACCCCAGTGAGGTCCTTTGTGACTGGGAGAAACTGGGGTTCCAGGCTAGACAAAGTGCAGCCCATCACCTACTCCTCTGCAAGGAAAGCCCTGCTGGCTCGCAGCCCAGATAGCACAGGACGGCTAAATGTAGGACTCATCTATCTATTCTGGGTAGTAGGTGTTCCACAAAGCATCCAAAAAAATGTTTTAAAAGAAAAAGGAACATTGACCTTTTTAAAACCTTTTTCTGTTTGAGGCCTACAAGAGCATCTGCATCTTTGAGCCAATGTAGGACAGGAGCTTCGTCTCACATAGACACTGACAGACTTATTTCCCAGAGTGACCTTGAAGTATGACACGCACACGGCTCAGGTTTCTGTGTGTAGTCTTATGTGTGTAAGTTAAGTGCCTGCATGCTGTCAGAAAATGACTTGGAGAAAATGCAAGGCGGGTCACTTGGTAAAAAAGAGACTTTCTCAACACCACCTCGCTTTATCATTAGTCTTTCTTCAGAGCCCATCATCATTTTTCTCCTGTGCTGATGGATCATTCATCTTCTAAATAGTCTTGTCAGTTTCTTTACGCTGAGATAGCATGGAGACTGGTCCCCTCATTTAGATGCAAAGACATGATAGAATAATATGGTATCAGCTTTTTGCCCTCTTTGCATCATTCTCTTATGTGAATAAGCAGTATGACAAATAGCTTCCTCTGGTGACATTGTATTAAACATACTTTCTATAAACTGCACTTCTGAGGAAAACAAATTAATTCCATGTTCAGGTTAAAAATGCTCTTAAAGCAGAATTAGACATTTTTGTGAACATCTACAATGATGTCATCTCTTTCGAACCATTTCGAATCTGTTCCTCCACATAAGTAACCATGGTTACCATATTGTGACTCTGTGTATAGAAGCCAGCTGCTACCAGCTGAAATGCCTTAGGAAGATTGTTTTAAAAGAAGAGAAATTATATCCTTTTGAATGTTTTTAGAACAGGGACAATCCAACATGCTGGTGCTCACACTGTGTGTGAGGGTCAAATTCCCCCAAGTATTTTCTTTCCTTTTGAGAAAAATCCTGCCCCCCCCACCCCCCGTCGTGTTTCCCTCCCTCCTCTCCCCTGTGCTTTCCTCCCTCACAAGATGTCTTGACTTCCAGGGGTTAAAAATAGATATCCCCACTGGTGTAGCATGAGCCTAATTTTATTTTCACAGGGGAAGTTAAGAGAACACACAAGGGGGGCAATAGAAAAATGATAACCTTTGAGATACAAACACATCAAACTTATCTTTCTTATGAGCTTTCATCTTTGATTTTGATGACAGTTGTCCCAAATTTAAGTCCAACAATTCTGTCAAAGAAAATCTTAGTAACCAGATGAAGCTTTTTTTGTGGCATATAAATAACTTCTTAGTCAAATAATAGTGGTATGGATATTAATGCCACGCTGACTCAAATTTGTCTTTGAGATGATTATTTTTGTGCATACATGTGTAAACCCAGGTGGCATATAAGAAAGAAATGCCCACAAAGACATGTCCTTTTCTTTTTAGTCTTTCTGATTCTTTTGTCTTCAAGTGATTTGAAGACAAAGAGAACTAGACAGTGAGAAGATTAAGGGACAAATGGAGTGTATGCGACATAGAAAAAAACTGGAGATGGAGAGAACATGACGGTAAGCAGGAAAGGGTAAGGCAAGTACGGCGAGGAAAAACGAAGGCTGGAGTCTGAGTGTGATAGATAGGAAGGAGGAGGAGAACAGAGAGGAAGGGAGGGAAGAGAGAAGGAGGAGGGAAGGTGGGCGTGGGAGAGATACAAGTTGAGTCAAAGGCCCCCCAGCTCCCCTGATTTCACTGTGAAAGACACTGCTGAAAAGATGGATAGCATGTGCCCTCTCTGCCAAGGCATGCCCAAGACAATGACATCATCATCATCACCATCAGATTAGCAAGGACACAAGGCGACAGCCCCACACTCACACTCAGATCTTTAATCATCATTATTCACTCATTTATTCATCTCATTTCAACTCAGACTCTTACTCTGCATTTGCAACAATCAAGAAGTCTTCATACTTAAAGATGTTCCTACAATAAAATAGATTTCTTTCTTATTCTGTCTTCAAACAGGAATCAAATCTTGCCAAAATAAAATATGAACTCTTACTTTCACATACATATTCAGCTAGTTGTGGACACTTTGGTGAGGAGTACAGAAAAATACTAGTCACAGGTTAAAGTCACAAGTTGGAGGCTACATTTAGAGGACATGAGACTTTTTTCATACTGTATATGTGGAGTTGGTTATACTGCTTTTACAGAAGTTTAACTTTGGTGAGCAGCAGCACTTTGGCGCTCCTTATCTGCAAGCCTCTTCGCTTTATTCTGGAGATAACGGGCTTTGCCCTCCTCTGCACGTCTGTTCTCTTCCTCTCCTTCGAACTGAGGAAACAAAAGAAAGGGAACATTTTCAGACACATTCATCATTCAGACATATTATGCTATGGATTGTTTCCCCTGCCTTTATTCTATTAACTATGGGCATCAGTCTGTGCTCTTGTTATTGCCATTCATCTTCTTGATGAAACACAGAATGAATCATTGAGGTTGAAGAGGCTCTACTCTACATGCATTCTGAATATGCACAACTATAAGTCAAATAAAAAAAATCTTGAGAGATTTGCAAGACATTTGCAGGTCACTGGCATACTTGAAATTCTTCATTACTCTCAAGACAATTCCAGGAAATATCATTAATCATGTCTGCCAGTGCCCTCAACAGTTCAGCTAGGCCCAATGATTGTACTATCATTCTGTTCATTTTTTTCCATGAGTGCAGTTCTTTAATCAAGAAATATCACTTAATCAGGAAAACTGCATATCATCTTTTTTCTCTGTATATGACAGGCATGCATATCTCCATCCTTTTCCATAGCACAACAGTACTGCCATGTTTCCATCAGCTTAGATAGAATGATGAAAATATGATCAAATGGCCCTAAAACTGTTATTGCTGGGAGTATTATCACAGCCAGTAATTCTGGCTCAGTGTTTCAAGCTTGTTAAGAATGACTCTTCTTCAGTATTATCTCAGTTTGGTTGCTGATTCGTGCTAGCCTGCACAGTGTAATTAGACTGCCTGGCAACCTTGTGACTCAAACAACAATATCACAACTAGCAACAGTGTCAACATGTACTTATATGCTCACTCTCACTCCCTCTCCAGCACTCTGCTCCACAGGAACAGAAGTGTGATGTATGTAAGCTTGGGCCTGTATGTATTTGTGCATGGTTTTTGCAGGTCACACAAACAGTACAGGTGAATTCTAGTATTCAGGACAATTTTTAGATGGAGGCCTTGTCTGTGCACACACCAGATGGTTGGCAGATTACAGGGCACCTGCCACTCAGCAGCACCCTGTGTGCAGAGCTAACAGATGACACCTTAACATTGTGAAGAGATTAGAGTGATAACAGACATGACGAAACTTCATGTAAGGGACAAGCCAAGGCGTCATGGCTCTAATGGGACGAGAAATTTAAGCGACTTTGAGCCACAAATGCAACACTAGTGAGATTAACTTTCTGTCCAGGTGCAGGTGCAATCAACCTCATGCAATCTAATTTTCCAAATGTGAATGTCTTGCTGCAAACGTGTGAACATGTGCACAGCCAACTACTGGTAATCTTGGAATTTCTATCCAACTAATATCCCATTTTTCTCCCCCCTTTCTGTCATTCAGGCCTCTGTCAATGTAACAGTTATCTAATTACACTTATAAACCATAGGGAGCTATCGTCTTCACCTTGAGATAGATCAATAAGCAAGTTAATTATAAGGAACGGTACATCTGACTACAGCAAATAAAGAGTGGCAGTTTATAACAATGGGGGGATTTTTGTCCTCATCAGTTTCTGTTCAAGTCAGATGAATCTTGTAGGAGAAAATCTAGCACTGACTGATTAAAAGCACTTTTTTCTTCACTGTTAGTATATCTTTGGTTTAATAAGGCCTCCACAGGATTTCGCAGTAAAAGGGTTTTCTAACTGAACCATCTTAGCCTTTGTGAAAGTGACTCCATTTTCCATCCATGCACATTGTCCTGCTTACACTTGTGCTTTTTTTTGCATCTTTATAAAACTGCACATGTGCATACCTATGTTTATGCTCATGCAAATCCCATTTGCATAGCTCAGTAAGATAATTTATTGCAAGGCATGTGATGCCCTTTTGGTGTCCTCCTGTAATTAGTATTCCTACAGTGGCTTCAGTCTGATAACTGTTATTATGCAGGCTCATCAACTACTGCTGCTGACTCTGAGGCAGAACCTAGACAAACCACAGAAACATAGACAAACCATAGACAAAGAATAACAGAGTGGTTGCTGTTGTGCGTATTGTAGAGTTTGCAGTGATATATGTTAAAATTTGACCAATGGAGAATCATACTTGTCGAGCACCAAAACTAATGCTTCACCAGGGGTGAGCAAGGGATTTTTTCACACTGGACACTAATCACTAGATATTGCTTGGTATTTTAATTTACTTAAAGGTGGGGTAGGCAGGATCTAAAAAAGCGCCACTTTTTGGGAGAAATCTTGAATGTAAACACTGACCCTCCAAACCAGTTTTCCCCTCAGCTCCTCCTCTCCCCTCCCTCTCTGCTCAAGCAAGCCCCGCCCACAAACAATTCTAATTAATTAAATTCAGATTTAATGCACATAAATAATTCAGATAATTACAAATGGGGCCCAGTCAATGTGAAAGCAAAAAGCATTGGTGCAACTGTAGATGCCAACAGACCACCAGCAAACACAATGGGCTTTATTTTCGTTCCTTGCCAGCGGCGTGGCATAGGCGCAGCGTAAGTAAGGTCCGACGCGCTGACAAGGCGTGCCCAAGCACACTTTGGTACTTTGGTGAGCGGTGCAGCCCGGCGTAACTCGTAGCGAGGGAGGAGAGACCTGTTTTCACCAATCAGATCAGCTCCTCTCCTCACTTTTAAATCCGCCACTGGCAAGGCATATTACAATTGTCGTGCAGTAGTCAAAGAGATCAAGAGATGTCTGAAGCCCTCCGCCTGCGCTAAAAGCTGACCAGGTTTGAATCGGCGAGCTTTCAGTGCACGAAAATGCCACTGTGCAAGCTCACACCTCCCCCTACCACGCCCAGCTTGGTGGATCTTGGTGCACCTCAGTCCATGAAAAATACAAAACTGGCTGTGCACTGGGCTCCGCCGGACGAAAATACCACTGCATGGGGTCCGCCACCCTCTGCAGCGCCGCCGGCGGGCACGAAAATAGAGCCCAATGTTTGCGAGACAACAACTACAACACTACAACTACAAAACGCAGCAGGTCCCAATGGACAAGAAACACTTCTGTTACAGACACTTGGCTTACTTTGTTAAAGTGGTTTACCTGTCCAGCAGAAAGGTTATAGGGTCCGTAAGATCCCTAAGCATCCCCCATTGTTTATGCCCCACTGATGTTGACATGACTTTTTAGCTCTTGTGTGGTCTACCTCCTCTTGTTTAAGCGCCCTTTATTCCGCCAGAGTCTCCAGTATTTACTTTGTTTTCTTTCTTGTGTTGCCAGTCGTGGCCAAAGGAGGATTCAGACAATTTTCCATACTTTCTGGTTGGTTTCTACTGTCCGATAATGTGGCACGCTTACTTTGTTGGGGCTCGTGAATGTTATTCGAGGACTCAGAGTGTGAATCACAACATGAGGGAGCAGCGTCCGCCTCACATCCAATCAGCACTAAGGAGTAGCATTCGCCTCACAACCAATCAGGTTGGGGACGAGGAGAATGGCTTTGTTTACAGTCAGAATGAGTGAGACTCTCAAAAGTTTTAAAATGTTGACTACACAGACATAAAAGAACACAGCTATATTGTGATATTACCAAATGTTATCAATAACTAATAGCTACTGACTGATATTAAAAACTTTTTTGTATATATACAACAAAAATGATGCTTCTTTAACAGGATCCTGCCTACCCCACATTAAATGGTGCACAATTTCTTGTGTGTTGCAGACCTTCTTCATCTATGTGTTGACATCATATTGTTATGCGATTTTTATATCTGGCTCATTTTCTTGACATTAAAGATTTTTCTGCCAACTATTGTCTCTATGAAATATAATACCCCCCACTTTGAAGCACAATGGTCCTGATCTATAGATTTTATGAAGGTTAACATGAAGTTGAGCAAAGTAAAACATTGTGTCAGTTTATTGGATATTTGATAGGATATTTTTGTCCAAACAAAGCCAGATATTAGTTAATATAAGGCCTGTTACAATGCTTTAAACTGAAATCCACAAAATTGTCCATTTGAACACTGTCTGCTGGTAAGCATAGATTGTTAGTTTATCAGATGAAAGGGTCAAAAAGCACTGCAGTTTATAAACAATGGTTCTGTTACGCGAACCTCTGAAAGGAACTTGATGAACCTAGTAAAATAAACCTGGAACTGGGACAAGCTGTGGGGAAGGGTCTCATATTAAGCCAGCAAAATGACAGAGGGGTTCTATTGTGTTGGCACAAGCTGTTCGTAGCACAGGCACAGGGCAATGGAGCAACTGCCAAATGCCAACATCTCAAAAGTAGCACTGTGCTGAAAGCACTGGCTCAAGAAAAAAAATAGCCATCTGGACTGACAAGGGTCTGGATACTCACATATGTTTGTGTCTGAAAGAGAGAATGGGAAAAAGAGACAGAGACACAGAGCATATGACATGTTAGACAATAATGAAAGATGTAATATGAAACAAACCCAAAAGGACCTCTATCCCTCCATGGATTAATCAGTTCAGTCAAGCTATAAAGACACATCTCCTGGATGTGCTGGGACACATAAGTGTTGTGGCCTGGGGTCACATGGTGTTTTGGGCCCCCCCCCCCAGGTGACCAGGCCAGGCTTAATCAAGCCTCAACCTGCATCCCAGCAGCAACCCATGGATCAGCCTTCTTCATCCAAAGCCATATTGTAGTTTTCTCTGTAGCTTCACTTGGAGATTAAATGGCCGTCTTCTTGGATGCCCCCCATCACACTCAGCTTAAGAGGATCCTGCAGACTGACCGGCCTGCAAAGCCTCTGCAGTCAACCCCTATGGGCTCATAGAGGGTTTTCCAGCCTCTGCCCTGCACTTCCCCACCAGCTCTTGGTGCTTGGCATGTTTCCTCTTATTGGCTTCCTCTAAATGCTGTTCTATGTGCACCATCAGCTCCAGCAATGTATGGAAGCCTCAGAGGTGGTGATCATGTCTGTGCTTTCCCACATGGACCTGCAGCTGCCAGTCAGAAGCTGTGTGGAGTAGTCCTGTTGTTGTTTGCGTGTGTGCACGAGGCTTCTCTCTAGCCTTCACGAAAGAGACTGCCCTCTTCCAAGGATGATGGTGTTTGTTGGTGCTGATGGTTGAGGCTAAACTCTCATCTACTTTCTTAAGCACCTGGTCATGGCGTAAACAGTAATAGCCATCTGCAAGAGCCCTAGATCAGCTCTTAAGGAAATGTTCCCAGGAGCCTCTTCCTGAGCAGAAATGGCAGAGGTGTCTCACTCTTTCTCCATACATGGAATTTAACTTTGCTTGGGAGGGCAAGACTGCTTGTCTTCCTAAGGTGCCAGAGAAGCTCTGGGAAGCACTTCTAGACAAGAGTTCTCAACTGGGTCCTGCTGCTGCTTGAGCTGTCTTGATGACCTCCTCCACCTACTTAAAACTTGGCCCCCTCAGACTGAATGCTGTTGTTGGGGGATGGGATTACAGATTCGTTGACATCCAGATCTTTTCCCTAATTGGGTTGCTTTAGGAGTCCTGAAGGAAGCAGTTCACTTCCTCTATAGAGCACTTCAGACAGCCACTGCGCTTGTCTCCAAGCAGTTACTTCATGAAACCAAAGGGATGAGCAATGGAGGCAGCTTTGCCTTCAGGCCCCTCTTGTCTCACCAGATCGAAGTCCTGTGCATTGCACTTCATTCCCCAGTTCCAGACATTTAATTCTGACCTGGTGGATTCTTAGGCCACACTGGTTCTTGCACAGCTTTCCGCAAATAGATGTTATGCTCATAGTCGGTCCATTTGCATTGGTCAATAGCCTTGGGTCTGTCCGATTTGAGATCTCATCCTCGCCTTCTCTCATGATGTCCTGGGGTATGAGTCTTTAAGGCTGTCTGTAGCATGTTAGTTATAGGGTTCTTTTTCACGAAAGACACAGGCTGGGGTGCCAACCCATGTTGTCCCTTGCACTGTCTTTCCGAGTTGTCAACTGTCTCTCCAGTGGTCAACCACACTGTTCTTGGTTATCACCGAGTCTGGCCCTCAGAGCCCCTTGCAAAGCCAGACTTTTGCGTTACAGAAACATCTGGGTCACTGGCGATTGCTCTAAGGCTGCAAGGGAAGCTCAGCTTCCCTTAAAATGTCACCCCCCCAAAGAAAGAAAAGTGGTGAAATACGTACTGCTGTGTGTACATTTCATTAACTAAATACGCGCTAGAAAGCCTTCATCTTTTGTTCAGAATCAGCTTCTTATCACACTGTGATAAGAAGCTGATAATCACAGGTAACCGGCATAACTTTGTTCTCATTCATCCTCGCAGCGCCTCAGCGCTTCACACAGCCAGATGCTCAGCTTCTGCTGACTTCAATGTGGAAGCTCAAAGTGGGTTGTTCCAGCAGCGAAACTAGACGCTCATTGGATAAATGCTGGGCTTTGTCCCGCCCATCGGGCGCTCAGCGTCTCTGGAGTTCTATGACAAGAGGGCGGTCCCAACTTTCTTGAGGACGCTGAGCTTCTGCATCCATGATTGGATGAGCTGTCTGAGGCGAAATCCTTTTTTGATTGACAGCTAAACAAGCGAATCAGCAATCTTGAAGAATAAAACATCTACCAGAGCATTTTCCAAGTTATTCATTCTGTTGTTCTTAACTGCTCCAGAGACTTTACCGATCCTCAGCGACTTTTGTCTTTGTTGAAAACGACTGCCGTTGTGTTTGGCGACTCTGTTCTGTTACATCCAAATAAACAAACACAATTATGATGTAGGCGAGAAAAATGAGCTTCCCCTCCTTGAAAGACCAGCAGCCGCCACTGATCTGGGTGCACTGTGACACATTATCAGTATTGTGGCTAGGGGTCGCAGGGTATCTGCAGTCAGTTTTCCTGTCTTGAGTTTAGACTTTAAAGGTACAGCATGTAGGATATGACAGCATTCAGCAGAACAGACTTGGTATAATCATCTATGTAAAAGGTGTATAATCTCCTGATTAGAGTCTTTTATATTTAAAAAGACATAGGTCTCTTTACACAGAAATCACCATCATGACAGGCATGTTCTTATTGTAGTACAGAACAGGCAAACTAGTAATGTTGGTGTATATTATATATATTATATTTGATGAGAGGCCACACACCAACTGCACAAGCTGTTGACGAAGAAGAAGAGAGTGGTTGCTGTTGTGCATTCAAGAACTTGTGATGATAGACATTTTGAAATCTGAAAAATCCAGGTGCATATTCGTCATGCATCACAGGAGCTCTCTGTCTTTAGAGACCACTGTCACCTCACCAATGGGAGCGGTTAGCAAGGAAGCATTTTAATGCAAAATCTAATGTTACAACTGGATTTGCTGAATAACCTCATTTTTACATACTGCATCTTTAAAGTAAATATCTATTGTACAAAGCAAGAGAAGGGATGAATATTTAATAGCCTGATTGTGATGGCTTAAAAATAAAGATTTAATAAAGAAAACACCCACCATCATACTTTTGAACACAGGCTATTCTATTCGAATCAAATATAGGGCTACACACCAATTTCAATAGAAGCAACCAGTGGCGGTGGTGATGATTTCTGATGAGCTGTCTGCAGGCCATTACATGCATTACAGTGCCTCCTGTTTAAGTGGATGTTACTGACACTGGGGTCAGTTAGCCTAGCCAACTGACAGTTTTACAATGCTGTGCTTGAATACATAGCTACACTTAAAATAGGTAATGACCCCTCGTATTCAAATCATCATCCCTCAGTTGCAGATACCTGGGCTGTGGCCAAAGAGAGGAAATGTTGGTATGTTTTTTGAGCCATGCTTTCCATAAGTACAGTGAGAAATATCTGCTGCTCTGGCACAAGCATGCCTGTTAACCCATTGCTGATTGTCCTGAATAGGAGGCATCTAAAAATAAATGTGTATCACTTAACGTGGTCTACAGAAGGTTGCCATAACAACCCAGCTTGTTTTTGTGTCACAGGAGGCCAGCTGAGTCTCCAGCAGTGAGAAGGGAGGAGAGAGAGTAGAGGAGAGGGAGAGGAGAAGATGGAGGAAAAAAAGAGAAGGGAGAGATAAGGAATATCTCGGGATTGAAGGAACGATGAATGGAAAGATTTCACTGTAGAAGTCAGTAGGGATGTGACGATGAAAAATGAAGACAGAAAAAGAAAAAGAAAGTAAGATTTAACAGGGATTAATCCCACAGCTGGTTTACTAGGATGCATTTCCACATAAGCTGCATTCTTAATGTATTTATTAAAACATACAGTATGTCTCTTAAGAGGAACTGCTGAATGTGCACACAGTTTTCAGCATACAAAAAGCACCTTTTCGTTCATAGCATAAAATAAAAACACCCTCAGGATTTACCCAGTGATACCAAGGGGCAAACACATCTCTTTAAACCAGCTAGTGTTTAGTATTCACTGGCAGCCCTCTCTGCATTCAAAGTACTGACCTTCCGGTAACAAGCCAGTTGTTCTACTTGCTTTCCAATGAAATCTAAAGAAAAAAAAAAAAAAAAAAAAAGACATACACTTGTCGGAAGCTTTTGATTGTTTTAATGCTTGCCTCGCGTGCACACAACCCCTAAATACATTTTTGCAGGTACTGCTGCTCAATGATGAGGCATTCCCTTGATAAACTAAACCCTTCATGCTATCTGCATTCCTCTCCTAAGCTTCAGCCATAGTATGCTACCATTAGTGACAGCTCATTGACAGCACAAACCCCATCCCCATCCTCTACACACACACACACACACACACACACACACACACACACACAGAACCCCCTGCCAAGCTAAAATGGGAAAATCTAAAAATAGCAAACGCAGCAAGCTCACTCAAGAGAAAGTGAGGATGAGGAAATAGGAGGGAAAGCACCTGCAGTCAAAAATAGCAGAAGCTGTCCTTTCGATCTGGCTATTTATAGAGCACAACTGGAGCACAATATTCCACAATGTCATGAAAATTTCATTAGGGAGGATTTTTATACCAAGGTACATCTCATCATGCTTCAGTAAAACAATTTGGTGTATGCCAGCTTTGAATAGCAATCCATGAGCAGACATAGAGCTCCAACAAATCTTCATCTACTTTTTCATAAAGCCAGTGAACAAAGAAAGGGAGTACTTTAGGGAATTTGAAGAGGAGAGGAGATGAGTATAAGTGATGAAGATTTAAACCATTTACAGAAGCCAACCCTGCTCTTGGTAGATCTTAGCGGCCTTTCTCACCCAAAGTCCGCTTAGAAGGTCCGGATCAGGGACCAAATGTTTACACTGTTGCATTTTGCATTTGGTCCGTTGAGCATTCCTAGGGGACTTTTTGCTAAGCAAACCAAATGGTTTAAAAAAAAAAAAAAAAAAAGGGGGAAAATTATGAGGGAAAATCACTGTCTGTCACCTGCTCATTTGGGGAACAATCTTCATTGTCCCACAACGTACAGAAAGTAGCTGACCAGAGAGAACAATGGGCACCTAGCTTCATGCAATTCTCCAGAGGTGGCGGAGAGGTTGTGCAAGGAGACACCAGGCATTGATGCAAAGGAATGCTTTTAACAAATTGTCAGTGTGTTTGTTGAGCAGAAGAATACACAGGTATTAAATATCTATCACCAAACTACTGTATTAGAACACAAACCATCTGCCATTCGTCCAGTTTTGACCGGCTGTTCTCCATCCGCTGCAACCTCCAGCCCAACCCCGGGAAATTATGCCCAACCTCCAGGCATTATTTCCCGGCTTTATTACAGTGTAAATGTGTTATTAGTTTATATTTACATATAAAAAGTCTGGCTGCATCAGTGCTGTGTTCACAACTGCTGCGGACCAGACCACGGCGCGTTTGAAAGGGGACCGAATTCGGCATTTTCAAGAGGACCACAGTCCGTCTGTTTGATCAAGACCATGGTTTGCTTGCACGTTCATACCACCTGGACCAAAGGAGTAAGGGGTATGGGGACCATGGTCTTTTTAAAACAAACCAAACAGTCCTGGTATGAATGTGCCCTAAGACTAAACTATGGAAATAGTTTTTATCATTACTAGTGATTATAAACAGTGGGTATTAGAGATTCAGAGTGAGTGCACTTTGGCAGATTCTGGAAACCTTACTAAATAATAATGGACCAATTGTAAGGCTTATATAAAGAGGTTTTTTATATATATGTTTGAAATATGAGGAAATAAGGAATATGTAATGGATAATGCAGCAGGATGTTTTGAGAAACAGTGTGATATTATGGCTTATTTCAAATACTTTACAGGAGTTAAAGAAGGCTCACTTCACTTTTAGGGCTACACTGGAAATATAAAGCTACGGCTTGGGGTTAGTTAGCTTAGCCTTGCTTCCAGACCATTAAAACAACCTTCTTTTTTTTTTTTTTTTTTAAATTAGCAACACTCACAAAGCTTGCATTAGACAGGTTTGACTTTTCATATGAGACACCTGTGAAAATATACACTCACCGGCCACTTTATTAGGTACACCTGTCCAACTGCTCGTTAACACTTAATTTCTAATCAGCCAATCACATGGCGGCAACTTAGTGCATTTAGGCATGTAGACATGGTCAAGACAATCTCCTGCAGTTCAAACCGAGCATCATTATGGGGAAGAAAGGTGATTTGAGTGACTTTGAACGTGGCATGGTTGTTGGTGCCAGAAGGGCTGGTCTGAGTATTTCAGAAACTGCTGATCTACTGGGATTTTCACGCACAACCATCTCTAGGGTTTACAGAGAATGGTCCGAAAAAGAAAAAATATCCAGTGAGCGGCAGTTCTGTGGGCGGAAATGCCTTGTTGATGCCAGAGGTCAGAGGAGAATGGCCAGACTGGTTCGAGCTGATAGAAAGGCAACAGTGACTCAAATAACCACCCGTTACAACCAAGGTAGGCAGAAGAGCATCTCTGAACACACAGTACGTCGAACTTTGAGGCAGATGGGCTACAGCAGCAGAAGACCACACCGGGTGCCACTCCTTTCAGCTAAGAACAGGAAACTGAGGCTACAATTTGCACAAGCTCATCGAAATTGGACAATAGAAGATTGGAAAAACGTTGCCTGGTCTGATGAGTCTCGATTTCTGCTGCGACATTCGGATGGTAGGGTCAGAATTTGGCGTCAACAACATGAAAGCATGGATCCATCCTGCCTTGTATCAACGGTTCAGGCTGGTGGTGGTGGTGTCATGGTGTGGGGAATATTTTCTTGGCACTCTTTGGGCCCCTTGGTACCAATTGAGCATCGTTGCAACGCCACAGCCTACCTGAGTATTGTTGCTGACCATGTCCATCCCTTTATGACCACAATGTACCCAACTTCTGATGGCTACTTTCAGCAGGCTAATGCGCCATGTCATAAAGCTGGAATCATCTCAGACTGGTTTCTTGAACATGACAATGAGTTCACTGTACTCAAATGGCCTCCACAGTCACCAGATCTCAATCCAATAGAGCATCTTTGGGATGTGGTGGAACGGGAGATTCGCATCATGGATGTGCAGCCGACAAATCTGCGGCAACTGTGTGATGCCATCATGTCAATATGGACCAAGCTCTCTGAGGAATGCTTCCAGCACCTTGTTGAATCTATGCCACGAAGAATTGAGGCAGTTCTGAAGGCAAAAGGGGGTCCAACCCGTTACTAGCATGGTGTACCTAATAAAGTGGCCGGTGAGTGTATGTGTAGTTTGCATGATTAATCACTGTTGGATAGATATCATCAGGATTGCATTTCCCCATTATTCAGTGTTTACACAAGATGCCAGTTATCTGTTGAGGACAAACTTTTCAGACTGCTCTCCCTGGCAGTTACATTTTTCATTATCCTACTGGTTCACACTCATTGCTTTTTCATCATTCTTTTTTGAAAACATCTACTTTAAAGACTCTTTAGAAGCAAAGTTATTATAAGTGAGTGGGTATGTGTGAAATGTTTAATTATTTTTATTTTACCTACAGCTGTTCTGGCTGTGTTGGGTGGAATGCCAGTGTTGCAGTAAGTTTCTATATTTTGATTTGGAAATTTCACATTTTGGTCTGAAAACGAAACATAATAAAAGTTGTTTTGATGGCTCTGTATCACCTACAAAAGCAAACAAAACAATGAGGAAAAAGGCTGATTATTTGATATGCCAGGTCCAAGATAGTGAGTTGCATATTGGATATTAAAAAAAAAAAGACCAATTTAATTCTTTTTTCCTTATTGCACAAAAAAAATCCAAATAGTCACAAAGAGGGTGACAGAATCAACAAAAACCTAGAAGTTTCCCTTGGGACCGTTAAAGTCACAGATTTCTGCTTCATTAGCAGCTGTTCTAAAGAAACTAAATTCCAGAGTACTTTTACACATTAACCATCTTCTAGTGTCTCACTGCCTTCAGATAATGACAGATTTCATCACAGTTAAGAATAATGCTAATCTAAAAAATACCAGCACTGCTGTTGTTTTCATCCATAACCAATACCTACAACATTCAATTATAAAAAATGTAGTATATTAGAATCTACTTTACTTTCCTAAACCAGTACATAAAATCTATCTTTACAAGGAATGTAGCTTTGATGAAATTTGAAGATGGTTGAAGTACCCTAAAAGTAAAATTCAAATGAAAGAACAAAGAGGCCAAATGCTTGTCGCTCTTTCCTCTGGAGCTAACAAGGCTATTTGTTGTTATCATTGCGTTTCAATCCCTGGCGGTCCAAACTCACTGCCAGGGGAAACTTACTGTAGGTGTTAATTGGATTGATGTGTTAAACCTTATTTCCTGCATGTGACGCCTGTCTTTTACACCAAGGGGTTAATGTCTATGAATCGGTGTATTGCCATCAGTAAAGTTTGGACAGCTCCCCTGGTTTTGGTTCAATCTAATCCTGTGTTAAAGCTCTCAGTAAATAGTCATAAAGCCAGAAATAGCTCAGATTGAGCTTCATCATCCCTCTCTCACTCATATAAATAAAGGCACGCATTTGTACTCAGTGATCTGTTCAAGCACGTGCCTATCCACATGCGAGCCCACCCCCTCACACACAAACCTTGACATGCTTTATTTGTCTTTTCTTTTGCACACAAACACACAGTCTGTCTACACTGTGTTTCTGTCCAACTCTGTTCCTGCTCAAACACAACAGCACACACAAAATGTCTCTGTTCCTGTCCTTCTGTCCTGACATGCTACATCAGAACCTGGCAGCCCTGGCCCCATTTAGACTTTCATTTCGAATGACCATGTTGAATTATTAAAATCATCAGGCAGTTTTTAGACTTTCTTCTCCTAAAATTGAGGTGAACAGAGTAATTAAAATTGTCTTAATCATTTCTGCAACTCCCTGCTATAAAACAAAAGCTTTAGCAGAAGCTTGTGAGTGAAGGAAAACCAGGTAATGCATGCAAGCAGGAAAGCACACAATGGTTGAATCAAACATGGAGCTTTGTGAAATGGAAATTGGGAGACTAATTAAGAGGTTTTAATAAGGCTGACCCACACAAACACATATGATGCATGTTCCGGGTGTCCTAATGTTAAAGAGCAATGATGCACCTTTAATGTGTGTGAATGCTTGTGAAACGAGAGGTCACTGCAGCACTTGACAGAACAATGACACACCAAATACAACCCTTTTCCACTCTTCCCCCTTCATGCTGCCAAGCTTGGCGCTCTTCCTGTAAATGTCTCATTACACACTTGGGGCTCTATTTTCGTGGCGGCGGATGGTGGCGCAGTCGCGCAGTGGTATTTTTGTCTGGCAGAGCCTGGTGCAAAGCCAGTTTGGTATTTTTGCAGACTGAGGCGCTCCGAGGTGCGCCAAGCTGGGCGTAGTGACGCAGTAGGGGGAGGTGTTGACAGAATCAACTGGCGCAGTGACATTTTAGTGCTCGCCAGCGGCATGAAAAGTGCACTGAAAGCTCACCAATTCAATCCTGGTCAGCTTTCAGCACAGGCAGAGCGAAGCTGGTCTAGTGCTATTTCGGTAGACACACGCGTCACCAATCCTTCACCTGCAGGTTTCCACAGTGTCAGGCACATTTCAGTGGAATAAATAATCAACAACCACTATTCAGTGCAACTATATGAGTCAGCACATACTTTTAGATCTATATCAATATATTCTGATCTATATGAGGTGAGCGCATTTTGCATGAGCGTATTTCGCACGCGTTTGGACACTCAACCTGACTGAATTAACACAGCTGAAACCGCATTTAAATAAATATCCAGTAAACAGTCACACATGATGAAGTTAAGATATTTAATTTGTCTCCCCGCTTATTCTCCTTCTTCCCCTCACAGCTTGACCGGTGTTGTGCTGTAGAATGCACCCCTGCCGTAGAATGCATCCCCTGCATCCCATCCACTCATAAGCTTCTTAAAGTGGAAGAAAATGATTGTATTTTAAAAAACATAAGTATTGGATCATGACAACATGTCAAATGGAGCAGCAAATTTTTTTTCTGTTTTCATGTGTTTAAAAAATATACATATAGAGATGTACCTGAGTATATAAAGTGTACAGTAAGCTGTCAAGTTAGAGAACATTATATTTTCGGGACAGCAGATACTCCGAATCACAGGGCTGTTGTTTTCGGCTTATCTGAATAGCCTGAATGAATTCATTAAAGGCACACGCTTTTGAATCCATCCAACGGTGTGGAAAACTTGGATTATTGTGGCACGGCTGACCAGATGATTAACTTTAGTGATCAGATGAGTTATTTACTTTGAAAATTTGAACAAAAAAATAAAAGAAACTTACATTCAAAAATTACCTGTTTATCTGATGTTCTCACATCCTTAAAATTCTGTGAATATTCAATCTGGGGTCAGGCCCACATATAAATATTATAATATTCATTTGCACGAGCCAAATTCATTTAATATGCCAACATCTATGAACGAAACAGCCAGGCCATGGAGCATGATGCGTCCTTTACGCACAGGTAGTTCCAATTATAATGCCATTATTGGAGTTTGTGTTGTGATCTGTGCGCACAACCCACCTTTGCCATGTGGGTTTAAATATATGAAACTTGTTGTGATTGTCTTTATTTGTGGAAAAGGATGTTTGTCTTACCAGTGGGTACAACATTCCACACACCATATGCTTATATGAGGGAGTGTGGAGAACACCCTCTGCAGCGCTTACAGCGACACTTGTTGAGGAGCTGCCTTCTGTCGCCATCGTGTGGCATTGCTGTCTTCAGACATCTCTTGATCTCTTTGACTACTGCACGAAAATTGTAATACACCTCGCCGTTGGCAGATTTAAAGGTGAGGAGAGGAGCTGATGTGATTGGTGAATACAGGACTCGGCTGTTTTAAATCCACTCCATGCCTTCTCTCCTCCCTCTCTACGACTTACGCCGTTGGAAGGAGCTGAGTTAGGGAGAGGGAACACTTGCGCCGGGCTGCGCTGCTCACCAAAACACCAAATTGTGCTTGGGAACGCCTTGTCAGCGGACCTGACTTACGCCACGCCTGCACCATGCTGAAAATACAGCCCTTATAATAAAAACATAGCTTGTGGGAAATGGTATTATGAACCACTTCCCTATTCAAGATGTTATAGTGAGTTACACAGAAACCAGTTTTATGTAACGTGTATTCTTCTGCATCCTATGCTTTTTTGGGGGGAATAGTACAGGGAAAGATGCAGATATGCTCATACTCAAAGTTTAATTAAAAGCTACATTACAAACTTTGACTCTTAAGTTTGTGCAGGGGAGCCTTGGCCTACTGTCAAACTACACTGACACTAACCACTCAGCCCATGCCATTGCAACGGAATAGGCTTAAAGCTTGGGTAGGCTACTTTGGGGGAAAAAAAACAAGAGTGAGCTAGACTTTGCATGTCAGAGTTGCATGTCTTAACAGTGTTTAACTTTCCCTGTCATCTCATGAAAGTAGCTTGCTTTAGTCAAAGAAGCCTGCACATTGTGCTCTAAGATTGGTGGTGGTGAATTATGGGATATCTAAACATACAGTTTTATTTTCCAAAAATTTCATCAGCCGGTTGTTGTTGGGATGTAAACACAAATAAACAGTATCTAAAACGTGAAACCTAAAGTAAATTGAGCTACGAAGCAGGTCAAAGTTTCTATTTCCACATTTGTCATGTTGTTCAACGAATTCTCATAGCCATAAAGTCTAACAAGAAATGAGATCAAAAAGAGCATTTGTATCATTAACATGATCAAAATCTTAGAACAAAATTTGCTAAATCCTCAACTTTGTATTCTGATTGTGCTTTCCAAACCTGCTTACAGCCAGGTTGACTTCATCTCACTTTGAAATGGGACTTGTTTTAAACCCATCATCATAGACCGTCAGGAACTGTGACTGGAGCCAGGAAATAATTTAAATGTGCTGAGTAAAGCAGATGGCTGTGTACAGTGTTTGCACATAAATAGGGAGTGGATCGTTGTGTACTGTCGGGCCAGAACAAACAGCAGGCGTCCCTCTCCAGTCTGCAGGTGCACATGCACAGCTTACATCCTGACAATAAGTGCTGAGTCAGCCAGACACATATTAGCATTCAGCCATCAAGGCTTAGTGATGCGCCGTATGTTAATGTTTTATTCTCCAAAAAGCTGAATAACAGAGGACAAAAAAAAACATGTTAAACTAGGATGTGATGAACTTAACACTTGCAACACTGCCAATCTCTTTATTAATCTATATATTTCTTTAGAATTCTGTAGAAAGACAGCACTGCGCTTAAACAACTTTTTAATTTCAATATATGTTTACACCTTTAATTCACTAAGTCCTCAAGGCAAGTTTTGGACTGCACATCTTTATCAGTGCTCATGCTGAACTAAACTGAAAAAGGTCAAAAGACTAAAGAAGTAATTCTGACGTATTTCAGAGAGAAGGTTTTCAAAAAGTCCATGACTTCATGATGAAAGAAAGATAAGTAAAGCACATCATACTAACTTTAAACAAGAGGTGTAAACTTGGCATCATGTAAATACAGAAAAATGTGTAAGATCAAGTTGATATCACATTCAGGTTTTGACAAATTGACAGTTTTTACAGAGACTGAAAGGCACTAACCTTAAGAGGAGGAACAGGCAGAGGCCTGCCGTATTTGTCCAGAGAGATGAAGGTGAAGAAGGCTGAGACTGCACGGTATTTTCCTTTCTCTGCCTCTGCCAGTGAGGCTGCATCCACAAACACTTCGATTTCCATTGACTTATTACTGACAAAAGTGAGCCGTCCTGTCACTGTTACCACACAACCTTGGAGAGATAAGAGAAAGATAAATCTTCATTAAAACTGCTCTGCCCCTTGGCCTACCAAAGACATTTTCATTCTGATATGTTTTTAAATCAGGAGGCTATGCAAGAGATTTAGGGAAATTGAATTTTTATAATGCTATGTATCACATTCACATGATACAATTTATGTAACCTGAAAATACTGGATTATAACAATAGTATATTTTTCATACTATTAGTTGAAATCAAACTTCTGACTTCAGCTTCACATATTAGACAATTTGACATTCTTTTTCATGTTTTTATAAATGTTTTTATGTATGTAGTCATATATATATATTCATTTATTTATTTAACTTCAGGGGTCAGCTTTAATGCCCTTTTTTCAGAGGATAGGACAATTGATGAGAAACTGGCAGAAGAGAAAGGCATGGATGACATTGTGGCAAAGCACTGCAGGTCAGATGTGAGCCCTGGACTGCCAACTCTGAGGACTATGGTCTGCATGCACCTGACACACGAATTAAACACTTAGCCAAACATGTGCCCCCCAAAGATCTAAAAGTATACCACAATAAATTTAAAAAATCACATGGACATGTAATTCTCATTGAGCATGGTTATATTCCACTCAGATTAATTGTTGACAGTCCAGGAATAAAAAAAAATGCTTTGGTATACATGTTAGGTTCAAATTAAAAATATCCCAAACACAGTGACTTGAATAACGCCTGAATAGCAGCAGACATACATTAAAAGATGAGAGTTGCAGCTAACATGGGCTTGTTCTGGTACAGCTGGTAGAAAGAATTACTCAGTTCACAACACCTTTGAATCTGCTCTTGCAATCTACTTCACACTGTTGCATCATGAACTTGTTGAAGTCAGTTCCACTGAGTGAGTCCACAAAATGAGACAGGCTGAAGATCTTTGGCTGGAAGAATTTTAAAGCTGCAGCCATGCCATCCAGCTGCAGGTTTTTTTAGATATATAAAACTCGGATGTGGAGGAATTAAGTCAGCCAGAACAACTGAAAGTGCTAAGACAAAGTTTTATTTTTATCTCTGACACTTTTCAAAATGAGAACTTTAAAAAAAAATGTATACTTGAGAGAACAAATCGCATCCTCTGAAGCCAGCATTTTTTACACCTCTCCTTTTGAATTCAACATTAAATCCATCTAATGCATCTGACTCATCAAAATGTGCACCCTTAATCTTAAGTCAATGCAAAAAGGCAGAGGAAAAAAATAATCAGCCAACAGAACCAGGCATTTCTGATGTGTTTCTTTATTCTCTTTGATGTGCTGGTACTGTATTATTACTGCTGTTGCCATGGAGATCGGGGGAGAGGGTGCTCTACATCTGAGACACATCTTCAGTATTAGACCAGGGTCTTATAAAACTACCCAGGGCATAAATAAAAACAGTTTATAGCATTAGTGTCACGCTATACTATGCTATGTTGACGTGCTAATGAACACAATTGTGTAGATGTCCATGACCTCAGGTTCTGTTACTTTTTACTACTCATTGTTTATGAACCAAGTTTGTTTGCTAATTTTAGGTCTTTAAGTACAAATACATATATTAAAGAGAGACTTCAAGAAGTTGTGTGAGGTACTTGTTAAAAGTTCCCCATATATCGATGACTTGTACATCATAGACCTAAACGGCTGACCACTGCACAGCAGGTAGAAGAACATGTCCGTGCTTTGTCTGAGGATGGAGCAGAAAAAGGTTCTCTGACAGCAAAGTTAAGCATTGAAATTTTCAAAACAGAGTGTACACTTAGGGCCTGATCTAATAAGATCCCAAATAGAGATGGCTAAACTGGTGTGTAAACTAAAAAATTGCATGTGCTATTAGTGGGCGTGTTGCAGGTGATCTACTATCATTGCATGCGCAATTGATAACAGGAGCAAAAGTGGTGCGGACCCTCCTCTTTAAATGAGGATTTTGCGAAATATAGACGCAAAACAGCGACCCATTGGTTTCCAGGTTTGACAAATCACAATGCGGGTGCTGAATGATTCTATTTGCATCTGCTCCTCCAAGAATTTTGTGCAGCCTGATGATCTACACACAATATGCATATTCATGAAGTCAAACACACTAAATGGATTGCGCCCACTGTTTTGATCATTTGACAGACGCAATCCCCGGTGCACTCAGTTAGTAGATCAGCTTTGTGCGTGCTGTCAAGTTTGCACATGATTTTTGCACATGCAAACCTTTAGTAGATTAGGCTGTAAAAGTGTACTTGTTTGGAGTTTGGTCTGCTAAATCACATCTGCACAGCTGACTTCATCTGTAGCAGTTAAAAGCCTAGCTGTCATTCTGGTTGTCTACCACTGCCAACATCCCCTCCATCTTAGACACTTATTGCTGACAAGTACCTTATATAAACCTATCAAGACCAATCCATTAAAGCTCCTGTGGGGAGGTTTTAGCTCACAAAATGGACTGAAATCAATACTGACACCTTTATATGGACTACAGAACCACCAAGAACTATAGTTCTTTTGATGCCTGAAACTATTGCGAGCATGTGTCAGACAATGTGATAAATAGGAAACTCCAGATACAGTTTTCTGCATCTTCCATGATATAGATATTTTGACCTTTCAAAGGAAATATGATGAGATGTTCCGTTAAAAACACTTTTTACAAATGATCAGAGCCAGCAAGCAATAAGAATAATGGCTCTGTCACCTGGGGCACCAAAATCAACACAAACTACAAGTTCTTTTCCAGAGCGTTAACACATCCATCAAGATTGCTACATTGTAAGCCTTTAAAATGCACCAAAGTAATTTTGCTTAAACTCTTAACACAAGCACGCTCTTCACGAACTTTTCAAGAAGCCCTGTCACTGCTTTTTATTTTTTTTCATTCTGGCTTAAACAGTCTCTCTCCTTTAGACTGCTAATGTCAAAGACGGACATCTTCATAGCTGCTGACAGGAAATTTCAGTCAAGGTTTAACCTGCATGAATTTCTTACATATTGTTTTACAGTTTTACAGTAAAAAGTTCACCTTTGTAAATCCTCAGTGGAGCCTCTATATCGGATGGATGTGTTGAAATGATGTCACTTTTACCCGAGACCTCATGTGACTGATGATGGACATGACAATGATAATAAAAACCTTACTGAGTGATTAGCAGTGAAAAGGCAGTAAAGATGCATGAATGCAAATAAGATAAGGTAAACTCAATGCTCGTTTACTCTCTTGCAGCATTTATTGCCCTATTGAGTTGTTTTTTTTTTTTTTTTTTTTTTTTTTTGGGGGGGGGGGGGTACTAAGCTCAGTGGAGCATGCTCTCCTTAAAGACGTTACACGTTACAGATAAACAGCTTTGATGAGATCAGGCGATTTATCTGTAGACCCCTGTGGTTAATAATTGATGAATAAATGCAGTAGATCTGACATTGTGCAGTGGTGAAGGTCAGAGAAGTCCAACCTCTGAGAAGACATTTGATACAGCTATTCAGCTGTGAAGAGGATCCATGCCAGGCTTTGAACAACACTGTTACTCTTTTCTGTTCCTGAGAATGCTATTTTGCATTACCAAGAGGCCCACACAGAGTGAAAAAGCAATAGTTTAGGGGGCCAGCAGTAGTTTAGGAGGTAGAGCGGTCGTCCAACAACAGAAAGGTTGGCAGTTTGATTCCCCCCTATCACCAGTCTGTCAACAGTTACCGTTGTATCCTTGGGCAAGACACTTAACTTTGCTCCCAGTGTGGGTCGTTCGCTGGTGTACGATTAATTTGGATAAAAGTGTCTACTAAATGACATTGTAATTGTAATTAAAACAAGCAAAACTCTTTCTTTTGTTGCCCAGTAAATGTATCATAACCAGGACACACACTGAACCCTCAATCCACTAACCTGAACCAGAGAATTATTACTATCCCAATTAAACATTATACAGATGTATTCGCATGTATGACGCTTCTTTGCATTATTCAGGCTGAATGGTATTTTACAGGAATATGGTTTATTCGCTGTATTAATTTCTTTCCTTCATTCTCACCTCTCTCCTTTAAATTACAGTCAAAAATGTCTCTTTCACACTCTCTCTCACACCTGTAGCTCTCTCTTTCCCTTTCTCTAAAATCTCATTTTCCTCCTGTTTATCTGCTTCTTCTAATTCTCTCCACTAGATAGTGTACAACAGGGGTTCTCAATTACAAATGTAAAAGGTCCTGAAAATACATTTTGAGGAAGTCATAGGTCCACAGCGCGTGCCTGGCGGTAAATTTTAATTTTAATTTTTAACCTTTTTCTATCTTTACATGTAGTTTTAGGCTGATTGTACTGTACTGTAATAATCAGGAGTTATTGGAAGCCACAAAAACATTCATTTTCAGCATCACACTGATGTTCTTTCTTACTTAGTATTACTCAATAAAATAAAATAAGCTTTTTATTTAATCTGTTTGTAGCTCAGATTTTTGAGGGCAATCTCTATCAAAATTGCTTCTCATTGCGTTTTATGTTTTCACTTTTTATCAGAGCAACAGTGCTTTGCACAAAAGACACACTGGTTTTGTGCTTGAATGAGGTAAGATTGGTCCATTGATCAGTGAATCAACGATTTTCAGTGTCCACCTTTCTCTGATTTGCTGTTTTGATGTCGGGTGCTGGGTGTGAGCGACGCACCTGCAGCAAAGACGTTACCGCTGCCTGCGCCGTGCAAAGAAGACGGACTGAAGGAGGAAGATGTGTGACTGCCGGTTTGCGTAGTTATCAGCCAATCAGCGCATCGTTGTCATGGTAATGGAAGCCCATAATGCGAGCGTGAGCACGCGCACAGTCGCACAGTCGTCTCTCTCTCTCTCTCTCTCTCGGCCAGTCTAACCACGCGCCAGTCAGTAAGAGAGAGTGCCGTGCCGTGTTGTTGATTTTTTTTTTTCTCTGGGGCCACAAAGAGGTGGTCCGCGGGTCCACCTATTGCGGACCGTGGGTGTACAAGATCTCCACCCAAACACCGCTGCAATATTTCATGGCCAACATTTTTCTTAGTTTTATTCAGTGCCAAATATATAATGCACAATGTTGTTTGGAAAGACATCACACTTTCCTTATACAAACTCTGTGGTTAGGAGAAAAATGGAAGCGTGTACCCGAAAAACAAGAAAAGATACTAATGAAGAAGTGACCCACAAGCTATGATTTGAATGCAGCCATCTGCTCATGTTTGAAGGTACAGTGTAGTGCCCCAGCTCCACCCAGGCTTGAGTTAATGTAATTTAATAAAACATAGAGGCCTGTGTTTTATCTGAAAACATGCACAAGGATTTCTCAGACAAGATAGTCAAGATACTCAGAGAAGACACCTACTTAAACCTGCAGTGTGTTCAGCAGGTAAAGTAAACTGTTTTTACGCGTATAGGGAGTGGTAGGAAGGCAACCACTAAATAAAGAAATACACATTCTGAGACTCGTGTGTGTGTGTGTGTTTTCTCACTTTCAACAGCCTGTATGTGTTTTTTTATTAAATGACAATGAGACTCTGCTTCAAGACTCTTTGAGGGCACTTCTGTAAACCATTGTGACTAACTCCAACCCTACTATCCCCAAACTGATGAAGTATTTTTGTCTTCATTCTCATTAAAATATCTCTAGTAGCTACTTAATATACAGTACACAAGAAGAAGTATTGAGTAAAGGGTGTGAATACTTATGTATATGCAACATTTGAGTGTTCTTATTTTTAATACATTTTCAAAATGTTCTAAAAAAAGGTTTTTCGCTTTGTCATTATGGGGTATTTTGTGTAGAATTTTTGAGGGAAAAAGGGACTTTAATCCATTTTGGAATAAGGCTGTAACATAACAAAATGTGGAAAAAGTGAAGTGGTATGAATACTTTCCGAATGCACTGTAAGCCACATTCACCACACAAGTTCTGATAAAAGTCTTTTTTCAAGATAATGCAAGTAAAATATTCAACTGAATTTCTTGTAATGAGTGAAAAAAACTTAGCAGGTGGAATTAACATTTACAAATAGTTTTGATTCTATATCTTACAATAATTTGATTATGTAGACATTTTTTATAATAATAATAATAATGCATCAGATTTCATATAGCGCTTTATCAGAGACCATCAAAGCGCTTTACATTGGATACATCATTCATTCGCTCACACAGTCACACTTTGGTGGTGGTGGAAACGTGGCTGCCATTCTGCGCCTACGACCTCTCCGACCACCACCACACAACACTCACAATCATACACCAGTGGAGGACACACACTGGGAGCAAGGTGGGTTAAGTGTCTTGCCCAAGGACACAACAGACAGACTTGGATTAGGGGGGAATCGAACCGCCAACCTTCCGGTCATTGGACGACCGCTCTACCTCCTGAGCTACTGATTATAGCCTATAAACATTTTATAATGTATTTCTTACCAGAAATAAACACTAGTTTGGTTTTGGCTTAGGGTTTGTGTTTTTGTTCTGCTGAGACTCGTGTTTCTAGTCTGTCACACAAAAAGCCTGACCTCAAGCAGAAAGTTTAGATTTTTTTTTATTTTTTTTACTTGAACCTCTGTTGAAAGGTATGTCTTCCCTACAATACCAAGCTGTTGGCAGGTATTTATTTCGAACCTTGACCATCAATGTCCTAAGCACACATCTTAGAGTTTTCTGACCAGCTTGAGCAAAATGGGAAGCCTCTTGATGCCTGGATGGAGGCAGCAAATGGAATGACTTTAGACATGACTATTTGAAAGGTTTTAAAACACATCCTTCTCAGTCCCTTACCCTAATTCAGACCTTATTTTGGGCTGACATGTCTGCTGTGCTGAGCTTTGAAATCTAAAAATGGTCTTTTCCAGCTCATAACTCTACATGTGGGGAGATGTACCTGTTTCATTGTTAACATCATATCCTGTGGTAATCATAACATTTGAATGTCTGGATTCCATCATTTACAGCACAAGAACAAACAACACACACTGAGCAGAGGAATACTGTAAGCCATAAATGTCAAGAGCTGTTTTACACCACTTATTCAAGACTGCTTTCAGTCCCTGATGACATGTTTAGATACCATGAAAAGGCTAATGAACAAACTGTAGAAACAAATAACCATTAACTGCAAGTGAAACTATTATCTTTCACATGAACTTGAGCCAACTGTTGAAAAATGCATTTGTGCATTTCTGCCTTTGTGTGTGTGTGTGCGTGCGCACACCCAGGACAGTTTGTTATGTCAAAGGTTCTGTCTAATAAATAAGTAGTAGTAGCAGCAGCAGCAGTAGTTGTTGTAGTAGTATCAGGATTTATACCCTTTGGGCTTTCCTGGGATGAAGTCTGTTAGTTCCCTCTTGAATGTATGCTTTTTGTTTATACTTCTGTTCCCAACTCTCCTGGATTAACTGTTTTCTAAAGAGGTACACCAATTACCTCTGATAATACCTCTGATGCTTTCAAATGTCTCTTAAAAGAGAAGAAAAGCAGAATGGTTTCAATACTGTAAGCAATCACCCATTTTGCCTTGTAAGAAGCTCGTTGTAAAAAAAAAAAAAAAAAAAGTGTGAAATGACTTTCAACCAAATTGCTCCGAATTTTTCCACATAAAATCTGGGCCTGCAGACAGAGGCACTACAGAACACGTGCTCTTAATCATTTCTCTCTGGAGGAGTGGGAACATGAAGCAGGGACAAAGATTGGTAATGGAAAGAAGTTTAATCATAACAAGGATGTGTTTGTCCAGATGAAGTGACAGCTCTAAAAAACACAACTTGTCTTGGTCAGTTTAAGTGTGACATCTGTTAACATTGGCTTTAGCCCAATTTTAAACAGCGCTGTCTGAGGCTGAATTTATGTACTGCTGACATTTTCCACATTATCTTACAGCAGAGTGTTTAAGACTGTGCAATTCAATAATTTACTTCATGATGACGTGAAAGATAGGGATGTAACTGGATTCCCTTTGTTCTCCTCACCTTTCTTGATCTTGCGATGGAAGTTGATAGCATCCACAGAGGCAGTAACAATGTTGGTGTTGCAGTGGCGAGCTGCTACAATGCCAGCAACCTCGTCCATCAGCTTCATGGTGACACCTGTTCCAGACACACACAGTTTGACTTTAATAAGATACATAACAGTTTCAATCATTCCCTCAAAATTTTCTTATCCTTTTCATGTCTCACTGCTATGAAAATGACACAATTCCTCATCTGATTTGATCTTATCACATAATGTCAGCAAAATATCATCACAATCTTTACTGCAAAACTTTATTGGCTGGACCAATAAGCTGAGCATAGTGTAAGACATGCAGCAAGGGGTCATGGCTGAGAACTGAACAACCTTTACACTTAAAATTTGACTTGTATGGAAATGTTCAACACTGTAGACTTCTAACCATAAGAAAATCATATTGTCATTAGCTATATTGAACATGGGATTTGCCAAAGGTGAGCGTTATGTCTCATCTAACACAATAGCTAAACAAATACAAGATATCATGCAGTAGTCTGATGAGATTTTCAAAACAAGACAAGAACTGTTCCTTGTGTTTGTATCAAATTATCAGCTAAGAGTGAACTGAGTCTATCCTCAAAGTACTTTTGAGGAGCTGTGAACTTCAAGATTTCTGACAAAACTTCTTCTTATGCTTTCTTTTAACAGTGAGATGTACGTATTACTCAATGTAATTTGTTGCATTGAATATAGTGGTAACAGTGTGTTTCTTCAGTATGCCGTTAATCATCTCCTCTGACACCTACCCCCTTACAGTGGGTTTGTAAAGTAACAGTATAAGCTGAACAGTCTAGTTAGCTTTTGTACGTCATAAAGATGTATCACTCTTTATTTCACCCAGTTTTATAATCAGTCAAAAACTCCCCGACGGGGCTTTAAACTGCATCCTGTGGCATTAGGCACGACTTTACAGGTTTTACAGGAACAGTATACTTGTTTTCTCACCAAAAGAACTAGATCTTGTTTTTCAAGTTACCTTTATAGCTCAAAACACAGTTGTAAAAGCCATAGAGTTTCTGATTGAATGGATAAGTTTTTATTAAATGATCATTGTTACCCTGTTTTCTTAAAGGTGGGGTGGGCAGGATCTGAGGAAGTGCCAGTTTTGGGGAGAAATCTTGACTGTAAACTCTACCCCTCCCAACCAGTTTTCCCCTCAGCTCCTCCTCTCCCCTCCCTCTCTGCTCCATCAAGCCCCGCCCACAAACAGACGCTTCTGCTTACTCGTATCGTTTCAATTGAATTCATATTTAATGCTGATAAATACTTTAGCCATTGCAGCCATTAAAGAACGGCTTTGTTTATAGTCAGAAAGAGCGGAGCGCTCTGAAATTTTAAAATGTTGACTACACAGACATAACAAAACACTGCAATTTCGTTATATTACCAAATGTCATCAATACCTAATAGCTACTGACTGATATTAAAAGCTTTTTTGTCTATACACCACAAAAAGATGCTTCTTTAACAGATTCCTGCCTACCCCACCTTTAAGCATCTCCATTTTTCCATCCTTGTATTGAATTACACTTTTTTTTTAATTACACATTTTTGAGATGGAGAGACAACACAGAATTTGGTTGTGCTGGAGAATAAGTCTTAGAACGGAATGAAGATGAGACCTGGATCACATGACCTCATCTGAAGAAATTCTGTGTATTTTCATATCTTAGAAGCTGCATGTTTCAAAAGTTTCACTATATGCTCTGGATCTCAAGGACGTTCCATTCATTCTCCACTATAAAAGCTTACTGTAATCTGAACCCTTGTCTTTTTCTGAAATTTTCCTTTATTGGATTAATGTATATGTCTAATGATAAATTATTAGATTCATGACATTAATCCATACATAAATCTAATAAATGTAGAGAATAATAATGTATGAATTATCAATAATAATGTACAATTATTGGATTCATGATTAATTAGCAAGTGTGTCCGGTAGCGGATTGCAAAGCTTGTAAGAAGGCTAATTACAACTTTAGCTTTTATCATGTCCCCTAAGACATTAGTGTTTGTTAGGATGATTTTCTTTATCCAGTCATGTCAGCCTTTAGAGTGGTGGAGCTGTGTCACTCAAATACCTCAGATACTTTGGTGCTAGATTTCTGGCGCCATGGGCCTCCGACAAATATCCTCAACAAGAAACTTGTACCCATGTTTAATATCACTCAGGCTCCCAAAATATGTTGTGCTTTGTCATTACCTTACATGGACTCTCCTTTAGGTCAACAAGATGCAAGCAGAATGTTTGGAAACGTGGACGACTATATATGCTTGAACAGTCTCAGACCAATTTTTGTTACACTTTGTTACGCTTGTGTTACACTTGTGTTACACTCGTGGTACACTTGTGGCATGATGAAGCTGTAACCCAGATCTGCAACCAATAAAGCTTGTCAAAATGATCATTCGTGTGGACCTTCCATTTTAAAGTGTGAACATGGGCTAGGCATCCTTACAGTGTTTGAGAGCTGAATATCTCCTATATTACCTGCCACTTTTCATACACCAGCAAAGTTAGGCTGCAAGCTAGCATGGAGAGGAGTGTGCAGTGCAGCACTATCTCTGCCCACAACTCAGAGGCGAATAGCTAATGAGCCACTGGAGCTCTGCAGAAGTAAGTCCTCGAAAATGACACAGGTAACATGATTTTGGCTAAAAACTTCATAATCACAATTTAAGACCACTGAGAGAATACTTTGAATAATAAAAAAATTAAAAATACATATAATCAAAAAATACAATCAGACTCAACCAGCATAATACTGCACTCCGTCACTCAGATGAGCAGCATCTTACAGACTCACAAACCTTTTGTGCCCTACTGACCTGAAAAAGACCTTTTTTGGGTAAGAGGTAAGCATTTGATCATATCACAGACACAGTTTCGTCAAAATATCAAACTTATCAGAGCACTTTAGGCAATCCTGCACTACAGCATTGATTTAAAAGCAAGTAAAAACACTCTGAGTGGGAAACCAAAGCTCAGTTTTACAGCAAGTCTTGTCACCCATTATTCATGAGGCTGTAGAAGTTACACAGTAGACACAGAGGAATTCACAAATCCACACCTCCATTTGTCTGTTTGCGCCACACACACAGCCCTGGCAGCTTGTGTCATCTGCAAAGGAAACAGTTGTTTGTGGGTCTCTTACAAAAAGTGGGACATCTTGTTTAGAGTGGGTGGGATGGAGATGAGATAAGAGAGAAACATGGTGGCATCTGTTTTTAATCTTGGATAAGAGTGTATGAGCATGAGTAATAAGAGTGCTTTTTAACTCATGCTCATTTAAAGATATTTAGACCTTTGCTAGACACCTCAATTGCCCTAAACATTTCCTCTGACTTCCTTTTAGAATCTCTCATGCTACAGAAAATCAATAATTCTGCCTCCTGATGGCTGGTGTGTCTCCTAAAAGCTCACACCATCTGCACTGTGTGGCTCTATTTATGACAGCCAAATGTGTGGGAGTACGAACAGAATGTGCTGCTTGCTCCCAAATGCAGCATTCACTGTAAGAGTGCTCCTACTGAGTTGATTAAGAATTAAACATGTCATTACTTTGACATCCTTCCCATCCATCCATCCCAAATGGCCTGAGAATGACTTCCATTTCATTCTGCTGATGATACCAAAGCTTTGATTTGGAAAGTAAACTTATTCAAACCAAACCTGTCACAGACATATACAAGACATGTACTCAAAATACTAACAGCGTAATCTACAATTAAAAATTGCTTGTGCTAGATTAATTAGCTATGGCTCTAATAGGTAAGTATTTGATCAAACCTAATAGAGGCGTTGTGAACAGGTCCAGTGCTCTTTATCGTTGTTATCATTAAAGGAAATAAAAACTGAGGGTAAGAGATGGAGACTGCCCGTCCAAAGGGCCGTCCAGTTAATGTGGTAATGTGACTGTAGTCTGAAAGTGGAGAAGGTGTTAGGAGTTAAGTGTTTGTGGGCATGAAAACACATCTTTTCCATGCTTAAGCCTGTTGCAATACATTTTCCAAAACCCATCTTGTTTTTTCCCATCTCCACTCTATTGTGAAAATTGATGGGATCTCACCTTAGACTGAAATTTCCCCTGGGTCAAAGGCACAACAGGCTGCTGCTATTCAAAGCCTGGAGTGATCATGTCTGAGCATGTAACACATAATGGAGAGGGATCATAACCTGACAAGAGGATGAAATTGAACCAAAAAGCTGAATTACACCAAAGTGAATCTAAACCTTTAGATTAATATGAGAGACACGCCACATTTATTTGTCTCTGCAGCACCTGACTTATACTTCACAGATCACTGCAGACAATCTTAGGCCTATCCCTGAGCTCCGGTGACTGTCCAAATAAGGGAAGTCAGCTTAAGGGAAATTTGGGATTGGAGCATATGAGGGTAAAAACAAAGTTGTTTTGTTAATTTAGCTAACTGTTTTGAATTTTTGGGGAACACAACTACACTGTTTTGATTCACTCTACTATTAACATCCTATTTCTAGAGACACAAGACAAAAGACAAAAAAGAACAAAGTGTGTTATGAAAAAAAGAAAAAAAAAGATATTTTACAAATAAAGTAGACGGGGGTTTCACATTATATCTCTGATGTGGCATGTCATTTAAGTTTAGAACCAATGGTCAGCTTAAGCAAGTCCACAGAAGGAGCCCACAGTGAACACACAGTGAACACAAGCACACCAACAAAGTCAACTCCTCTGTGTAAATGTTCAATAGATCTCTGAGCTGTTTGATAAAAGAGCTCTTCCATTCTATTAAATACATTTTGATGTAACTAAGATAACATGCATAACATTACAAACAGTACATAAAAAAAAGTTGCAATCATACTTTTTGGTATCTGGGCCAGTGAAAATATATGAGCAGCCATTAAGATTTTGGTAAAACAGAGATATGTTGCCTGCTGCTTTCTGTGCAAAGGAGCGTGACGATGAATTAACTGAAGTCTTGATCAAATGCCTTTGCTCGGGTGTCTCATAATGATAGGTGGTTGGGTGGAGAAATGCGATTTTTTTTTTTTACTCAAGACAGAAATCTTGTCTCCTCGGACATCTGCTTTTATGGACCTTGCAAAGCTCTACCAATGACAAAGTTCATTATTCCAAGTGACAAAAACCTCAGCCAATAAAAGTAGATGGAGAGTCTTCTCACCCATACTGCGCGTGCAATAAACAACATTTTTAAAAGGTATACATTTTTTTAATTGAAAAAACTAACACATCAATCTGGCAACATATCAGTCTTCTTAATGTCATACTTAGAGGACTTAGAAAGATTTATGTTAATGTAAATGTAAAACCTGTAGACCCAGAGAAATGTACAAGCAACCTGTCACAATACAGGCGAGTATTTGATGTAAGTTCTGCCTCTTACAAGGCAAACTAGTCAATCATAGTTCAGCATCTTAGCCACTAGGGCACCATAAGAAGTCAGGAGGGTATGCCCACCCTCTGGATCCGCTCCTGATCACACTAAAACTTGAGTTGCTAATGGCAGAGACGTGACCCCAATTAGGACACAGAACCCCAATTACCTGCCAAAGCAGCAGTATGTGGCCATGGGCTGCACTTACACAGAGGCTTAGAAAGCCATGTCCATCAAAGGGTGGTCCAAAAACTACAAAGACTCTTTTGTCTCCTTCAACTTTTGACTTTTGGATTTGTACCCTTTAAACTTCTCAGGTCTGAACAAAGAACCTGACTCTGTCTCTTTCTGTTAGTCTTTCTTGTCACTGGTGAAGTTATTTTTTTATTTACAGTTTCAACTTTTAAAAGTTTAACTCTAGAGTGGGCTGCCTGAATACTTCTGTGTTGCTCAGCTATACTGGGATATTATATTTACCTACTCTGATATTTATGGTAGTGACACTGCTTCTCTGGCCTCTATATAGCATTCATATTGCATCGTCCTTGAAATACTCAGTATCATGGTTACTGTAATCCTAACCTTTGGCTACTTGTTCCTTTTACAAGCATCATTCAGGGAGATTCATTAGCATTTTCACATTGTAGCGGGTTATTATGAATTTTCCTTCAGGGATCAATTAAGTCCTTCTTCTTCTCTTTCTTCTTCTTTTTGTGATAGATTCTGACACAGGTGCTCATTGTTATTAGGTATGCCTACATTTCCACTCTTTCTTCCCCCTTTTTTGCCATAAGGTGAGGCTTTTGTGGTGCTCATTTGCTTTACTCTGTTCTTGGTATTTACCATCAGTGAAAGCTGTAGTAAAGAAAAAGTTAAATCACTGGTAAATGCTGGCTGAAACGTTCTCTCGGTCTGATAACAGACAGAGAATAACCTTGGTAATTTTCAAGCACAACTACAGAATAACCCTTCAAATTTACTTTGAGATCAATTTTTTTAAATCATAATATTATTTGCTATAAATCATTTTCTTCATAGTCTCATGGGAGCAACTCCAACCTAGTCCATTTGCCTCATTACAAACCTTTCCCAGCATTTTAAATTTCTGATGGCACAGACTTCTCGGGCTACCTGAAGCCCTGGACCTGACCAAGGACCTGTATGCATTTGGGTTCACCTTTATAGTGGTTATTTTGCTATTTTGGAGTGGAATCTAGCTCTGCTAGTCTTTTTTGTTTGTTTGTTTGTTTGTTTGTTTGTTTGTTTGTTTTTCATTTCTTTGTTTGTTTGTTTTACCAAAGTATATTTGTGCCAACCAATGATTAGCTGGAACCCCCAGGAAGCAAAGTGACTCTTATTACAATGAATCATTGATTAAAGATAAGTTCCTTCCTTCCAAAAGTGTAAAGTCTAGAGTATGCTATAGTATGCAACATATACTGTAGTTGTTAAAGGAAATATCACTGTTTTCTGTCTTGAATTCAAAGCGGAGCTACAGAACAGCAGCTCTCTCTGCAGCAGTCTGCATCAGCTGATGGAGTTTGAGGACATTATTCTTTGAAACACAGCAAGCCTGGATTTGATAAAATCTGAATTCACTGGAGTGTCCACTTACAAATATCACAAAGTAAGAATAAGATTAAATGTATTGTGTTTGTCAGTGCTGCTGTGAAGGTCCTTATGAGAATGATCTTACAGAGGTCATTCAGGGTGATTAAGGGATCATCTTTACTGCAGAAAAGGTCCTCACAGTGTGTCGTGGAATAAAGCGTATGTGCTAAATGAAGAAAAAAAAGTTCATTCTATGACATGACTATGTTTACTTTGTGAGAAAATCATATATTAAAAATACTGAGTGCACTCTTATGTATTTGAAGACTGTAGAGCTAGAATAGGCTTCAGTGTTCTGATTGTTCAACTGTACAGCATGAGCATGGATAGAGTTTGGATGCTGTCATTTAGCGATAGAGGGTTATTTCTGCATGGAAGGGAAGCTGATGAAAAAAATGGCCCTGCTACACTCTTTAACTTTAACAGCAAAAAACAGTTAAAGATGTTAACAGGTCTGCATCAGCACAAAATGTCATACAAACACTACATTGACTTTTGTTGACAATCTTGTCGCTAATCTAGACTTAAATCCTTGTATAGAGCCCTTGTCTCTTACGTGCTAGATTGCAACTGAAGAAAATAGTTCATTTACTCCTACCAAACCTCAGAAAAGTGTTTTTTTAAACAAGATCTATTTTTTTACAGGACTGTGTTCTATATTCAGTCCAATGTAGGTTTAATATTGAGTTAGCTCAGTGGAAGACAGTGGTGTCCTTGAGTACCAAAGATGCTTGTCTTTATTCATTACTACCATCAGTAGAACTGTTAATGCAACTCCTGCAGAATTCCCTCTCCTTGTACAGTCCATATAAAAGGTTAGAGTGAGACTCAATGTGAGACTGCAAATGAGGACAAGCGAGGCCAAGACAGCCCTGGGCCTAGTGTTACACATTTGCAGGGTGACATGGCACACTATGACTCTCCCTTTGCCCTGGGTTGGGAACTTGAAAGGCATGGGGGAGAGGGAAGCTGGAGTTGGTGTGTATGAAGAGGAAAGACAGCTCACTCCAAATGGGGAAAAATGGCAATTAGTAACCAAGTCCCTAGTGCAGCCCAGTTCGCCAGAGGCAAAATACCTCTGTGATAAGATTCCTTTTGACCATTTCCTCAAATCTGTGTGCATTATTCTGTCCATTGGCTAAAAGAAAAGCGATCAATGCAGGGAGTCTGCAGGGAGCTCATGTTGCCCATCAACTCTTGTCTACTAACTTCAAACTTCTTTTAATTAAAACCAGCCCAGACACAACACGCTGTGCAGGACATCCTCTCATCTCAACAAGAGGGCTGTACAGAGAAACGTGGATGACCTGCCACATATTTATACCTCCATAATCTCATACCTTCTATTTTGGCAGCTTTATTTCTTCCTGCTCCTGCTTGTTCTTATCTTTATCTATAACTCACAATTCTCCCTCTTTGTTCTCCCCCACCACCACCACCACCACAACAAGTGCTTTAATCATGGACAGTATCAAACGGTTCAAACTGCCTCCTAATGAGCTGTTACTATAGAAACACCTCCAGTTAACATTACAGCCATGCTGTAACCGCCCACTTTCTCCTACAAAGACCCATAAGCTGCATACTCATTGTACATTTTATCATTCCAGCTGTGGTGGGCTTTATTCAACACTTACACCATTAGTGTGGAGCATTTCATTTTGTAAATCACAAGCTAGTGATGTCAGAGTTACTATTTAACATTGTAAGCGCAACAAAGGCTTGGGAAAATCACTGAGGTGTGATTCCTATGGAAATTCTGTCAGATGGGGTTGCTGTAGATAAAACACAGCCCTGCCTGTGATGATTAAGGTCACCTGCCCCAACAAGTATAAACAAAGCTGATATGCTGTTTTGAAATGCATGATGTTCATTCAAGCACATTTATTTATTTTGTGATTGGACAGTTTGAGCATGTTTGATTGGTGAAACTGGCACCGTGTAAGGTAATAAGGGATAGAGATGTGTCTTAGTTCCTCTTTATAAATCATTACTTCTCTCACTAAAAGGGCAGTCTTGCCATCAAACTGTTGAAATTCAGATGAGGAAAGCACAAAGAGGATGAGAATATTGGTTATGATCCCCACAGCAACATGCTTATTTGTTTTTGCCTACATACAGTCTGCCAAAGTCTGTGATTGGTGGAGGGTATTGGTGCTGTTTATAGCTTATCAGACAAGCTGCAGACACTGCTCAGGGAAACGTAGACTTACTTTGAATCAATAAAAAGTGGTTTTACTCTGGTTATAAGTTTTTCTTATATCTCTGATCCTCAATCAGCGGGTGTGGTTGACTGGTCAGGACTGTGCTTTTGCATCTGTAACTAATGATGCACTGTATGTGTCACAATGAAGCATCAGGCGTACGTCTGCACTACACTGCATGAGCATGAGACCTTTGAAACAATTCAGCAGAACATGTTTCCAGGAGTTCTCTTAAATCTATGCATGCATTCTCAAAAAGGCTGGAAAAATAAACATTAATCAATGATATGTCATCAAAAGCATGCCCTGCTCCTGCACTACAGCATCAGTAATCACAGAAGTTTTCTGAATCTCTTTGAGTGGGCCATCATCACAAAATAAACAATAAGTAGTGCTACACCAAACTAAATCAAATGTAGTATTGACTTATTTTATTGTCTATAACTTTTATATAAACAATAAAAAAAATTCCACTCGCTTATTCCTATTACTGTTTTTTATTGCATTAAGTATTTTTACAAGATGTTGATATTGTTTATGTTTTTTAACTACATTTAGAGTTCAGTATAAAAGGGGAAGCGCTCCAGAAGTGTCTGGTCAGTATTTCATTTCTGAATCAATGCTCGATTAAAGGGAGGAAGAGTAATTCAAGGTAATCAAATGTAGGGGAGACCGGGGCACAAACCACAAAATGACTGAGACAAGTTGCCCCAAACTACCATGTTTGCTAATTCTAGCTCTAGCTTAAAGTTATCTTAGAACAATGACAGAGCTATGACAAGATGCCTTAATCGCTCCTCTAACAAGTCCACATGTATCACTGCAAGGATTTTTATCTGGAAGAAGCTTATTTTAATATATGTTATTTTTTGACCATGTAAAGGAAGAAAACTAGTATTTCACTTTTTAGTTGCGCCCTCTAGTGGCAAAGAAAATTGCAATGTGACAACTTACCCATGTGACAGCAAACCCTGGTCTCCCCTACTCTCTCTCTCTGTCTCTCTCTCTCACACACACACACAGTCCATCTGTGCATGGAACACTTCTGTCAGCACATACAATCATAAAAACCAAATGCTGAGGCTTCACACATGTTTACAAAGCAAAAGAACAGCGAGGTCAACCACTGGTCAATTTCTTTAAAAAAAAAAAAACTCTACAAATATTCTGCTCATAAGAGGGCCATTAGTGGGCTGTACATACAAGAAGTAACTAAACATGTCACACAATTGTTATTTTTTTCTTCATTATATTTATGTATCTTAATCAGACCACAGTATGGTCCACCTGTGGCAATCAACTGCTGTTTCCATGGGAACAGGTGGTTTGCTTCTTCAGAACATGAAAAAAGGGTCGAGGGTAGAAGGAAGCGATGGAGAAAGAGGAAGAGATAATGATGAGAGGCGGGCTGATGGGAGAGAAGACGCAATAAAGAAGAGAAGAGAAAAAGGACCATGAGTTAATGGGCTTCCAAGAAGTTTCGAACTCTGATCTTCTGCAGTGTTTGGAAATTCCCAGCGTTTTGTTTAGCATGTGGACAGTCATTTAAAACCCAGACTCACAAGCCATTACTCCACAGTATCTGACATAGGAACATTCAGGGTATTAATCAAGAAATGCTTTAAACCCAATGAGCAGTCAATTCACAACAGATACTCTTGGCTCTGCTACTCACATCTGCCATCAATCAGTCGGCATTCATAAAGAGAGTATTCAATGAGACATTAAGAGCTTGTGGTTTGAATAGAAATAACTAAGAAATGTATCCAAGGTAAACAGACATTCTCTGTCTCTAGTCACAATCTGAACATGCATGCATGCATGGGTGTTCTTGCTCATGTGTTCTCACATGTGCTGTATGTCTCCTCAGGCTCAAGCTAAGTAGGCCACTTTATCACACCATATAACCAAAGACATACTGTAAGAGTAAAAGCTGTAGTTGACATGCAGAAGAAAGTTTGCTTTCAACTGACAAGAGAGTGGGGAAAGTGGGGTCAGGAGGGAGTAAGACTCAGTAGGGGAAAAGAAGAGAGTGAACACTGTGGCTGCCCAACCTGACTTCATTATGTAAACATAATAAGTGTGGTGAAAGCAGAAGCAACAACAGGGAATGTTGCCTAATGAGCAATGGCATGTATGGAGAGACAGTTTCAGTGTGTGTGTGTGTGTGTGTGTGTGTGTGTGTGTGTGTGTGTGTGTGTGTGTGTGTGTGTGTGTGTGTGTGTGTGTGCGTGTTTGTGTGTGTATTTAAGATGACCTGCATGCTTGTTCCACATTTTATTTTTCATTAGACAGGTTTCTCAGCAAGATCTCCAAATTAAAAAAGCAGCCACGGCACAGACGATACTTATTTGTCCCGCCCTCTCCCTCCTCCCACCCCGCTGTCCTGTCCAGTCTCCGTCTCAATGCGTCTCTTTCTGAGTCAACTTCTGCCCTCTGCTCCACTCCTCACTATCTGATGTGTCTCTCTGATTGTCCCTTTACATAGCTGACCTTGATGGAAATGGCAGCAGGAAGCAGAAATAATCTGCCAGAAACAATTTACCTCAGCTGATAATAAGAATTTGTTCTACGCTGATAAAATGTTTCGTTACAGATGCCACAAAAATAATTTCCAGATGACATTAGCAGTTTTTTTTTTTTGGTTGTTGTTTAAAATAGTTCACTTCTGGTCAAGGATGGCTGAACCATTTAATACGCTCATTGAACAAATTGTTTTATCTCCCAATTATTCCAAGTTTACTACTTTCTTTACTGTTTGCTCTGTGTTTTGCAATTTTTACCTTCCAAACTCATAATCTGGATTGAAGGGGACAGAGCAGTTGGAGAAAAATACCACAAAAGCTTCTGACTTTCAAAAAGCTAATATACTGTATATATGAGTTTTTTTAATGCACATACTTCAACTGAAGTGCTTTTGTGAACATGAGCAGAAGAAAAAGCCTCATCCCTTGGCAAGCAGGAAGCTCCTCGGTGCCTCTTTTGTAAGCACTTTCCAAATAATAAAAACCCTTGTGTAAAGATAATTGAATTGTCCTGCTCAGGAATCCAGCAAGGTCAAAAGACAGGTGCATTCAATGTCCTGTTAGAAAGACTTTATATTTTTCATTTGTTCCCCATCTCCATCATTACCTCTTGTATTTGACCTCATGTCTCTCACTGTCTCGTTTGTCCAGTTTGTTGTACCTCACAGTCACGTTCCAGCATTCTTTGTATTCATAGTCTTTTTGATCTCGACCTCGATAGTTTTTTGACTCTGCTTTTTGCTTCTTGTTCTGGATACCTCTGCCTGTGCTGATTGCTTGCTGTGTACCAAATCCTGGACTGGATAAACCTGATTTTCTCTTTGAGAACTAGTCTTGTGTGTCCTGCATTTGGGGCCCTCTTTTAAAAGCCTGTTCATGACAGCTGTCTTCTTCCAGCAGAAAAAAACAGATGAAGAGAGTAGTTCTTACGAACCCGGTTCTCTTCATTCAAACACTGGTTCACGTCTAATATAAAAAGAGTGCAAGCAAGCGCTAGTTTGCAATGTTCCATAAGCTACTTAAGCTCTTTTATTTGAGTTATATAACCCTCTGGTCTTTTACTCCAACAAAGCAAATCATTGTGAGGGAGAAGATGTGTTTGTCAGCTTTAATGTGTTGCCCTCCCAAAACAATAAATAAATAAACCTTACTGGTGATGGTCATAATGCAGTAAGCTTTATAATAGCAGTCTAAAAAAACAACAACTGGGTGATGTTGCAATGGTTTAGTCAAGAACAGCCAATCTTGTAGTTTTACACTCTATGGTTCTCTACCTTCAGTAAATATTCTTGACAGCCAAGAGTGCTATGTCAGAGCAACAACTACAATGGCCCAAGCCCTTATTTCAGTAACAAGGTAGTGCTCACACATACTCTGATATATTTAGGATAATCACTTTCCACAACCACAAGAAATCATGCTCACTTAGAAAAATATCTGTGCATTGTTCAACCTAACATTTTTCTGTTCTGACATCCCTTGTCCATCAAATTAAAGGGGACAACATAGCAACTAAAAGCTATGAAATTATTTCTCATGGACGTTTCACTTTGGATTAAATTCAGCAGTACTTCTTCCTCTCTGCTTGCCTGTGTTGCCACAGGACACACTGTACCGATATGGAGCCAAGGGTTTATGCTGAACTGAAAGGAAGGCACCTTTTTAGAAAAGCATAAGGAGACATTTGGAGGCTGAATAATAGTAATAACATAGACAAGTCAATTTATAAAAGGCTTGATCTCTTTGTTAATATTTTTTATTTACTCGTAGCACTTTCTTCTTTCCTACTTCAATCTTTATGTTCAAAGGTCTTTTTTCTCCTTCTACCAAATCCCCAGTGTTGGTATACCTTTTTCTATATACTGTATGTTCTCTGCTGTAAGTATATCTGTTTCCTCTCTCTCCTGCAGTGTTTCCATGTTGTACTCAAGCTGTGTATGGTCAGCATGTTCCATGCCTTGAATACTAAATAGTCTGATGCTGTTCATGAGTTCTTTGTTTCACATGTGCAAGAATGACATTGAGATCCGACAGGTATTTAGAGGGCAATCTGGGTTCCAACATAAACCAACAGCTTCCAGCACTGTATTATAGAATTTGTCACTGAGGATTTCTCCCTTTAAACCTTTTCCTTTGTATATAACAGTAACATTTGCATTTTCAAGAGGCTACATACTGTCTATATGCAGCTGTAAGTTTGCTGCACTTCAGCTTTGCTGTTCATGACAATTTATGGAACGCATGCTGACATGTGATGGAGCAGTGGCCTCTTCCAGGAAAGTCTGAATGCAAATACAGTTTGGATTGATGTATTGATAAAGAATGACACCCTCTTTGATTAATATTCAGCTTTTTTTAAACACTCTTTTATGATTTTATGATTTTCACAATGTCATCTTTTTAACCAACACTGAACCAAAAGAAAAAATCTCCATCAAGAGCTAACAGATAAAAGTTGGCTAATTTACGCAATCTGCAACCCAAACATACTGTACCCCACTCAGTGTGAGTGACTACTCCCACTGTATTTCATCCATTTCAAAAGAAATGCTTAAATGCACATGGTAAATCCAACATTTTTTGGTCAGTGTTATTGATGGACTGGAACAGACTCCACATCATTCTGGCATCAATTCAGATAATCAGCTGTTACTGTTATTACTTAAAATCTGTGTAATGAACCAGGACTAGATTCAATCTGCACAACATACAATCTGCAAATAAAACAGAAAAAGACAGACTCACCGCCTTGGACATAGTCATGTAGTGTACAGTCAGAGGGTCCCACCAAATGGATCAGACTGGACTGACTGAAGCCAATTGTGTGTCGTTCTGCATTAAGAATAGATAAATGCACAAGCACACGAGAAAAAAAAACTGTAAGAAGAAATACCTTTGAGTGTATTTCCACCCAGAATGAACCAAAAAACAAAGCTGCCCCACAATAGACACTATTCTGACACATAGCTTAATTAACATACCTTTTGGTGGGTCCTCTGGGGTTGAGTGAGCATGACAAAATTAGAGTATTGATTAACAATCTTAATAACATGATGGTAAATTATCTACTGATCAACATGTAAAGAGACTCCTAAGTTCTGCCTGAAGACTTCACTAATGACCGTGACATAAGTGCTAGTGCAACTGTATGTTTATAACTGTATGTACTAAAAGGGTCTTTCAATTACTCCATAGACAACCATTGATCAAACTTGGGTTTTTTTTTCAAAACAACACATCAAATTAAATATTTGTGCTTTAGTGTGAAACGAGAAAAATCTAATTTACCTGACTCTCTAACACAGTTACTAGTTGGGTAGTAACACGTTATTAGTACCGGGGAAATTTATTGTCCAAATATAAGGCAAGCGCTAAACTAACTTGCGTAGATGTAGCCATCTTGTTTCAGGCCTTCGATTTTGCTTTGTCTGACTTGGTAACTGAAATGCTGTTGGAACATGGGTGTGACATCATTTTCAGCTCTGACATCTGACTTCCAAGGTAACTTGAACGCAGCATAAGGTGACATAGTATCTGCGACCGAGAGTCATGGCAGCGAGCACACACACGAGCACGTCTATTTGGATCTTTTATAGCGAATGTTTTAACCAATGGTAAAACTTCGGTGTTCGTGTCAAGTTGTGTTGGTGCACAACGGATCATACTGCTTGGATGATTTGATTCACTGATGTGAATGCAAATTAATTTAAATGGTTGTTTTAATCAACAGCTTGTTTTATTCATCATCAGTACAGAACTAAAATGACGGCTAGAGGGGAACTCAAACAGTCCATCTTTATGTTAAGGGAGCATTGGAGGAACGTTTTACAGTAACTAAATAGTTACTTTCTCAGTAATGCATTACTTTTTGGTTTCAGTAACTAAGTTACTAACTTAGTTACTTAGTTACTTTTTTTTACAAAGTAACTGTAACTAATTACTATTTTTCAGTAACTAGCACAACACTGAACACAAACATTCAGGTATATTCAACAATGATCAAAACTAGCCTACCAATATAAAAATGTCTAACAAAGATAAGGATTTTGACATTTGGCTTCATGCTGCAAGCCGTTATCACAGCACTGAGTAGTAGATGATACAGCTTTGGAAACAACTGTACTGACACTGAACATGGAGTGATAACATGAATGTTCTCTTATTACAACACATACTTCAGATTTTGCTCAGTGATTGTAGAAAAATAGACATAGATTTATATTCAGATGAGTTCGTGCATTGTACTGGTGTGAAGTGGAAGGTGGAAACAACACCTCAGAAAGCTTATGTTAACAGCTTACAGAGATGTGATTTGAGACATTTGGGTGTTACCTGGGTTTGGCAGAGGAGGCACCACCTCTTCAGTCCTCGCCTTGGTCTCCTGTCTCTCATGCTTCTGGGCCTCATAACGCTTCCTTCCCTCCTCCTCTTGCTCTGCACTGGTGTACTACAGGCAGAATGTTTATGTTAACACATGGAAAGGCGAACACATTGATTCACGCGCCTCATCATGAGTGAATGGGTTGCAAAGGATTCTACCACACTGTATGACAAGACAAGACAAACACCTGAGTCTAGTGAGACTGACATTTTTAGTCCGTTAAATGTCAATAATTTAACCTTGACCAAATGGCCTTTGTCATGGATTCTGCTTCTGTCATTCCAGTAATGGAGGAAGACATTCGGCCATCAGAAAAAGACTGACAGGTAAAATGCCAAACACCGTTCATGAATGTCAGAGTAACCTGGCTTCCATTCACCTTTATAGGTGGAACCTCCATGATCTTCTCAACATTCTGCAAAGAGAAGGGGACGTACCACAGCGCCGCCTTGTTGGCTAGCTTCTTAGCCCCTGCAGAAAGAGAGAAAAGGTTTAATCTTGTACCAAGGAAAATGTCCTTCTTATTTATGACAGTTAATCAACTAAAATGATATTTTGAAAAGTCTTTAAAGTAAGATTACAGTAAAGCAAGTAATTTTCAAATTGCTATTGACAAATATAAATTCATTAACACCCAAACAAGCTGTCTGAGGGGGGACAAATGCCCCTTTGGGCAATCATGGAGCAGCTCTCATACAGCCCCATAGCAGAAGTATCCATTTTGGGTACAAACAGGGCCTTTTGTTAGCCCCCATCTCAGCAAATGCTCTCTTCCCACCATCCCTTAGTGACACAACTTTTCAGCTTGGCAAAACATGTAGGCTTGGTCAGGGATGATAACATTCATGTTATCTTGGTTATTCAGAGAAGGCAACTTTATGTCATGCTGTGGAAAGCAAAACTGGGCTTTGGTCCTTCTGTAACAGAATGGAGGAGGGCAGTTGGCTGGGTGCGTAACCCATCTTGTTGTATCAGACATGGAATCCTCCGACTTGAAGTACTACACAGACTTCATCTATCAAATAGCAGGCTTGCCAAACTGTTTCCAGGAACCAGCGAAAACAGCCATAAGTGTAAATGTGACCTGGGCACCCTTAGCCAGATGTTTTGGGCCTGTTCAAGGCCAAAGGACTTTTGGGACAAGGTCTTTACCTCCATCACCACAGTGTGGGACCACCTTCCCATAAGCAATGGGTGATGCACATGGTGGCTCATCTCAGGGTAGAACAGCTAAGACATATAACTCAGGGCTCAGAAAGAAAGTTCAGAAAGCTTAACTCAGCTCCTCCCGGTGGCATAAGTCGTAGCGAGGGAGGAGAGAGGGCGTGGAGTGGATTTAACACAGCCGAGACCTGTATTGACCAATAACATCAGCTCCTCTCCTCGCCTTTAAATCCACCACCGGCGAGGCATATTACTATTTTCATGAAGAGATCAAGAGATGTCTGAAGACAGTAATGCCACATGATGGCGACAGAAGGCAGCCCCTCAACAAGTGTCGCTGTAAACGCTGCAGAGGGCATCCTTCACACTCTCTCTTTAATGTAGCACAAAGTGCTGTCCACTCAAGCAGGATATTAAAAACAATAAAATAAAATAAATACAAATACCAAACCCCACCCACCCTCCCCCATTACAGCACTCACACGCTCACACACACAGATACATACGCAAAAGACCAGGTGAGGACTCTTCAACTTGCCACAGATGACTGAGAAAACACAATCTTAAGTTGAAAAAAAATGAAGGACCAATGATTCACCATATGTTTTAGCAGGTTTTTACTTTGGGAACAATTAAAAGACAACTACCTGAGGACCTGAGGGCTCTACTAGGCTCATATGGTAAAAGCAAATTAGATAAATAAGAAGAACCAAGACCATTAAGAGCTTTAAAAACTACTAAAAGAACCTTAATATCTTCTCTAAAAGACACAGGTAACCAATGCAGATATTTTAAAATTGGCATGATGTGGGCTCTCCTCCTGGTCTTCGTCAGCATGCGTGCAGCAGAATTTTGTAGGAGCTGAAGCTGTGAAATGTTCTTTTTAGGAAGACCAGAGAGAAGAGCATTGCAAAAGTCAATTCTACAGGTGATAAAAGCATAAATAAGAGTCTCTGCATTGCCTTGAGAAAGAAACTGGCGCACTCTGGAGATGTTCCACTCAGGTCCAACAGAACTAAAACAGAGATTTGTTGGACCTGAGGTCACTTACAGTTTTGACCAGTGCTGTCTCTGTACTGTGATTTTTTTTTTTAAAACCAGATAGAAATATTTCATGGATATATTTAAAAGTCATAAAATCATTCAACTGGTTAAATACAATCTTTTCTAAAATTTTGCTTAAATGGCAGGTTGGATACAGGTTTGTAATTATCAGGTATTGCTGATAATCCAAGTTGTTTCTCTTCAGAAGGGGTCTGACACAGGCTGTCTTGAAAGCAGTGGGGAAGACCCCTGTCTGAAGAGAATAATTGACAATATTGATTAGATCATCTTTAAAATTACTAAAAGAGGTTTTAAAAAGGGATATAGGAATAGGGTCTAAAACACATGTCGCTGATCTAAGCTGCAAGACAACCTTTTCAAGCCTTGCAGCATCAACCAGGACAAACCTCTCCAGTTTCCTCATTCAAGAGGTCAAAAGAGTTCAAATTAACAAGATTACGGTTTACAAATTTTGACCTGATAGAATCAATTTTACTTCTGAAGTGGAGTGCAAGGTCTTCACATAAAAAAATCAGAGCAAAAAGGTTGGTTAAAAACAGGGTTGGTTAATTGGTCAGTGGTTGAAAAGAGGATTTTTGGGTTATTGTGATTGTCTGTGATTAATTTTGAAAAATGCTGCTATCTTGCTTGTTTTTCTGCCTTGTTATAAGTGATGATTTGTTCCCGAAATATCTGATAGTTAACTGTTAATTTGTTTTTGTTTTTTTTTATAATGCAATTTATTTTATCTTGTTATATTTTATTATCATTTTGTTGTGTGTGTGCGTGCGTGTGTGAAATATGTCAAAATCCAATGAAAGCATTCAAATATGAACACCCCAATAAAAGTCAATAGATTTCTAAAGACACTTTCTTCAACAAAAAAGGAGCAGAAAATAATGAGTTTCTTTCTTTAAAGATGACACACGTTGGACACATGTTGGTTTTCACCATTGCAAGATCATGTCTTTATCCTGAATTTTCTGAGTTTTCATGTTGTTGTTATACATTATGTGTATATTAATAGTTTAATCATCATTTTTCTGGATAGTCCTTTTTTTATTTCAGTGAAAAAAATGTGTTAAGAATATATGCCAGGAATGTGTGCTTCCCTCTCCCTTTGAAACAAAATCATCTCCAGCATCAATGAGTTGAGTATATGTAGCTCCTGTGTGAAAAACAGTAATAAATATGTTGTCTCGTACTTCCATGTAGTGCATGAAATACTTGGTTAGTAAGCTGTAGCACTAACTCCTCCCTACTTTAGAAAGTTTACAACATAAAACTTGAAGAAATCACATCTCATAGCAATCAGGCAGAGAGGTTGCCATGGTGATATCCATTCTATGCTGCCTACACTTTTTCTCTTAATTTGCTAACAGAGAGTGGGGCTATTTTGAGGCTGTGTTGTTAAGGTACACAAGGGAGGCGCACAGACTAAAGACAGCACAGGGCCAGCAGGTTCAAATGAAATTACTGTTTGAGTGTTTAAGACTACTACTTAGAGCTGTACGTCTGATGAGCTTAATGGTCTTGTAAGGCCCAAAGAGGCTTATATTTGACATCATTTAACTGATGCAACAGAAATTAAAATTTCTCTTTTTATCATTGACAGAAATGTTTTCCTCTACTGTTCCTTTGCCCAGATTTCAGCTTCCCTTACATAGAAATTTAAAGCTGCACATATGTAAAGGTGGAATCTCTAAAATTAAATAGTTTTAATGAAAATGGACAACTGTGACATGACTGTGGGGGCTGTGATAATTGGTAAACAGTGAGCAGACTTTACAGAAGAAAATGGAGCATTGAGAAAAATGAGTGGGAGCTTTGGCCTATGGCAGGCTACTCTTGGGAGTAACATTTGCATTTGACACCCAAGTTGAAACCGTGCATACAGCCAGGTCAAGTTGCCATGCCAACCATGCTTCCATCCTCCTCCTCACATTGGCTCCAGCCCTTGCCAGCAACCAGGAAGTTGGAGAGAGAAAAAAGGCACACTTACATATCCTTGACTCTACCAAGACTGAGCGACCCTGGTCTATTATTAGCTCCTGCTGGACCTTTTAATTGAACTTTGTTGAGGTTGGAGGGTGGAAGTGGAAGGGGGGAGTGAATTAGAAAGGAGGGGAGAGCCATCCTCAATCCAGGTATTGACCTTTTTGACCAGAATGTAACCAGAACCACCTTTTCTACTTCATCTGTGTTAAATGGAGATAATTTCATCGTAAGCCCATGTCTTCCCCTGAACTGCAAAGTATGTATATCTTAATTAAATATCACACCCCAATGCAAATACAGTACTGTCACCCACTATATTCAGAAAGCCAACTTCAGACTGACAATTGCCATTTAAAATCATCTATATCACTACTACTTATATTTTCCCAAATATTTTATCCTATCTAACCAAAAAGTGCTTGAAGATGTACCAAGAAAATAAATCTTTGATCAGTCAGAAAACAAAATTCAGTCCTTAAGGCAGGGTCCAGAGGAGCAGCAGGGACAGCTGGCTTACTTAGTTAGCACTAAAGAATTAGCAAGGATGCAGGATGATTTTGGCTGGATCAACCTTAAAGATGAAATCCAAAAATCTGTGCACCCATTTGCTTGTCCACACACCATGGCACAGTGCCCACCGGTGTTTCAAGTATAATAAACTACATGAAAAAATATGGTTGATATGGCATTACAACAAAGAGAAAGCATGATAACAATAATCATGTGGCTTTAAAAACACATACAGGTTCATTTCTTCTAACTGTTTGCTAGCCAGTGAAGACTGTGCTGTGTTGTGATCAAATCAGATCCCTGGTGAGCACTGATTTGAGTATTTACATCAGTGCAAGAACTACGAAGAGATTCTTCCAGCAACATATCCATTTTCTTTTTCCCTCCTTACAGGCATCAATCCCTATTCAAAAGACTACTGACAAGTCCTTCAAACCAGTCTGCACCACACTGATTTTTACTATTCTTTTCTTCCTCTTCATTTTACTTTAATCTCCCTCTTGCTGCTCACCGCTCCCTTATTTCTTTCACCTCAAGCAGTTTTCCTTGATTTATCATTATATTTTACACACTCAAACCTTTGCTCTCCACTTTGGCACTCCCCAAAAACCCTTCATTCTTCTTCCTCTGAGCAGAAAAAAAACTGTTTTCTTTTCTCTTTCCTGAACAGATTGTTCCTTGTGCAATGACAATGCAGCAAGGATTGTTCTGACTGATCCCCATGATCAAAACCACAGATTTTCCATTGTGCTGAGCCAAGACACCATTGCTTTTAAGTAGACTACAATCCTGCTGTGGGATGTTTCTGTCCAATAGGAAAAGATGAAATGATGCCAGGAGTTTTGGGACAAGTCATTTTGACAGAAACAGATTATTCAAAACTACATGAAGCATTAAGGTAAAAATCATCTGTACTAGTCACTGATCAGTGGTGCTACGAGGGCCTCTCTAGTCAAGCTAAATTCTGAACTAAAGGATCAAACTGTTGAGCAAACAGCTGCAACAAAAACAGTTTCTGCTGTACTAAAATGACCTTCCTGCTGTAGTGTTTGTTTGCACTGTTAAAGGCCTCAGTTCTGCCCTTGGGAAATTCTTGTATGCTCCAAAAGTCAAGCAAGCCTCCAGGTTTTTTACTTTCATCTTTTATTCATTGTTTAAAATAGATTTGGTCGATTTTAAATCATTTAAACAAATCATCTTATTGGCCCTGCATCAGATGTTGGTTAAAAGAAAGCAATATATTAAATAAGAGGTTACTGATGTTGTTGTCTTTATGTGCCTGTAACACTCTGAGTACATGCAGTTGTGTAAAACACAGAGATCATGGCAGGAACTTTCATGATTATTTTAAGCCTCAATTCACAACACATTGCTTTCAGCTGTGTGTGTGTATGTGCATGCATGCGTGCGTGCATGCATGCGTTCGTGCACGCGTGCATGCGTACGTTAAAGGGGCAGGATCTATGTATGCCGTCTCTATACAAATATGTGCCTGAAAATATATAAAACAAGCTTTATTATCTACGCTGGACTTAGGCATACATGCATGTTTTAAGTTGCTGTGCAAAACCTGTGTGCACTAATATACTGATGTTGAGACTTTTTTAAGCGTGGAAATGTCACATGCTTTTTTCATGTGTGTGTGGGGGGGAGGGTATGGATGTGACTGCATGTGTTTACATACTTGGTTTATGCAAATCGGCATGTGCCAATGTGTATGTGTGTGTGTGTTCATGCTTGAGCGTGCATGTGTGCATGTTTTAGCGCGCATGTGCAATCTCCCCAGCGGGAACAATCATCACGGCTCGTGCCCACAGTAGGCAGCCTTCCCCCGGGGGGGCCGTGACTGAGGCCTGCCTGACGAGATGCTGCCTGACTGACTGTGGAACCTGGATTCTTGCCTCCTCCCCCAGCACACACACACACACACACACACACACACACACACACACACACACACACACACACACACACACACACAGAATAAAAATGAACACATAAATACAAAAATGAATGCAAACTGAGTGTGATACACTGACTGTGGTATGAGGTTCTCACAACACTGCAACAAGAAGCATGACAAATGCAGCTCTTTCAGTATACACTAGGGTTCATCCATATTTTTATGAAAAGCTTAAAAGCTCGACAACAACAAAAGAGTGACAGTTCTGCTTCTAAATTCCTGTTCAAACCAATGCCAAACCATTCAGTATGAGGCTTCTTTTAGCAAGATGGGGAGTGTTTGACGCAGTGTGACTCTATCTGCACAGACTCCACATGGACTCAGAGTGTCCCTCCTCTATAGCATGTTTGTGTTAGTGTGTTTTGGATGTATGGCTGGTGTTGGAGCATGTGTGCAGGTACATCTACTTGGCATCTGTGTCTGACTAGGCCACAGTGTGTGAGGCCTGATGCTAAGCCGACATGACAGAAGCAAATAATGTCTGCTCCCGTTATCTTCTCTTCCCCCTCGGCCCCACAAGAACCTTTTAAAGGGCCAAACACTACGAAATCACACACACAAACCTGCACACATATAGGCATGAATACGACACTGATGAGTAGCCAGTGTGCCTTTACAGTGGTACACATATACCCACAAACGAGAATCTATAAATCAATGAATTTTCAAACACCGAGTGCAACACAATAAGCTAATGTTGCCTTTTTTCACGCAAGATTATATTCATCACCTCTCACAAAAATCCAACATTTTTTAAACATGCACCAACCCATCATGCACTCACACTTTTTGTCCATTAAAATGTGGAAAATCTTTTTGAAGCTTGGACATGAAACAAAAATCCATGACAACAAATGGACATTCATAAGTTAAGATAAAAACAGCCATGCCGGCTCAAAATTACACAAACAAGTGCACAACTACATACATTTGCACACATATGACCTACTTCCTACAGCTCTGACCTAAATGACCACCACACCTCCTCCTGCTCTTTTTGCCCTGTATTTTGTATCTGAGGACTTAAACTTGTCTTCTCATTCTACTAAACACCAGGAAATAAACTATCAAGACAGATATTTCTATCCATTTTTCACCAACAGTTTGAAAGAGGTCGCTCTATATTATACTTCCAAACTCATAGACTGACATGTAACAAATTACAGATGAGTTTGTATTTATAATTTGGGCTCTAAAATTAGCAGGTTTTTTTTTCATGTCTTCCTCTGCAGGCTTCATACAAAGTTTGGGTTGCCAGAGAAATTCATCTCACAACCTGCTCTCTCCACGAACTGCAACTATGCTCGTATAGGCAAAACCATCTCTGATTTTGCCCTAAGCAAACACTTTCAGAACAGCTCATTTGTTTCCTTTGGTTTAGTAATGCATGGTTGTGCAGTCCTTAACTTTAAACTGCACAAAAAATGCTGACATAACTCTTCACATCTCTGATCCAAACACATATTATAGCACTGTGGATTAGGGTGATGGTGGTGGCCTTTGTTTTGACTTCATTGTACAATATTTACATGACATATTTTTTTATCCACTTTATTCATGAGGGTGCTGACAAGGAAAATGAAATGACAATGGGGTGGAGTTACCTGTAGACATAAAACGGTATTCTCAGCGAGCCATAGTGGTCAACCAAAATGGTGATTATTTTGAAAAGAATTCACCTTCAGTCCAGATAATATTGCTTTATTTTCCAACATATGTCAAACATTATTAAAGCTTCTGTGAGGTGTTTTTTATGTTTATGAATTTGACTGAAATTCTATTTGATGCCTTTTTATGATCTACAATAGCAAACAAGATAATCAGCAACTGCAGTGACTAATTTATATTGGGATGTCTGAAACCCACGTCAGGGGGTAAGTGTTGCAGGAAGCGAGTTGTTGGTTTGACTTAAACCATGTATCTTTGACAAAAAAAGATTGTCCTTATGATTAATGGTCAAGTTTCATTGCTTACTTGCAGAGGGGAAATACAAATGGGTGTGACTGGCATTAGTTAATGTTATTTGCAGGAGAATTGCAGGTTATGATCACAACTAATTGTGAGAAGAAAAACTCTATTTCCTGATGTTTCACAAACTACAGCTGAAGAACATGCACACAAAAGCAAATAGCCTTCTCAACACAGCACAAGCATTTAAGCAGCAGCTAAAATGATGTCTCATGCCTTGGTTATTGAGAGCTGTTTAGCAACATTTAGGTAGACTTGGTGAGAGTGAGATAATATTGCCATGTTAATAGTGATATGCTTCAGGGCTGTTTATTGCTTTGCAGTCTGCAATAAGTGAGCAGCTAAAGGAGCTTTAATATACTAAGTGTCAAGATATGTTCTGGTATTTAGTTTCCCCCAGGTTTTGATTATCTGAGTGTGTTTTCTTTATGATTTTCCCTTGTGTCTCTGTTCCCCATTGTTCCTGTTCCTCTGTAGTCTTGTCTCGTGAGTTTTCAGTTTGTGTCTGACCCCGTTTCCCTCATGTTTTCACTGTTTTATTCTTTATGTCAGCTTTTAGTGTTTCCTGTTTTATTTCTTGTTTTATTTTGAAGTAGTTTATTCCCTGTGTTTCTAGTCCTGTTTTACTTCCTCAGTTTTCCCTCCTCTGTAATTATCTGCACCTGTGTCTCAGTGTCTCACCTGCCTCTCGTTGCTCGTTTCCTTGGCTGTGTCTAAATTCAGAGACCACTGAGTGCAGCAGTTATTTTTTAATTGTGCGACCTTGCACAGACACAAAACAATAGATACATACAAGCACAGATCATTTCCACAAAATTCTTCCAATGATTGTTTTGTATGAAGGAGTATGAAGGCCATATTGAGAATTTTTTTTTAAAGACTTTGAGATTTAAGTCGTGAATTTACAAGAATAAATTCGTTAATTTATGAGGACTAAGTCATAAGGTTACCCGTTATTTCAAAGGAGAGTTGTTAAAATTGGGGCCATGAAGCATTTAAGGGAACTGTGCTCTAGTATAGGTTTCACAAACAAGGAGAAACTTCATCCTTTGGCACATTAGCATTACATTGTCATAAGTATAAGGACTTTAAAAAGAATATATGAGAAATACGTCTTTTCCACGAAAAAACAAAACAAAACAGGTGGACATCAATATAGCCGTAAATAGCCGTGAATGACATTGAGCTTTAGTTTATGATATGAATCCATATGCCATAATAAGGTGTTGGTGTCTCTGCAGGTGTAGGTTACCGCCGGTGTCAAAGACGGGGTGCTCATTGGAGCTTGGCTCCCTCTGGATCACAAATGTTGATCATCAGTTGGATTGTTTCTTGAAAAACCACAGAAACTCTCTGAATGACCCGCTGATACATGCACCGATAACCCTGCAATTGACCAGTTCAGTCATTTCCCCCTCCACAAAAGCAGCTTTAAGACTTTATTTACTTTATGACTTTACTAAATTTACAACTTTAATCTCTAAGTCTTTAAAAAACTTCTCGATGTGGCCCACTCCGGTGCAGTTTTGGCGGCTTTCTTTTTTCTAATGTTTTTGATTGTGGTGGCAGAGTGGATCAGTTCTTTTCTAAAGACTATAATGTTTGGTTTGCAGCTGCAGATTATAGTGAGTTCAGAGATCATGCGCTTATGGAGCTGACTGTCTTGTGTTTTTGGATTTCTTTTATTTTTGCGCTGCGTCTTCAAGCCAGTCTGGCCTCTCACCCGAAATGCGCAGCTGTGCAGCGGCATGCAAAGAATTCTGGGATACCATGGCCACGAAAGCGTGCATAAAAGCACACTTGAAAAGGGGGCGGGGGCAGGGTGGTTTTGGGACCGTATTTGAAGCGCGCTCAGAATCATGAGCCAAATGGGACACTGTTAGCGCCGCCGCCGCGTGATGTTGTCACGCACACTTGAAATGCGCCGTTCGACGGTGCAGTCTCTGATTTGAGACACAGCCCCTGTGTGTATACATAGTCCTTGCCTTTCCTTGTTTCTTTGTTGTATGTGTGTTTGTGTGTGTTTGTCAAAGTGTGCCTATGCCAGTGTCTCCTTGTGATTTATTGCTCCTTGGATTTTTCTTCAGGTTTTTTTTGGGGGGGGATTCTTTTAATTTAACATTTAAAGTAAGTTTGTGTTGCTTCTTATTTAGTTTTTTTTTTTTTTTTACATACATCCTTTTTTCGTTCTGCATTTGGGCCCTTTCCTATTGTTTAACTCCAAACCGTCACACTAATGCACATATGTTATATCTGAGACCGTTTCCTAATACTGTCCTCCCTCTCTATGATTGTAAATGCAGAGGAATGATCACATTATCCTGTCTAAGGTGTGACAGACCACATTTCCCCTTTTTTTAATTTCAATATTATTCTCATGATTGGGATAAGCCACCCATGACGATTGAAAATGCAGGTTCCATTTTCAGTGGCTGAGCATACCATAAGTCATACCCATAAATAACACAAGGTATAATGGCAGCTAGGAACAAGGTGATTACAGAAAATGTGTGTGATACAAATGTTCTCTGAGGTAGAAAAAAACGTTTAAAATGGCTTTGTAAAGGGCACATAGCTTGAGAGCATACCAAAGACCAACACCATAACTTACTAAATTAGTGTTTCACAAGACTAATTTTGGTTCTGCATCTGTTCTTGATTAATATTGGAAAAGGTATTCCCTGTATGAAAACCCTGCTGTGAGTGTCCTCTGTCCAGCAGCTCTCTTCCTGATTCCCCTCTTTGGACCTTCCTAACATACCACGCTCTGTCGCAGGCTGTCCATGCCGATGCCTGTATATATGTACCCAGCTCTCAACCTGTCATCCCTGCCTCTGCCTCTATCAACCTGCTTCCAGCCCAGCAACCAGCCAACCAACCAGTATAAGCCTGTTGCTAGGGCAACGACTGTCTAGGGGATACTTCTTTTGTTTCTTGCACCTCCTTTCATTCATCCCCCTTCTATTTCTACCCTACTCTCACCCTTTCTCCCTCTTTTATTCCCTGTCTTATTATTTGCCGTTTATGTCTGTGCCTGTCAGTTAATGACCATCCTAATCCCTCTTCCCCCTGTTCTGTGTCTTCCAGAGTGCCTTAAAACAGGCAAGCTGAACAGTATGTTATAAACTCAGAATGATAAACAAATGAGAACAATCAAAAAGTTAGGTTTTGAAAGTAAAATACCAATGAATACTCCCTCTTTCACTATAACTCGTTTAAAACCAGCATTAAAATGCTGTGTTGTCTTTATGAAAGCATGTATTCTTGAGTGTACTGTAAAAATATTCTTCTTCACTTTGACTTACAGTCATACAGTTACAGAGTGCTGTCAGCACTTTGCATTGGACTAATACAGTCTGTGCATCACTCTCACCATTGGCATTTAAAGGTTCACAGATAATGCTAGGTCAGCCCAATGTGATCCTCTCTGTGTCTTTACTCAAGGGACCTGAGGCTGTGTGTGTGTGTGTGTGTGTGTGTGTGTGTGTGTGTGTGTGTGTGTGTGTGTGTGTGTGTGTGTGTGTGTGTGTGTGTGTGTGTGTGTGTGTGAGAGAGAGAGAGAGAGAGAGAGAGAGAGGGAGGGAAGGAAAAACAGGAAAAAAAGAGAAAGGGAGACGAAGAAAGACACTTAAATTAAAATCTGTGTCAGGAACATGTACTATATCTTCATTTTTACACAAATGACTGACTGGGTCACTTAGAATACAGTTTAATACTGGGGACCAACATGACTCTTTGCTTCTGTTCCCTTGTCACAGTATGTAAGGCTTGACAGCTCTACAGTTTTTATCATGTGCTGCTCTCTGCTGATCAAAAAGAGGAACATCACATAAAGGTGTTGTCCAGAATCAGGGCAGCATGATATACTGTTAGCTTAAAAAATAAAAATAGAAATCTTTGCACACATTGATTTAAGGTAATAAAGATAAAAGCAGACTGTAAAATCAGTTTGGAACTTGATTTGAGAAACAAATCTACTCAGACACATTCAAAAGAATGTCTTTCTTTGCATTTTTGTCCACACTGTTTGGGCTTCCCTTGGTGTGTAGCTGCATTATAGATCATAAGTCCACCTCTGGTCAAATAGATGGGACATCAGCCAAACTTGAAAATTAAGGGCACAGTGTCTTCAATGATTAAGTCATTGAAGCAGGATGAGATAAGATAAGAGGAACTTTATTGATCCCCGAAAGAAAAAGTTTTAGTTGTCTGTAGTCTCATGTCTCATGTATTATTTACATAAGAGTTATAAAGCCTGATGGCTGTTGGTACAAAATATCTTCTAAATCTCTCTGTCCTGCAGCAAAGAGAGGGGCCGTCCACCACCATTGGCCCTTTGGTCTATTAAGGTGTTATGAAGTGGGTGATTCATGTTCTTTAGAATAGTCTCCACCTTCCTTAGTGTAGATGTCTCCACCACATCCTCCAGTGAGTCCAACTTGAATCCAACCACAGAGCCAACCTTTTTCACCAGTTTGTTAAGACGTCTTGCATCTTTGTGTTTGATGCTTCCCCCCCCAGCAGACTGCAGTGTAGAACAGAACACTATAGACACCACAGACTGATAAAACATCTGCAGCATCTTACTACAGATGTCTATTGATCGGAGTCTTCACAGGCAAAAGAGGCGGCTCTGCCCCTTTCTGTAGATGAAGCGGTTGCTGGTTTGAATCTGTGAGCAGTATTTTGCACCAACCATACATTACGTGACGCTAAACTAAACTTTATCCTCATCATATCAAGCTGCAATCATTTGAGAAAGAATCAGTTGGAGACCTGGAGAAGTCGTACATTAACACCTTTTACAACAAAATGTCACTCATACGCAACAGCAAGCGTGGCAGACAGCAACTGAGCTCAAGCGAACATGATGACTTATACGGGATTCAATTTCAACCATGGAAACACAACTAAAAAAGTTGGACTTTTTAAAAAACTGACTGATGACATCGAAGAAAGAAAAGAAGTCATACAAAACTTCAGCACATACAAAAAATGACCAGTAACACTAAACCAAACAACCAATGTATCAACGTCGAAAAGACCCCTTGTACAGATCTCAGTATTTGATATCTACCTTTCCTCAATCAATCAAACATCACGCATGTCTTAAATCATTGTCCATATCAACAGCTCTGACGGCTTGGTGGAAGTTTAATGAAACCACAAACTCCACTTTCTGTCTGCCTGTCTTTTCCTCCTCCGTACTAATGTGGGTGAAAATGAGACTAAAGGTGGACACTGCTGAGCAAGTCAGGCATCAGATTGAGAAAAAATACTAAATTTAACAAAGGTTTAAAACTCTTCATATACTGCAGCAATAATAAAAGGCAGAGGTTGTACAATTTGCTAAAAAAATAATCTTGTGCCATTAACTACAAACCATGCTGATTTAACCAAATCACTGGATAAAAATCAAATCAAAATACATCACCTGTGAGGATATTTTCAGCCATGACGTTGACCTGCACCTCAAGTGAGTGCTTAGAAGTATAAGTGATCTCAGCCGTGACGTGGGTGACCTCACCGATAAACACTGGAGACAGGAACTCTGTTTTCTCCACCCGAACAAGAGCTGCCACACAGCGGTCCTGAAGAGAAGAAACAGAGAGTCCTAAACTCAAATCAAAATATCAAACTAATCATATTATTCTGACATTAAAAGGCTTTTACATCAACTGAGTGTTGATCCTGTTTTTCTGGGAGATAGAGATCATTTCTTATTTGAAGTCTTTCTTAAACACTGGTCTAGTCCTAATTTCATACCAGTAAAAATAGCTCATTGCAAGGTAAAGATTTCTGTTTAAAAGTTAATTCAAGGATATTTCACTTTCTACGGACAGCAACAGCAAATGACAATTGATTAATGCCACAACTTCTTGCTACTCTTGAGTTGAGCTGATGTTTCAATTTAAAAATAATACGGCACATTAAACAGCCAACTGACTGTTTCATTAATGAAGCATAGCGATAGTTCAGTCAGGCCACGGAGTCAATCTGCTCTGCCCAGCTCTCGCTCATCAGCTGATGTGGACGGGTCATCCCGAACAGGCTCACTTCAGCCAATTGCCACGTCTCACAACCAGATCAGCTGATCTTATTGGGCACTCAATTTAAATCTGCTTCCGCCTCCCTGCCTCTGCTGCTTCCTCTGCATACTGATCACATCCCACCTCCTCCCCAGCTCCTCCTATCAGGTGTTCTGACTTACCAATACCAGTATTGTCATTTATGCTTGCTCTGCTGGGTTTTTGCACTGATCTCCCTTCGTCAAGCTCTCCAAGTTGGCACTTGGAAAGGCAGGGAGGAGTGCTTTCCCTGCCTCAGGCTTTCCACGTATGCATGTGGAAGGGGAGGGAGGTCCCAGAACAGAGCCACACCACCTTTTAATCAATTGATTGGTTCTTTTAATCAATCAGATTCTCCTGTATAACACTGGGTGATGCTGTCTCATTCATGTCCTATTGTACAGGATCATAAATTACACTATGAGTCCCACCTTTATTGTTCACATACAGTGGGTTTCCTATGTTCCTATAAAGCAAATCTACTCTTTTATGTTGCACTTTTCTCCAATAAAAAAAAATACATATACCTCTATTGAGAACATAAGCATGTGAATCAAAACCTTGCAGACACTTTACTTAACGTCTTACTTTTAAGTTAATGAGTCTTTATTAATCAAAATTTTCATCAAAAATAACAATTACAGAAAGTCATTGATGAAAAAAGTGAGAGTCTGTGGCGATGTTTATGCAACTACATTAAAAAGACACTAATTTGACAGGTCCCATGCATGATGTCTTTGAAATGTATTTTTTTTAAAAAGAAACTTTGAAACCATGAATCACCTTTCCATCAAGTGTAAACAGATTATCACAGATAAAGAATATCCAGCTCATTACCATAGACGTGACTGAGGAAAAATAAAGATTAAAGAAAGAAAAGTACCATTTCTTGGGAAGATCAGCTGACTAAAACAATAATGCTCAAAGAAGCTTCAACACTATTTCTAAACCAACACAGCATCATGAAGTACTGATTATAAGATAGTGCTGTTACTTTTTATCAGCTTGTGGTTCATCTCCTAGGCAACTTCAATAGAAATAATGTGTCTCTGCTAAAAATGCTCTACAAGTTAAGATAGTTGGTAAATGAACATGAACATTTTTTAACACCTGAAACATATTTAAATCATGACATTTGATCATACATGGCCAACTGAGTTTTGTACAATCAAGGAATTACTTTTTAAACTAGAAGTTGTCACTAAATTTGAATTTGATATATTAAGTGAGTTGAACGTAAAGTTGATTGGTTTTTCACAACTCTTGACAACTCTACAATGTGTCTCAATGAAGCACTTATGCGCTGTGGCACACACAGCCTCGCCTTTGTTTTATCAATATGTTTTTCTGAATGTCTTATCTGAAACAGTGCAAAGTAGGATATCAGAATGAACACATTGTTGTAGCAGGTGAGATAACAATCACATGATGCAAGTTATGACCGTCAAAAGTCGGTTAAAGTTCACCAGGTAAAAAGCCAGACCTGCACTAAGGGAAAACAAATCTGGATGTAGCAACACTCAAGAAACCAAACAACCTCTTTTCCCTAAAAGCACTTTAATCTGAACTGTGAAACCTTACTACATGTTGGTATAATTAAGAATATTTCTATAGAATCATTGTCATTTATGAAAAGCAAAAATAAGAGCTTTAGTCTCTTCATGTCAAGACACAAGTACAGATCCCAGATTTATGGGAACAAGATATTTATTTCTTGTAATATCTTATTAATTTGTCCAATGGTGTTCAAGTCTGTTTTCTCAGCTGGGACATGTAGAACTGGAAAAGTAAGTTATTGAGTTTGAATGTGTACAATTCTTTTAAAGTGAACCTTAATATTACCTGAGGAGAGATGTTAGACAGTCATTAAGGTCATAAAATAAATAAGGTGTTGTCTCTTACCCCATTCTGTGTGTTGCAGTGCCGCGTGCTGACAATGGATCCTGCCTCCTCTATCATCTTGAGGATGATGCCCCCATGGACATTGCCCACAATGTTGGCATCATTTGGCCCCATGATCCTGCAGTAAAGACAAGTTTTGGTAGTAGGTTTTAATCCCTGCAGATGCGACATCTGCAGGGATAAAAACCTATGCAGAAAGACTCTTCTCTGTATGAGTTTTAATGCATCAGGTGGGGAAGATGTGATGTGAAAAATCTTGCCATGGAGGCTAAAAAATGACAGAAAATTTCTTGTTCTCATATCTTCTTCATTTTGATGAGTTCAGGGAAAAGAAGAAGATATCTTTGAGCTATGACTTCTCTTTCTCAAACAAAAGATGGTACTTGGGTAATGACTTGCAAAAAAGGGGAAGAAGTCAAAGTAGGAGACCCTTTGAAATATTATTGGCTGAGGTTTGAAGGCACAGTTTGAGAAAATAAGAATATTAAGCAATATCCAACTGTCAGATTCTAGGCTTGCACACCCCTCCCATCAGTGAAACAAAGGTGGCCTTTAAGGACGAAAGGGCTGCTGAGAAGTGTGATAAGTATGATCTTCTATTTGTCGAGTTTTTAACCATCAAAATTAACTATCAGTACAAATGCTTTTGTGTTTTCTCTTCATCTTCCAACCTGAGCATTTCCAACAACCATTCACTTCACACAACAACACGTATGTTACAAGTTTTTCTGCTCTTGCTATAATACAAACGCAATGGTGCAGGATGGCAGCTTCTATGGAGAGGGACCCAGATCTGTTTTGTAAAGGTTCACTAAAAGAACAGCTGGGTGATTAAACACTAATTCAAACATACTTACAAACATTATATTCTATTTCTACCTTGTCTGTTGCAAATACTACACACTGCACCTTTTCATGTCTGCCAGATTTTCATGATTATGTTTTCTGACTTAAGATCAACCCTTTCGGAACAAACTTGCAGGATTGTCAGCTATGTAGTCACTTATTGGATAAAGGGGCAGTTTAGATTGGTTTATAAAACATGTTAAGTATTTAAAAAATTAAGGGTTTGTCCTGTTTGATATCACCCTCACTCTTCCATGTCTATCACCTGACAGACATTTCTTGTACAGACATTTCGTACTGTCTGTACAAAATGCTGTCATGTACATCAGCTGTTTCCGGTTCTTAGGTGTCAGTTAAACTAGTCCCACCAGTTATAAACTAATCTTTTTACATACTCTGAGGTCACAAAGCACACAGGTATGTGCTGATGTACTTCCATCTGAATACTCATCAGTAAGGTGGGGGTGCGGGGGTCTGAGTGCTTACTCAAAGGATGATATTAGCATCTTGACATCAGAAGTAAATCTCTATTTCACAAGAGGTCTATTAGTTCATTTAACAGTGTCCATGTGTGATATTGTATAACAGTTACATGAATTACAAAATCATCTTAGTATCTACTTTTTTATTAACAGCAGAATACAAGTAACTTCCTCAAAAAAAACAAAAAAAAAACGTTAGTGTTTAGAAATGCCAGAGTTTTTTTAATTGCAAAACATCCCCATCATCAATGAAGCAGAAGTGTCAAACTAGGCCATGTTAGATCACTCAAAATCACAACAATAGTAACAAGTAATTCAAGTATGGAGCAGTGTAGTCTATAACAACAGTAGTGTGACAAATTTCACTGTAATGTGGAATCCTTATTGAGCCTATATTATTCTGTATTTTATTTTTTAAAACAAAACATTGTATTATTTATATTTTATCTACATTATTACATTGAAGCAAGGTAATTATAGAATTCAGTTGATAGAAACACAAGATACAGCCTCAAGAAAGGCTCAAGCTCAACAATTCTCATGACACAGTGAGAGCAATAACAAGCACGTTTGTAAAACCAGTATTATTACTGCTACTTACTTACACTGAAATACTAAACCTGTGTGTGTTTGTGTGTGTGTGCATTCATCTGAAATGAACTACCTGCTGAGTTGGATACCTTGTCCTCTAAGTATCGTTTTGTAATCCAGTTCATGTTTTGGCCGTCTGTTGGGAGGTCTAATGCAAAGCATCTTCACACTCTGGCTGACTAAGTTAGACTTGCTTCACTCAAAAGTGATCCTTCAATTTACATCCACTGAAATTTTAGGCTCTGATGTTGCTGTACTCAGTGATGTCATGCAGAGTTACACTGACCCCGCCTCAGACATCATGGCTGCTCAAACTGGATCCAACACACCTACTGATGCTTAAATTGACAGCAGGTGACCAATACAGTTTGACACACCTCAATCTAAGTACAGCAGCCAAGAGGGAGAAAAAAAACCCCATGTAAATAAATAAAATAGAAGAACACCGAAAATCCCTGACCAACATCCCTGCAACTAAAACAGCTTCAAGTGCCACAAAACCTGCCTTAAAACCTGTTTCAAGATAGAAGTCTAAGATAAGTCCCTCTTTCAGACAAACAAGACCACACCTAAAGCCACTAATGTTTGAAGGGTTAAGTAACAAAAATATCAAAAATGTTCTGGTGATTGATTCAAGAATTCATTCAAAGATCGGCGCCAACTAAGAGGAAAGTCCCTCTGCCCTTAAAACCTGTTCATATGTAACTTCAGAAATATGGATCATATATGGATTAAATTATTTCAGTTACGTACAGTGCATACAATGTGCTCTTTTGAGAGTAAATGTGTCCCAAAGTTCTGAATACAACAACAGAGAACTGAATTTTCCCTCGGGGTGAATAACCTCCTTTGTTAGAGCAATCACATAAAACTAACAGCAGTGGAGAAAATTCTGCCTCACAAACAGGATCAACGGCATTTTAGCTGGTCAATCTTACATTAGACGGTTAGAGAGTTATTTGTCTTTAGCATCTCATAAACAGTACAGAGGCCCTGTCTCTTACAAAGTGGTCCTGGACTCAACTCAGCCCATCACTGTTTGTCTCCACCCTCTATCCAATTTCCCCTCAGGGATACATAAGGTTATTATTCTTGTCTTATCTCCCCCTAATTTTTTAAAGCTACAGTATATATTGTCCTTTTCGATAAATCCAAAGGCCAAAAGCATAATGTGAAACAGCACATGTAATTACATCCAGTTTGCACAGGCAGACACAAATAGCCTAAGTTTCTTATTGCTTACTTTAACAGGTAAGCTGTACTTTTAAACAGTATTTTTAACAGTAATAAGATCCTAAGTAGACACTTTGCTGTTGACATTTATCTAATGTTCTACTTTAGAGATACCACACAACTTGCCAAGTATGCCTAAAGTAGAAACTGCACTATTTGCAACAATTTAGGAATTCGGAACTTGACAAGATATTCGAAGGCTAGCATTCAACCACTTCCAACTTCCTATCCTATCAGATGATGACTTAATGTTTGCTAAAATGTGCCAGACTGTTGTCAAACAACACAAAATCTATCCCTGCATCCTCTCTACTTGGTGTGTCATTTCAGCAGACCTAAAATTTATGTATAAATCGCAGAGTCATGCCTGTGATCCTGAGGTACCACTGTTGTTAGGTTTAGCTAAAGACCATCTGCTGTAACTTCCTTCAGTACACAAAGTGGAAAGTCTAAGTAAATGGCTACTTATCAGCAGCATTTTAATATCCCAGGTATATTTAGTTAACGTCCTTGGAATGAACTATTAGTCAACAGTAGCTACAAAGTGTCTGATTGCTACTGCAAAGAGTGAGTTATGAAATAAATAACCCTAACCTTACTTTCACAATCTGTCCATGGAGGTCCTGAGTCAGTCAGTCATCCAGATCACAGTACTTCAAATTATAAACTTTTACTGTACGTGGTCTTTTCATTTGCTGATCCATTTAGAAGCAGTACAATTATATCAAAATGGCACATCTTACTGTCAAGATCACTTTAGGACATCACAACACAATTACACCCAATAACCTCTCTGTGAATATTTTTATCAGTATCTGATGATGGAAAAAATATTGTGTGTCAAATAAGGCTTATTTTCATCATATCATACTATCACTTCTCGTGTCTGAGTGCAAGTATTTTTAGTACTGAGTTTTTAATTATTTTGTGAGGTACTGCAATGCAAACATATCTGTTGTGGCAGGTTGTGTGTTGTTTGGCTCCACCCAATGGTGAGCACCTAAAATGAATTCATGGCAATGGTATTTTAACAAGCTAAGTCATTACCGCACTGTTAGCTGTGCTGCCTTTGTAAGCCCGGTTGACTTTGTACGTTATATTGCTATTTCTCCAGTTAATATCTTGGGCTGAAATTCTTGCATATATTAGGAAGCATTTAGGTAATATCACATTACGAGAAAACGACGTATTGAGTAAAGCCAAATTGCTCAAGCCTTCGCTGTAAAATAAAACTTTTTTGGCAGTTTTTGTAATATGTTGTGGACCTCAGCGCTTCCTGTGTAGTAAGCAGCTACAGGATCTCTCCCCTGCACTCATGGCATGGTGAGGTCATATCATACGACATGCTAATGGGCGTTCTGCACCTCTGCCGGCAACACAGGCTTGAATGAACGCGACGTCTCATAGGCCCAAAGTAAACTCGGCAGGGGTCCGTTATCTGACGACCTGCAGACTTTAAGATTGAGTTATTAGACACGTTTGTCTTCTGACTACAATACCAGGACACTGAGGCGGATAATCTGGTTATTATTGTTTACGGAAAGACACAACGACGCCGGTAGCCGCACTGCTGTCGTCACTTGTTCAACAACAGCACGTTATTAGCATGCGAGGGTTGCTCCTTCTGTAAGCTACCTCTGTTTAGTATAACACGTCCTACCGGCATAATTGAAGCGTGGATGCTGCCTCGCGCGCTCGCGTCGATACCGACATTGTGACGTTGATGCAGAGGTCGAGGTTTGCTGGTTTCGTGTTGCAGCGAGATCTGTCCGTGATGTGACAGGAAACCAGACCTCTCCTGTGTCCGCCTGCAGCACTGGTCACAGCCTCTATGAAAATTACTCATCTGTCAGAACAAAGGATTCACATGGACACAATAGAGTTCATCAATGTAACCGAGTTATGTTGTTTTTGGAAGAAGCGTTTATCAAATGAATGATTGAACATGACCGCATGAAAGGCTCACTTCAAAAAGCCATTCAAGAGAATAACTGCTGTTCAGCTGAGATGTACTTGTCTCTTCCTTTCCGACATGGAGACGAGCTTCAGCAACAAGAATAGAAACCAGAACCTTTATCTGCAATTGCCGGAAGAGGGCAGCAGAGACCGTGTAACATACTTGGAACTAATCAACGGGGGTGTAGTATTTCATGTAGCCGTTGGTGGCGCTTTTGACCTTTGTGTCCATTCTGGGGCACACGAAACGGCGAGAACCTTTTGCTCATGATGTGCAGGACAAATGAAGCGCAAGGGTTTTGTTTTTTTTTTTGCTGTAAATGGAAATATTACATCTTATTTGTGGCACCGGAGTTTGGTTGAAAGCTTGATGCCACTGTCGTTTTTTCTACAATTATAATGGTTATACGAAGGCACAGCTGCTTTTTTTGCTTTCCACTGTGTATATTTTGCACCACAGCACACATTTCCTGCATGTGGTGTTGTGTGACATGTACCTTTAACTGAAATTTGTCTGCTCTTGTAATTTCAGATAAGCCAATCATTTTTTTGTCATTGATTAAATCATCGTGCAACTCTCTTATCCTGTTACAATTTTCGAAACTGCGCGTGTGCAAATGAGCCAGAGTTCTGAAGAATGGCCATGAAGTACAAAAAGAACAAGACAGTATTTAACCACGAAATCGTAGTTTATTTTGTTTTTATATATACAACATATACACATTTGCAAGAAATAGCAAAAAAAAGTCATTCACACCTCAACAGAGATACTGACAGTGACATATAACATGTCTACAAATTTCATCTGCACGGACTATTGTCTTTAGTGCAGATTCATATACAATGACCCTTTGGGTCTTACAGGGCAGTTTCATCGGCCCTTATCACTTAGTCCGCGAAGAGGACTAAATAGCAAACGTATACATACATGCAGATTTAAAGAAATACGACTATCTGAATTTGTCAACTCAAACAACATAACAGACTCGTGCGCAAATGTAAGTATATAATACTCAACCGATACGATTTAACGACGAATTATTGCTATTCATCAACTATAAGGAGCGGTGCATCTCTGGGCATATTAACAAGTGCAACTACTGTAACATGTGATCAACATGTGAGACACTTAACAGCCATTTAAACACTTCCAGAAGACTGGGACACTGAGGCTAAAGAAATCTACCAAGGTCTCCACATGGCTGCGCTCACGGCATGCGGGACTGGCTGAGCGCAGCTGGGATTCACGGTGCTGTTGCTGCTCTCCAGTCTGGAGTTAAAACTGGATTTGAGGCTTAGAAGTCTTTGCTGGAATTGAGGTGAGGTCCTGGACCTCTGAGCACAGCATTTCAGGCAGGTTGGGGTGGCGGTGGCGGGTGTGGAACGTTTGATGAACCCGTTCACTCGTTGGCACGCGTCTTGATCCAGGCTGGTTTTGGGGAGCAGAGCGGTTACGCGCTGAAGGCAAGCTTTGTAGCCCTCTCTGTAGTTGTCTGTAGAATCTGGAAGGGCAACAAAATGTTAGTTTTGTGATCATTAAAATAAAAGGAACAATTTTGGATTCATTCAGAGTAATACAAGCAGAACTCCGACTCACCTTTGATGCTAACGGAGGGAATGTCTCTGAGGAACCTCACTGTCATTTCCAGGATGTCGGCCTTCTCAAGCTTAGAGTAGCGAGTTTTCTGCATAAGATTCAAAGAAAACAATGTCAAACACGTGAAACTGATTCCATACATAAACTTCAGAATAGAGAGTTGTGTAAGTATTGAAATTATCTTTATAACTTACATCTCTTCCTGTGAGGGGAAGAATCAGATTTTTTAAATGGTTCAGGCTGTCGTTGATACGGGCGCGCCTTCTTTTTTCCATCAAGGGTTTCATGGTCTGAAAAGCAAACAAAACATTAAAAAATAATTCAACACATCGAGTTTCAGAAAGAGAAAATGTGAACGAAATTGAAAAAATAGGTGATTCCTCTTACCTTTCGTAGCTCTAGGGCCTCTTTTCGTTTGGCCACAGTGCGCCTTGGAGAGCAAGACTGGGGAGATTCACAAGTCATATCTGGAGACATTTTCTGAGTCCTCGTTGCGTCAGAGAAGCGTTTTGAACACAAGTCAGCGAAGGTGTGTCTCTAACGGCTAAAGGCTCAGGAATATATACTGGTCCGTGGCGTCGGTCTTCGTGCGTCACGGGTACGCCCCCAAGCGCATGCAACGATTTGGAGTGGTCAAATATATGACGAAAACAACACAAACCATCAAATTTGAAGAGATAACATCTGCCTTTTCAATAATCCATGCGTGACAACTGCAAAGCGTGTCTGCGTTATGATCCATCGACCAAATCAAACAACAACTGTGTCAAGAAGCTGGGGAATTGTGGGCGCGTAAAGAAGCTTGAAGTTTGGACGCGCCGAGTTCTCATTGAACAAATATATGATTCGCAGGCTTCAAATTCTATATCACACTTAATAATGCGCCAAAGTAGTACGTTTTTAATATTTGGAAGAAAAAAAATGTTCGTACACAAGGGACTTATTTGATTCTGCTCACGATTACTGGCGCGTAATTACGCATTGCTCTCAGATGGCTTGAAAGAAGAGATGTCTATTTGTTGGCTTGTGTTTCATCTCATTATGGAGCGTTACAGACTAGACCTACCTTAAATATAATTTTCCCATAAATTGAATGATTGCATTGCGAAAAAAGTGTCTGCCAGCCCAGTGTCCTTTTGCTGTTTAACGTTGAGATTGTGTTGTATACTGCCTATAAAACCTTTATCGAAGTCTGATAAAATATATTAAATGATAGATTATTTTGAGTTAAATATGCACCATTGGAACAAGAAAGTGCACTACATACATCACTGGCGTAGGGGTCAGGCTTGTGCGCATGGAAAACAGCACAAAGCTCCAGACTATTACTCCAATCTCATACCCAAGCCACGCTACTTTGAAATAACATCTGCTCTTACATTTTGACAACAATAGTTTTGCATATGACGTTTTTCTGCTGTTTCTGCCCAGGGGGAGTCTCCACCTGAAGGCTTGTATACTGTTATACTACTGTTCTGCTGCCAACGCCTCACGCAGGGCGGTGGGGGTATCAAAACAGGGTGAGAGTGCGCATTCAGTAACAAGTGGCTGCGCCAAATGTTAAAAAAATAAAGATCATGAGTTTTATCTCATTGTAATAAACAGTGTAACGTTTTACTTGTGCACTTTAAAGATTTGATAACCTATCTTCGTGCTCTTACAATGTATAAAAGTAAAACAAAATTTACAATTACGCCTAAATAAAAAACCGGGGAGACAGAACAGCCCATCGAATACCACTGCACTCAGGGGAACCACGCGCGCAGCACGCGCCACAGAGACCAGATGGTAGTCTGTTACCGAGCCTTCAACCCCACCTCCCCAACTCCATCCCTCTACCCCACCCCCACACACTCCACCTGCCCCACACCAGTATCCTAAAGAACCAATGTCCCTGTCCCATTGTGGTTCCGTGCATCGCTCATCCATATACGCACGCACGCACACAATACATTGCATGAGCTACTTTTTTTATTTACAAACTTAACACGCACGACATATGATCTCCACGCAGTGTTGGCGTGGGTACCCCATCTGCAAGTGTCTCATGGGTTCAACTGAAACAAACCATCCTTGTCCCCCGATTTGAGACTGTGCCGCATTTGTCTATTTTGGCTTGACTCTTAGATGTTTTAGCGTCCAAGCTACTATGCTTGTTTATTTATACTGTATAGCGAACACAAAGCGCAATCTGTTGATTACAATGAGGATGTTGGTCGGACAGAGCAGAATGAGAAAAAGGAAAAGGAAAGGAAACAAAGGAGGCTGTTTTTTAATGTTACATATTATTCACATTTGAAAAAAGCATCCACCGCATACATATACATATCTTACATTTCTTATGTAGCATACAGTTGTAGTTTTATTCTGAGGCATGATAACACATGACCAGAATCTAATATAAAAGCATGAATAATATGTTATATAGGTGTAATATAATAAATCATTTCAAAGGCAGTTGGAATCACGTATTTTTACGGAAATTTGGTAGATGAATGTTTGCAACAATTTGTGTGGAGTTTGGTTTTAATCAAACTATGAAAATATTCGGTGGATTTCAACAAAGCTGAAAACAGTCAACTTATTTGGTAAGTTGTAAAGACTTTGTTTTCAGTCGTATCAAAACGAAGCGTTGCGCAAACCCAAAACTGAAAGGCACACTTGCTGCACGCGCCCCTCTCCGCCCCACTGTGATGCAGGATGGTTGGAGGGGGGTGGGGATGGGCGGTGGTGTACTCCATCTCCGTTCCTCTCTTACGGTTAGAGTCCTCTTTTGTCTTTTCGAGAAATTTTAGCGTCGGTAACCCATCTGTGTAGGCCGGATAACAGGAAGCCTTTGTCCAAAAAATTTCGACACAGGGAATTAAGAATAACGCGCGGGTTGATGGGGGAGGGACAGAAAACGGGAGTCATGACTGTCTGACACCGGAACTTTAGCAGAAACGTGATGCGAGCAGAGAAAAAGTCCGTCTTTTTCAGAAATCTTCAGCCATGCAGAGGTGTAGAAACTGTAGATATCCAAATGGAAGAGTGTGTTTGGTCTAAGTTTAAGGTTTTGATCGATTATTAACAGGTCAAAAATGCTTAACCGACCAATTAAAGATTGTTAATGACATCAACAGTGTTACTGCTCGTGTTGAGTTAAAACAAAGCAGACAGTATATTCCAATTTTCGTATATCATTAAACGATGAAAAGATGTTTTTACTTCTTTTTCAGTTACAAATTACAGTTCTTTTGATTCAGTGACTGATTTCAAGTACCTATAAGTTATTGTTCACTTTCCTCAGATATGATTGTTGTGGTTTTATTCTGGCTCTTTATTTGGTAAGATAATGTCCTCAACGGCACAAAGCATATTAGAAGATTCGTGTAAATGCCAGAAAATTGAGAAAAGCGACGGCCGATGCGCTCATTTTAACTGTTAAACAGACACAAGTTTAAGCGCAAGCTTCATGTATAACACAATGACAGTAGTGCAGTGTAGATTGTTTAGTGATGAATTCCTGTCCAGTAGACACACCTGTTCTCCTGACCAAGTGTTTGAATAGTTGAATTTACAGTGTTTCTCCCAACATGTGGCTGCACCCTTACACAGCCTTAGCCATTCTGAGGTCATGATTGAAAACATGGTCCACAAGTGTAGCCTCAATTTCATCAGGAGTCTACCTCTTCTTCCTCCCCCCCTGTTTTGTCCCCTTCCCACTCCCCCCTGCATCTTCACCCCGTTTCCACCACACTAACCTTTCTCAGTTCATATATGCTAGCCAAGCGAGACTTCATGGGATTCAGCTCTGAGTGACTGTGGAGAAGTGGCTTATCAATTAATGATTCACTAATGATTCTCCTCAGTGAAAGCTGAGGTCCACGTGAGAGAAATTGTTTATTTTAGGTCAGAGACATTTTCAGGAAAGAAAATGATCAAGAAATGTTGAAATTTTGTCTTAACATTTAACAGATTTTTAGAGCTAGTTCAACATTTTTGTATGTAATAAGCAATGATATGCAGACTAGGGGGGATAAGAGTCCTGGGCTTTGGGCCTTGGGTCTTGAAAAATAACAAATGAAACATTGGTAGTATTTCTTACCTGTTTTGTGTATTTAGATTGATGAAGACATTTTTTTATTGTCTTTCTTTGGTTGTAATGGCAGTAACATCATAAAACATTCAAATATCACTTCACTTCTTATATGACACATCAAATAAAAATAAGTTATGTTTATTACAAACGAATGCTCCTTCCAGATTGTTGAGATACCCTTTCTTCTTAGTGCTTTCATTTTACACTATATGCTCACTCAACCTATTTCATGTGATACTCACTTTATACCATCATTACCTTTTAACAGACTTGGATAGACTTGGGTGGCTTTTAATATGGTCCCATAGACTTGGAGACATAAGCTTGGATGAGAGTTCTTGTTTGGTACCAGTTAGTCTTTAGCACTGAAACATGATAACTATTTCTGGTGCAATACAATATTTTTGGCAATATCAGTTGCCCTAGTTTAAACAAAGCTTAAATATAGATAAACCACACAGGCGGGCTGGATCTGTCATCATCCAGCTATAAGGAGATTACATAAAGAAGCTGTTAAAGGATTAACATCAGATTTTAAAAAAGTGTCAAAAAAATACAACATTCTAATTCTGGAAAGACAGCAGTTTTATTGGAAGAGTACAGTACAGACAAAAGTCTGCTACGTAACACAACAGAGCATTTAAAAAAAAAAAAGAATACTGCTATATTGTAAATACACATAACATCAAGTTTTTGTATGAGCTCTTGGGCATTTAGCCACAGAGCATTAGAAGAAGGGGACAACAGTTTCAAGGTGTCGACCTGGCCTCCAAAATTACCTGGATGTAAATCCAATCAAAAATCTGTGCTAGAAAGTGAGTCTGATTCATGGAGGTCTCAGGCTCAAAACTCACAGGACTTTAAATACCCGCTGCTTTCAAGTTCCACTCCAATAATTTTTTTTTGACTACTTAAAGTGTTCTCTCAGTTGTCTTTAAACTGTGATTATGAAGTTTTTAGCCAAAATCATAAAAGTCATTTCCAAGGTCTTTTCCTCTGCAGAGCTCCAGTAGCTCATTAGCAATTCGCCTTTGAGTCATGGGTGGAGACGGCGTTGCTCTGCACACTCCTATTCACACTAGCTTGCACCCTAACATTGCCAGTGTCGGAAAAGTGACAGGTAACTTAGGAGCTATTCAGCTCTCAGACACTAATGTCTCTAGGGACATGATGAAAGCTATATCATAATTAGCATGCTTGTTCTGCGATCGTCCTCTCTACTTCTCCAAGTCTGGTGTATTGTGGGGCTCTGGGGGTGGAGCTTGGAGTTGTGATGTAGGAAATCTCACTCTATCCAAGCCTGCCATTTGGGTTTGCCAGAGATTCACAGTGATTTGAATGAAGAATTACTCTGAAATGCAATCTCACACTTATTTTTTTCATGATATGTCCTTTA